AGCCTGCCTGGGCGGCTATCGCTGGCTGTCGCGCTGTCGCTAGCGCGGCTAGGCAGAACCAGAGGCTAACGGGCACCATGGGGACCTTGCGCGCAGCCTTGGCTTGCCTTGGCTTGCCTTGGCTACAGCAGGGCGGGCAGCCTTGGCTATGCGCGGCTTATCATAGCTATTCATAGCACCAGGCCTAGCTGCCCGTTACCGAGTGTGTTCTGGAATCCACTGGAAGGGGAAGGGGGCAGGGCGGCCACCTGCCCAACGAGTGTACCTACACTCGCTGCGGTCACAGCGAAGCAGCGCCGCGACCTGGGGGACGCCGCGCGGCGTCTGCGAGGTCCGCGACGACGCGGTGGGCGGCCTCTCCTCTCTGACAGCCGACGGCCGTCCGTCCAGTGCTGCAGGCTGACTCCCAGAGTCGCTCCGCCTCTCTCGCACTCATGGCCCGTGACGTACAGGTGCGAGAGAGACAGCGCGACGCGAAATCGACGGTCAGCCTGCAGTGTCGCAGCTGCGCCAATCAGAAGGCGCCATTATTGGCCAAGGCAAGGGTCTCGGCGGTCCCGGCCTAGTTGGCGGCGCTGCGGCGCGGCCTCCATGGCGTCGACGCGGCGCTCCTCTAGCTCATCAACGAGTGCTGCTAACTGATGGGGTGACAAACTGGGGCCGGCCCGGCCGGGTCGCTTTTTTATTGACGCAGAAATCTCGACGCGATCGGAGAAGACGGCGGCGACGGCGATGCAACGAGGAAGCGCCGCTCAAATATGACATTATGAATAAGAGGAAGCCATTGCCGCCGGACCGCCGGGGGAGGGGGAGGGGGGGCACGTGATATTAATTCTTATGACGGCTGACTGACGGCCCGCCGGGTCACTGCGCCCTCGCCGCCCAGTGCGTCGATGCGCTCGTTCCGTGGTTTCGAGATCTCGATTAAGATCACTGTAAGGCAAGCCGCGCCTGCTTCAACTGTACTATGAAAGGGAGGGGGGGGGGAGAGGGGAGGGGGCTCTCTTTGGTGCCGCCGCCAGCACACGCACGTTTGATAGTTTAAAACGCACCGCCAAAGGTTACAATAAGAATTGGCGCACTGTACGGCGTTCGGTTTTGCAGGGCTAGATTTGGAGCCTGGCGCCTCTGGCGCCTCCGGTGTCTCTAGTGTGTCTACTTCCTCCAAAGCTTCTGGTGCTTCTAGTGCATCTAGTGCTTCTACGTAGTGCATGTAGTGCTATTGCAGTGCGACTAGTGCCTGCAGCGCCCCGAGGTCCTCTAGTGCCTCCCCGACACGTGCCTATCACATCAACAGCGACCTATAAAAAGCGCGGCGGAGTGACGAAGCTGTGAGGCGGGAGCAGGCCAAGCAGGCCAGGCGGGCGGACTGGGTGCCGCGGCGCGTCAAGCTGCTCAAATCCCTGTGGAGCACAGCCTGGGCTTTGATTTGGCGCGGATAGAGGGCGCGGCTCGGCCGATGACCCGGCCAGCATGAGCAGGAGCAAGCAGCGCTGCAGCGGGGGTGGTTATAAATATGGGCCGCTTCTAGACCAAACAAATGCAGTTTTTGTCCGCCCGGGCTCCCCGCTGCCCCCTGCTCCCGCGCACAGAGCGGGCCAGTGTTGTGCGAGTGCGTGCGTGCGTGCGTGCCGGCCGCGAAACACTCACTCCAAGCGCTGCGAAGTGAGCCCTTTTAGAGTCAACGCCGCGGGCCGCTGCCGCCACGCCGCGCCACGCCACGCCACGCCCTGCGCGATGCGCGCGCACTGCCGGCGGCCCAAAGACGAACGGCAAAAGCGACGCCGCCGTCGAGCAGTTCACGCACTCCTAGCCCTTCAGCAGCTGTTCCAGCTCGCGCGGTCCTGGTCCTCACGGCCGCGGCCAGGACGCCTCGCGGACCACGGACTGTCGTCTGTCCAGACCGAGAGCAGGGGGAGGCGAGGGGTAGTGGACGGCCTCAGCACCATGACCGACCGGTTAGGCCCTTTAACTCGATTGTTTCTTTGGCGAGGTGGAGCAGGCCCGCCAGGCCCGCCGGTCAGACTGATTCCGAACAGTCGATCTTTCTCTCTCGCACCCCCGCGGCGCGCCGCTAGAGTGCGAGAGAGACGGAGCGGCCTCCTCGGAATGAGACTGCAGGCTGGTGGGCAGCGAGGCAGCGCAGCGAGTGTCGCCACTCCAGGCTCGCCACTCCAACTTGACAATGCCGGCAAAACGACGAAGACCGCGGACGTCGACGACGACGCCCCTTTCGAGAATCCCGGCGGCGCGGTCCGCTTCGCGCTCCGGCCGCTGGGGGCGCTGCGGTCGCCGCGGTCGCCGCGGAGTGAATGGGACCGCCACCATTGGCGCGCAGTTTGAAATTAGGCCGCGGTCGGGCCGACTAGAGGACGCTCAAGGCCGCCATTGGTTATCGATGCATCGCCTTCCCGATGCGTTGCTCAAGTATCAGCACCCCCCCCCCCCTTCCCCCTGGCCCTCCTCCTTCCCCCTCTCCCCCGGCCGCCCATCGTAAACATGCCCACAAAAGCCTACAAAGTCGCCTCACGCAGAGAGGAGGAGGGGAAGGGGGTCAAAAATAGCCATTTTCCAAAGCGGAAAACTGCAAGCCGCCTCCGCCGCGCGCACAGAATGCTCCCCCTCCTCCTCTCCCCCCCCCCCTCTTCCTCCTCCTCCTTCTGACGAGCGGCCGGCGTTGCTGAGAATTGTTGACGAATCGTCCGTCCCGAACCTGAATGGTCCTGCCGCACACATAAATTATGCATAACACGGACCGCTCCGCTCGTCTGCTCATTTCGGACCGCAAAAACTGTCGCACGGCCGCAGCGCGTCGCCATGGAAACCAGCGGGAGCCGCCCCCCCCCTCCCCCTCCAATCCGCGCGCCAAAGTCGAAACATCAGAACGCGAGTTTCCTGGAAAACGCTAATAGTGCGGGGCAATAAAACTGGGGCTGGAGCCGCTTCCCATGACTGCCTCCCCGGTCGCGATAAGCCACAGGTGTCAAATGGGGCGGCGTCGGGCGGCACAGGATGCTGCGGTGGGCCTACAACAACAGCACATTGCTTTGCTCGCAGTGCCGCCAACCTCGACGATGTTCCCGAAAACACGAGCGGGACGATCTCAAACTGCCGCGAATGCTGTCAATTTGCAACGAAGACGCCGATTCGGTCGCTCGGCAGGCCTGCGGCCGCTTCCGGCGTGAGTTCCGCTTCTGGAGATAAGACGCACGCGCCGCCCCTCCCCTCCCCTCCCCGCTCCGCCCCGCCGCGTCGCGAGCGGCAGCCCACCGCCTTGCAAGCACCGCCCGCGGGGCCTCGGCCGTGCCGGCATGCCGCGGCACGGGGCACAGCCGCTGCTTGCAACATTTGGCAGGCCTTTCGCGAGATTTTCCCGTTTGCGTTCCCCCGTGTGATAGGCCATCATCGAAATCCTCAAATGTGACATTTTCAACAACAGCTCGCCCTCACGAGTGCCTTCCTCGGGTGGCTTTCGCAGAAACCAGACTGGCGGACGCAGTAATTTTGCGAGACGGGTGGATTCGAACCCGCGTCGATTCTCGCTCCCGCTGCCGGATCGCTTTCGGCACCCCATTGACGCGTTCCCACGCCTCGGGCGAAAGAGCGAGCTTCGCGAGCAGCGACATCCTGCGTTCAAGGAATCGCCGCGGCCAGGTCGTCGCTCTGTCTCTCTCGCACTCCTTCGGGACGCCCCACGATTGCGAGAGAGACAGAGCGACGGAGCACCGGCCGGACATCCGACGCGTCGCGGCGTCAGCGTCGGACTCTCTCGGGTTCGGAGTTCGTACGACGGGCCCCTGCCTCATTCCAAATGGTCGCCTCATCGGCCCGTCTCTCTCACACCCCTACAAGACGCCCCATGAGTGCGAGAGAGACAGAGCGACGAGATGAATCTTCGCACGTGATGAGGCGGCGGGCCGGCCGGGCAGGCCGGCGGAGACCTCAACGCCCGTCCGGCCGAAGTGCCCCCACGGCAGCGCGGCAGCGCGCCCGAGTCCATGTTCAACGAGGCAGGTCCACCGCGCAGATTCATGAATGGCCAGCGCGTCATCGGCGCACGGCACTCGTTGAGGACCGAGGCGACGCGGCGGGCGCGCCGAAGACGAACAGCAGGGCCGGCGGGGCCGAAGCCGGCGGGCCCCAAGGGGCGGCGGGGCGGCGGCGACCAAGGCGTGGAAGTTGATTAAAAGAGCCGAAGAGGCTTTCCCGAGATAAGCCCGCCACTGCCGCTTCCCTTCGGGAACGTGAAGGAAATAGGACAACTGCGGGAGGAGGGGGGAGGGGGACGAGGGACAGGGGGAGGGGGCAGTCCGCACGGATGGGACCATGTGTGCGGAAAGGAAAGAAGAGGGGGGGGGGCTGGAGGTAAAGTAAAAGTGACCTTCGTCATCATGTGCGACTGACAAGCGGAACCACCCCCGGCCCTGGCCGAGGTCCAGAGGGGGGCGTCTGTAAACTCTGTCAGCAGTTCTCCTCAAATTGAAAGTGGCTTAATCGCGCGGTCCCCGGCCGGGCCCCGGAAGCAGTAGCCGAGCGTACAGTGTAGGAGAGCCGAAGGGCCGCGCAGCCGCGACGCGAAATGGAACCAACGGACGGCCTCAAAGCAGAAACATGAAACATTCGGCACACTGTACCGGGGCGGTGCGTTGAACTCGGTGCCTGCCGGTTCGCGAACGAGCTGTACAGTCCGCGGCGGTCCGTCACCCGCAGGTGCAGGGGCGGTACAGTGTACACGCGGTGTGATTTGCCGGTCGTTCAGCGGGCAGGCTGGGCGGGCTGAGCGGGTGGGGGCGTGGCTCGGCGCCAGGGGCAGCGCGCCAGCCGCGCCGCCCCGCCGCCCCGCGCAACAAGTGCAACAAGTGGCCTCCCCGTCGCAGTCACCCCGCACGCCGCACGCCGGTGTCGCGGGGCTGTTCCGCGTGACAATGACACTTGTAGGCACTGGTGGTGTGACAGCGGCGTGACCACCCCGCGATGACAGTTCCACAATGACAACTCACCGCCGCGTCGGCCGAGGCGCTCAGCTGCAAGACGACCAGGATGACGGCGGCCACGACGGCCGCGGTGCGCCGCCTGGTGGTGCTGGTGGCGCGCGGCTGGGTGGCGCGGTGCCGCCGGAGGCCATGCCCGGCGTGCGCGGCGTGCGCCTCAGCCGGCACGGCCCCGCTGCCGGCGCTGCATGCGTAGCCTCGCATGCCTGCCGGACGGCGCGGTTACCAGCGTACTGAGGCCCCGAGCCCAGGGCGGCCAGGGCGGCCAGGGCCTCGTAGGGGGGCAGGGCCGGCAGGGCTCAGGGCCCTGGATTCCTCCGCGGGGCCCCCGCTGCCCCCCGGCCGCCCCCCTCGCGCCCGACGGCGTGCCGCGGGGGCTGGGACAGCTGGGACTACGTTCTGCCGCGGATGGCGGGGCGCGTAGGGCCCCAGCAGGGCCGTGTGTGCCGCCGGGGCCCGCGCCGGCAGTCCCGGGGCTCCGCCAGTACTGCTCCGTCTGCTCCAGTGTGGTAGTGGTGTGGTGCAGCCCCGCACGGCCCGCACTGCCCGGCCGTCTCGACGCGGTCGACGCGGTCCCCGGGCTCAGCGCGCCGCGGGCACAGCCGCGCGTACAGCGCGCGCCCCACGGGGCAGCACACAGCAGCCAGGCCGCGGACCGGGCCGCGGACGCAGCGAAATGTGGTGCGTGTGTGCGTGCGTGTGTGTGCGTGTGTGTGCGTCGTGCTGCCTGTGCCCTGTGGATTAAAGGACCTTGTTTCCAGGTTACCCGGAGCCCTGCTCGCGGGGCTGCTTCTCGGCACGACGACAGTGAACGCGGTGAGTGTGGGTCTTCGGCATTTTGGCGATGCGGTGTGGCGGCGTGCGTGCAGGCATGTGTTGGCGGTCGCTTCCCGCCCGGAGGCCCGGAGGCCCGCGGGCCCGGAGGGGGTAGGGGCGGGTCCCGGCCGGAGTCGGAGGCCCCCGCCAAGCCGGCCTCCGCCAAGCCAAAGGCAGCCAAAGGGCCCTACGGCCGCCGCCAAACTCGCATCCGGGCGTGCGGCCCTTCCCAGAAGGCCGAGCGGACGGCCAGCACGGCCAGCACGCCAAGCTCGCGACGGCTGCCGTCAGCGCGGCGACCCGCCCACGCCTTCTGCGCTGCCGCGGGTTCGACTCCCGCCGGCGGCCTTCATTTTCCGCACTTCGGCGGCCACGCCCCGACGGCCAGGGGTCCGCAGGGGGACGTCCCCGCCCACGCCCCCGCCTGGCGCCGCGCCCCGGCACGTCCGACCGCCTTGACGGGGGGCGCCGTGCAGTGTCGTGCACAAAGCGCGCACAGCCTCGCTGTTTCTTTATTTCTTTCTTACTTTTCCCTCGGCTTTTAACGTTCCCGACGACGACTGTAAGTTTCCGACGACGCGACGGCGACTTTGGGGTTTATTCTCGGAAGCGGCGCAACATCGCGACGACTTGTTTTGTGCACATACAGTGCTGCGGCCTGTGGCGCGGGAAGGAAGGGTTGCGCTAGGATTGGTGCGAGCGGCCGCGCTGGCCGTGCTGGCTGCGGTGTCAGGTCTGCGCGCGGTGGAAGGGGTGGAAGGGGAAAAGGGGGGGGGGCTGGCTCGCGGAAGCGGTTTCTGCTTTCCACGCGCCGCCTGTGCGAACTTGGCAAAGGCAAAGACCCGAAAAAGAATAAAATTGCGGCAAAAAATGCAGTTTGGAAAATATAACCGCGACGGCAAGGCAAGTCATCCCCTTCACGTGAACGGGGGAAAGAGAAGGGGGGGGCTCGGCGGGGGGGGGGGTGGTAGGTGTGGTGGGGATGTGCAAGTCGCGATTTGCGGTGCAAGTGATGCTGGTGGTGGTCCGGGGGTTCGGGGAGGGGTGGGGGCAGGAAGTGGCGTGGGGGCTAAGCTCCCGCGGCCGATATCAGGCGTGCTTCCGCTACAGTGTTCCAGCCCCGGCGGCCGGGCAGGGCCTTAGCGGCAGGGCCGAGCGGCCGGGCCGCGCGTGGCGACATGTACCGCCTTTGAGGTCAAACAGGCCGAGTTGCACTGTCAGGCTGTCAGGCGAGCGCGCCGAGGTGCGACCGGCCGAGGCTTCGCTGCCAGCCAATCACGGTGCAGGTCTTCCCTCGCTGTCGACATGGCACTGCGGTGGGGTGTCCGAAAAGGGGAGGGACAACCGCCCCGCCCTCTGCCGGCCAAGCCCGGAACGAGCAACAAGCGTATCGCCTTACTGGCTTCGCGCCGCGGGGAAGGGAGCCGAACTCGAGTTCACTGCCAGTGGCGTGGCGTGGCGGCGCGGCGCGGATAATCGCCAGGATTTACAATCAGGTCCATTCGTTTGTTTTTCTTTTGCTCGAATCTGTAAACGATGCGCCGCTTGTGCCGCCGCCGCCCCGCCAGTGCATAGAGTGAATGGGGAATAGGGAATGGGGGAACGGGGTGGGGCGCTAGAAAACATCAACGCCCCCGTGGCCCGCTCGGCCCGCTCGGCCCGCCACCACCGAAATAGCTCGTGTTGGGCTGGAGCCCGCGCGCCCCGCACACGCACGCGCACCCACGCACACACACACACACACACTCGGCCGCACACGCACGGGCGAAGTGTAGCCATTTGGAGCCCAGGCCGCGCGAGCCGCGCGAGTAGCCATATCACGTGGCAGGGTTATCGAGCCAATTGATAGTGGCATCCAACTACTCACGCGGCGGCTGCGGCGGTCGGGCGGCGGGAGGCAAGGGGAGGGGGAAGGGACGTATTGGGAAATGCAGGCCCGTTGGCAAGTGGGGGAATCAATGGAATGCATTTCTCAGCTCAATACGAATTTCACTCATTTATTTTTCGTATTTTCTTCCTGTGCCGAGGCCGAATCAGTCTCCCTGTTTCACTCTCTCCTCCTCTCTCTCACTCCAGCAGCAATGGTCATCTTGGAACGGCTCGGACCCGCGGCAGAGGGTGGGCCTGTATGACCGGCGGCCCGACACCTACGAGGACCCCAGGCGGTACGAGGACACGCGGCGCTACGAGGACTACGCGCGCAGGGAGCAGGAGGCCCGGCGCTGGGAGTCCGACGAGGAGGCCCGGCGGCGCGCCCCCGCGGGGCTGGAGGCCGCCGGCGGCAGCTATGACCTGGTGAACGCGAGCGGCATCGAGGCGGCACGGAGGAACGGCACCGGGGCGGCGTGCGCGCCCAAGTGCTTCGCCGAGAAGGGCAACAGGGTGAGTACAAGTCGAGCAGGGCGCCTGCGGGGTAGGCAACTTATTCGACGCCTGCCCTGCCCGCTCCTTCAGCCAAGACTTTGCCTTGACTGTGCGGAGGCGGGCGTTCGAATCCCCACCGCTGCTCGCCGTCACACTTTTCAACGACTAACTTTATTTCCTTTCTATTTCTGCATTTCCGCAGGGCCCGCCTGGAGTGCCTGGAGTTCCAGGCCCCAGAGGTCAGCAGGGCTTCCCCGGTCCGGAGGGCTTGCCCGGCTCCAAGGGAGAGAAGGGCGAGTACGGATTGTCGGGCCCCCGAGGACCCCAGGGTGACCGGGTGAGTGACGCCTGAGGCTGCGGACTGCGAGTTGGAAAAACTAACGTCAAGTTGGACTAACTGTTGATTTTGTCGACGTTTTCCAGGGGCGCGGTGGAATCCCCGGCTTCCCCGGTGTTAGCGGATTGCCTGGACAAGTGGGGCCCCCTGGACTTCCAGGCCGGCCCGGTCTGGACGGCTGCAACGGCACAGACGTACGTCCTGGCTTCGCCTCAGTGGAGGCCCTGTAGCTGTTCCCTTTGACCCACTTTGACCCTTTGATGTTCCCGTTTGCAGGGCGCGCCCGGCGGCCCTGGACTGCCCGGCGAGCAAGGGCCGCGCGGTTTCCCGGGAACGGCCGGCCCGAAGGGAGACAAGGGCGAGGCGGCGTACGCGGGGCTGTTCCCCAAGGGCGAGAAGGGCCAGCCCGGCAGGGACGGGCTTCGCGGCCAGCCAGGCCCGCCCGGCATCCAAGGGCCGGCAGGACCGCAAGGCTTCAAGGGAGACCTCGGTCGGGAGGTACACGTCAACCGACCTGCTGCAACGTGTTCCCCGCGAGATCCTTCCAGGCTAACTCTCTTTCTCTTTCTTGTTCGTGCCAGGGCCCGATGGGTCCGCCCGGCCCGAAGGGCGACAAGGGCCCGATGGGGCTCGGCTTCGTCGGCCTGCCCGGAGAGAAGGGAGAGAAGGGACCGCCAGGGCTCCCCGGCGACGGCGGCTACATCCACATTGCGCCGGGCGCCCAGGTCGGGCCGCGCGGCGAGCAGGGCGACAAGGGCGACAGGGTGAGTCTCGGCACCGGTCTCTCTCGCACTCATGGCTTGCCCGCATGGGTGTGCATCGCCACGCTGTTTGCTGTTTCAGGGCGAACGCGGCAACGACGGCGTCAAGGGAGAGGCGGGCGTGCCCGGAGAGCCCGGCGCGCCTGGCGAGTTCGGCAAGCAGGGCGAGAAGGGACTGCCCGGACCACCCGGCCAGCGGGTAAGCGACCAGAGTGGTTTGCAGTGTGGTCGCGATGCGACGCGATGGCGATGGATTCATCAAGGACCCTTCTTTTTCAGGGCCCCACCGGCTTCGCCGGCCTGCCGGGTCCCGAGGGCCTGAAGGGCGACCGCGGCGTCGACGGCCTGTCCGGTCTGCCCGGCCGGCCCGGCCTGAAGGGCGAGCCTGGATTCGACGGCGGCCCCGGCCTGCGCGGTCTCACCGGACCGCCAGGGCCTCCCGGTGGCGGCAAGGGGCGCCCCGGACCCCCTGGACCTCAAGGACCCCGTGGATACCCCGGCCCGGTCGGCCCTAAGGGCGCGGACGGCTACGACGGCCTGCAGGGCCCGCGCGGCCCCATCGGGCCCCAAGGCGGCCCCGGCCTGCCCGGAGCTCCGGGCCGTGAGGGCATCCCTGGCGAGAAGGGCATGAAGGGCGACCCGGGCCTGTCCGGCTTCCCCGGCGAGGTCGGCCCCAAGGGCTACCCCGGACCGCAAGGACCCCCTGGCCTCAGGGGCGCCCCCGGCGAGCGCGGCATCTCCATCCCCGGCAAGAAGGGCCTGGACGGACTCCCCGGACGCGACGGCGAGAAGGGCCAGAAGGGCGACCGAGGTCCGCAGGGCCTGCGCGGCTTCCCCGCCGACTCGCTGGAGGGCATCCCCGGCGCCCCCGGCATGCTTGGACCCAAGGGCGACAAGGGAGTGGCAGGTCGGCCCGGCACCCCAGGCTACCCCGGTAAGCTCTCCTGCACTGTTATTCAACGAATATGCGCCGCTCGGTGGCTACAACAATGTACAGACTCCGAACTCAACCCCTCCCGCCCCACTGCAGGTATTCCGGGTGCCAAGGGCGACATCGGCGGCCGCTGCCAGGACTGCTCGCCCGGCAACCCCGGCGAGAAGGGAGAGCCGGGCCAGGCGGGCTTCGACGGCCCGAGCGGCTTGCCCGGACCCCAGGGACAGCCAGGACGACCCGGACTCATCGGCAACGACGGCAGGCCCGGCCTCCCCGGCCCACCCGGCCTTCCGGTGAGTAGAACGAGCGGGGTTGATCGCCGCCCGGCGCATTGGCCGCCACACCGCAGGCGTGCGTGTTGGGTTGCCTACCCGCCGGTCTGCGGGCGTTGACCGCGCCACTGGTAACCGATTCGCCTGTTCGCCTTCCGCAGGGTAGGGACGGCCCGCCGGGTATCCAGGGCAACCCCGGCCTCCCCGGCAAGGACGCCCAGATCTCGCGCGACCAGATCCAGACGCAGCCAGGGCCCCCCGGCCTGCGCGGAGAAGTGGGGCGCGAAGGCCCCGCCGGCCCGATCGGACCCCCTGGCGAGAAGGGCTCCCCCGGCCAGCCTGGCTTCCCCGGACTGAAGGGCGACAACGGCTTCCCCGGCCTGCCCGGCCTGGACGGCGCGCCCGGAAGGGCCGGCAACCACGGCGCCAAGGGCGAGAAGGGCACCAGCCTCAAGGGCGAGCCAGGCTTCCCCGGCCAGAACGGCTACAAGGGCGACAAGGGCAACGCCGGGCCGCAGGGAGACAAGGGCCCGCCCGGGCAGTGCCCCGCCATGCCGGAGAACATCTCGCAGGGCTACCGCGGCGAGAAGGGCAACGAGGGCAGGAAGGGCGAGTCTGGGCCGATGGGCGAGCCTGGCTTCCCCGGCGAGAAGGGCCTGCAGGGGCTGCGCGGAGAACCAGGCCCCATGGGCTTCAACGGCGAGCCGGGCGCCCCAGGGCCGCGCGGCAGCACCGGACCCCCCGGACTCAAGGGCGACCTCGGCCCCATGGGCTTCCCTGGCGAACCTGGCAGGAACGGAGCGCCTGGAGCCCCTGGACTTCCTGGCTACAAGGGTGAGTGCGAGTGACGAGTCTGCGATGGCTCGGGCTGCTCGGTGACTTACTGCGTGTGCATTGCGTGTGTGTTGCAGGAGCCAAGGGTGACGCCGGCATCTCCGCTGTTGGACCCCCCGGCCCGGCAGGCCCGCCCGGCCTCAAGGGAGAGAAAGGTCTGCCCGGTCTCTCTGGCAAGTTTGGACGCGACGGATCTCCCGGTAAGACGCACAGCATCTTTCTTGTCCGTACCTCCTCCTTGGTCGCTTTGGCGTCTCAACATTCGAACTTCCCGCGCAGGTCTCATCGGCTTCCGGGGCGAGAAGGGCGACCTCGGCATCCCCGGTCTGAACGGCCCTCCCGGCCTGCCGGGCAGCAAGGGCGACCCCGGTCCGTTCGGGCCGCCAGGGCCCGCCGGCACCCCCGGCCGCGTCGGCGTGGACGGCACCAAGGGCGAGCCCGGCCCGGTCGGCCTGCCCGGCAGACACGGAGCCCTCGGCTTCCCCGGACCCAAGGGCGACCCCGGCCCAGCTGGCTTCGACGGCCCCAAGGGCTTCATGGGGCCCCGCGGCGCGCCAGGTACGTCGCGGCAAAGTTGAATCAGAGCCAAAGCAGAGCCGATTCGCACATCTCAGCGGCCTGCTTGGTTCGACACGGACTTGACGAGTGTTGCGTTGCAGGCATTCCCGGCGAACCCGGCAAGGACGGCCTGCCCGGCAAGAAGGGCGAGACGGGCCCCATGGGATTCCGCGGCCAGGCCGGACCTCAGGGCGAGGTCGGCATGACAGGGCTGACCGGTGCTCCAGGCCCCAAGGGCGACGTGGGCTTGCCAGGGCCGCAGGGACTCTCGGGACTTCCAGGCATTCCAGGCAGCAAGGGAGACGCCGGGCCTGAAGGTTTGCCGGTGAGTATCGCACTTTGGGTCGCCCGTTCAATGAGGGAGCGCGCGTCGGATTGGACGCAGTGGCTGCCGGAACTTAACTCAACATTTGTTTCCGTTTTGACGTACACATTTGTTCGCTCCGAGCTGTACTCACGCTCTTGCCCTTCTCTCGTCCGCAGGGCCGCAAGGGCGAGCCTGGCCCCGTGTCCGCCAAGGGCCAGAAGGGCGAACCCGGCATCCCCGGCGTGCGCGGCCCCGTGGGCCCCAAGGGCTACGACGGCCTGCCCGGCCTCAAGGGTGACGCCGGCCGGCCAGGCCTGGGCGTCCCGGGCCAGAAGGGAGAGCAGGGCATGGTCGGCCGCCCCGGCGCGGACGGCTTCCCCGGCGCCAAGGGTGACCGCGGCGACATGGGCTTCCCGGGACAGAAGGGCGATCCCGGACTCCCCGGACTCATCGGCGCCCCCGGCATGCCCGGCGAGGACGGCAGGCCCGGCATTGACGGCCTGGTCGGGCCCGTGGGCCCCGCCGGGTACCCAGGACTCAAGGGAGACGAGGGCAGGCCCGGCATGCCCGGACTCAACGGCACCAAGGGCGACTACGGTCCGCCAGGTGGGTTAACTCCGGCCAGAGTCCAAACCTCCACATTTTCCCATTGAGGAAAAAAAAATCACGATTTTTAAAAATTATTTCTTTTTTACTCAGGACCGCCCGGGCCGCTCGGCATTCCCGGACCTAGAGGCGAGAAGGGCGACAGCGGCCCGCCCGGCCCCATGGTGAACGTGAAGGGCGACAAGGGAGAGCCCGGCAGGCCCGGCGTGCCCGGGCTGCCCGGCGACAAGGGCATCCAGGGCCTGGACGGGCTGCCCGGACAGGCTGGAGACAAGGGCGACGTCGGCTACCCCGGACAGCGAGGACTCCCTGGATTGGCTGGAGCTATTGGACCTAAAGGTGGGGAGTCAATATTTCTAAGGGAGCAAATATTTCTAGGACATCGGAATTTTCTGAGTACGAAGCCTTAATACAACTTCAAATTTTATCGCTTTTCCAGGTGAACCTGGTCTCAGTGGAGCTCCTGGCTTCCCCGGCCTGACCGTGAAGGGCGAGAAGGGTCTGCCCGGCCTGCTGTGCAAGAACGGACTTCCCGGCATGGACGGCTTCCCTGGCGCCAGAGGTGAGTCGCTCGAGCGTGGAGGACGCTGAGAAGCACGCCGCGAGGGACGCTGTCCACCCTGACCGTGCGCTTGTTGCAGGTGACCGCGGTCTGCCCGGCCTGCCCGGACGGTCCGGCGAGCCCGGCCTGCCCGGTCTGCCCGGAGCCAAGGGCGAGCGAGGCAACCCCGGCCTGCCCGGTTTGAACGGCGCCCCAGGAGAGATCGGCGAGCGCGGCTTCCCAGGGAGGGACGGCGCCCCCGGCCTGGTCGGACCCAAGGGCGACCACGGCCCTCCCGGCCTGTACGGCGCGCCCGGCGAGAAGGGCGAGGCTGGCCGACCAGGACTGCCCGGCTACAGCGGCCTGCCCGGCATCAAGGGTACGCGGACTTGCCATGACCCAGCCAGGGAAGCCCAACTGGATAACTCGCCACTCTGCTCGTGCTTGACTCTGACATCGTCTTCCAGGCGACCCTGGTCTCAACGGCTTCCCCGGCACCGTTGGCCCCGTGGGGCCCCCCGGACCCCCCGGCCTCACGGGCCTCCCCGGAACCGCCGGCCTGCCCGGCAGAGACGGCCAGAAGGGCGAGAAGGGCGACTCGCCCTTGTCGCCGCCGGGCCAGAAGGGCGACCGCGGCGTCCCCGGCCTGCCCGGCCGGCCCGGGCCGCGCGGCATGGACGGCCTCAACGGCATGCCCGGCCTGCAGGGCCTCAAGGGCGACAAGGGCCGGCCCGGCCTAGACGGCTCGCCCGGCCTGCCCGGCCTCACCGGCGACCGGGGCAACGACGGCGTCGAGGGCCAGCCGGGTGTGGCCGGCATGGCCGGCGAGCCCGGGCTGCGCGGCGCCCCCGGCGCGTCGTGCCAGGCGCAGGGCGACTACCTCACCGGCATCCTGCTTGTCATGCACAGCCAGAGCGTGCACGTGCCGCAGTGCGAGCCCGGCCACATCAAGCTGTGGGACGGCTACTCGCTGCTCTACATCGAGGGCAACGAGAAGTCGCACAACCAGGACTTAGGTAATGCGCCTCGGCCTTGACCTGAAGCTCAGCGACACAGTAAGCCTTCGTTGTACCGCCATGCTAAACTGACCCCTTCCTCAGGTTTCGCCGGCTCGTGCGTGCGCAAGTTCAACACCATGCCCTTCCTGTTCTGCGACTTCAACAACGTGTGCAACTACGCCAGCAGAAACGACAAGTCCTACTGGCTGTCCACCACCGAGGCCATCCCCATGATGCCCGTGGAGGACCGCGCCATCTCCAAGTACATCTCCAGGTGTACGGTGTGCGAGGTGCCCGCCAACGTCATCGCCGTGCACAGCCAGTCCCTACGGGTGCCCGACTGCCCCAACGGCTGGACCGGCCTGTGGAACGGCTACAGCTTCGTCATGGTGAGTGTGGTCTTGTCCGCATCCAATTTGTGGCCCGGCCAACCAATCGCCGTGGCGGCAGGCAACGCGCGCGCTGCGGAGCGGGCGTGTTGCCTACAGCCACGGCGGCGAGGCGCCCTGCCTGACGGAGCCCTGCTTGTCCTTGCCCACAGCACACCGGCGCGGGCGCGGAGGGCGGCGGCCAGTCGCTGGCCAGCCCCGGCTCCTGCTTGGCGGACTTCCGCGCCAGCCCCTTCATCGAGTGCAACGGCGGCAGAGGGACGTGCCACTACTTCGCCAACAAGCTCAGCTTCTGGCTCGCCACCATCGAGGCCGGCCAGGAGTTCGCCCGGCCCACGTCGCAGACCCTCAAGTCCGGCAACCTCCGCGAGCGAGTGAGCAGGTGCCAAGTCTGCATCAGGAGAACGTGAGCAGGGAGAAGGACGAAGCTCGCCGATCCGCCCCCCTGCTGACGCCGACCTGCGCGGCCTGCGGCCTGTGGCGCCACCTAGTGGGAAAGGACATCAATCGACTGGGAGCCGCGGCTGCTTAGGACAGCTCCAAGGCTGGCGCGGGGAAGCTCCAAGGACGAACAGGGGGCGGCATTCAAATGTGATCCTCCAGATTTTTTTTTAAATTTTGAAAGAGCAATCAACCGACTGTGTTCGTAGCAGCGCTGCGCCGCGCCCACACCCCCGCCACACTCAGCACCACTGCCCGGCACTACCCCGCGCACAAGCTAGAAGCACTGAGCCGCGGGGTAGCGCCAAACCTCGCTCGCTCCGACACTCTCTTGGCAGGCATGGCATGCTGCCAGGCCGTATGAGGTATCAAATACTTCACGTGGACGCCTAGGGAAATTTTGATATTACGTTTATAGAATTGGGCCAATTTTCTATTTTTCTACGAAACATATACTTTCCATTTTGTGGGTTACCGAGAAAGAGAGGAGTTATTGGGAGATGGAGAGTGAAATCGGAAGAGCGAGACCAAATCGTCGTTAACTATTTAATAGACATAAAAATAATATAGGGGCTGGATATTGTATGTAGAATTGTTGCAAGTGTTTGAAGCTGAATTGTGATGGAAGTTGGAATCTTCCCCCTTTCTAAACCAAGGACCAGGTTGAGGCTGACTTTTTTACTAAATCACCAAACAAAAAGCGATGTAAGTCATTCGGTTCTCTTTTGAAAAAATAACAGGGTAGCGAAGCTAAGCATGTTCCTAGATTGTAAATTATTTTTAGAATATTTTATTTAATTAAGTACAATGATGGCCGGCCACTATTCACGGATCACTTTACGTCTCCTATTTTGACTGGTGCGAACGGCTGCACTTCTGTATTCTTCGTGTTTTTTTTCTAGAAACGTGAAGTCTTCCATACACTGCCAAAAAAAACGAAAAGAAGTCAAGAAAGTCGCTCCGAACTACCGCCGAGGTAGCAGGGGGAACGATCTTTCATTGACCAGCCTCACCGGGTGTGCCTAGTCAGACATGAGGCTTTACAGTCAAATTCACATCAAAAAATAATTAATTGACAACTCGCCCGCCACGGAAAGTGGAATAACCCTTCTTGTGCCATACCGAAAGTTTCAAGTCTACTTACGAGCTGTGCCATACGCGATTCAAACACCGCTTTGTTTTTACGACATTCCTGTTCCATGCCCTTCTACCTCTGCGTATTTTTTTTTTCAGAGTATTTTTTTTCACCTCTTGAGTCGTTGCCGTTCCATCAGAACATGAAGTCAGTCATATATTTAATTTATCGCTCTACCAAATATTTTAGTAAGTGAATATTATTGTATGTTTTATATGTGTTGTTTTCTGTGTCCACACATGTATTTAATTGCATGTTTGAAAGTGTAAATTAACTTCGAGCAAAAGTGATCGTTAATATAAAAATCTAGTGCATAAAGTTACTGTTGATTCTGGTGCTATGTCAATTTATTTTGTACAAAATAGGTGTCTGTCCGCACTGCCAAATTGTTGACTTCTTGTAAAAATTAGGAAATATAAATAAAAGTCGAATATATCTTATTGTCGTTCTGCTTTCTTGCACACCCCTTTGCGATGGCGAGGCGGGAGCGGTTGAGGGTGGTCAGGCCCGCGGGGGAGGCGGGGAAGGTGGGGTGCGGGGGGTAGCCGCGGAGACTCTCTACCCGGCCCACCGCCCTCGCGGCCACCCCACCACCCCGTGGCGCGGTGAGGGGCGGGGCGGGGCGGGGCGGTCCGGGGCGAGCCTGGGAAGGGACACGGCGGCAGTCTGCGGCGGTGCGCGCGCGGAGCGCATCCTCGGCGACCAGGGTCCCAGCGTCCCAGGGTCGCGCCACCTCGCGTCCGCCGCGCGTCTCGCAGCGTCTCGCAGCGCCGCGGACCAGAGTCCAGCGGTCCAGCGCCCAGGGTCCAGCGGTCCAGCGCCCAGGGTGGAGGGCGCGCCGCGCAGTGAGGTGGGCGTGCCTCGTCCTCGTCCGCCAGCGGCTAGGGCGCGCGTCCCCGCGGACCTCCCAGCATGAGGGAGCCGACAGAGCAAGTAAGCGCCTAACCCGGAACCCGGAAACCACGCCCCACACCCACACCCATCGAGTCCGAATGGTGTTTCACTTTCCATCAGGCCTGGGCGCCAAAGCGCGGCTTGCCTGTGGAGGGGAGGGGGAGGGGGTTGTGTCTGCACTGAGTCCTCTCAGTGCAGCACGGCGTGCGGCGGTTGATACGACGTATCGCGCCGAGCGGACGAATTCGCGAGACACGCCCCTCGCCGCGCCACACCGCGCTCGGCGACGCGTTATCCGCAGGCGAACTCTGCAAATAAGACGGCCGGGCCGGGCGCGCCACCGCCTGGCACTTTGGCGAGGAGGCAGGGAGCGCGGCGCGGCGCGGCCTGGCGTGGCGGTGAGTGAGAGTGTGAGTGTTGCCATCGCCGTGGGGACCTCCAGCAGCGTTGGACGCCGAGGCTGCGCGCCGCCCCCAGTCCGCCCCCAGCCCGCCCCCAGCCCGCCCCTCGGCACGCCCCCGGTACCGGCCCGTGCCTCTCCGCGAACGCCACGATCAATGGCGATGCCGCCCCCGGCCTTGCCTCCGGCTCCACCCCCGGCCCAGCCGCCCCCAGCCGCCCCCAGCTGGCACTGACTTTGGCATTTGGCTGCAATTTGCGCAGCGGCTGCGGCGAGCCAGCCCGCCGCACCGGGGGCTGTGCCGCCTGCGCTGTAAAAGCCACCCGGAAGTGCTCGCTAGATATTCCTTTTTTACGTCCGGGTTGCTCCGGGCCTGCACTGCAGGGCGGCACGGCGCGGCGCCCAGGGAACCACGGCCAACTCGTGCCGCCGTCTTGCCGGTCTTGCCCCCGCCCCTTTCTTGGTACTCCTGTAAGTGGATTAGTACCCCGCCGCCCCCCACGCCCCCACCCCCAGCCCCGCGGAGGCCGCGGACGACTTGCAGGCTGCTTCCTAGCACTGCTTGCGTCGCTCTGTCTCTCTCGCACCCGCACGGGCCGCCGCGTGAGTGCGAGAGAGAAGGCCTCCCGGCCGACCTTGCGCCGCGTGCCGAAAACAGCGAGATGAAAAATGCAGCGCTCGGGATTGGGCCGGCCGTCCAGGCCGGGAGGAGGTCGTTCCGAATCCGCCTCGAGTTTCAATTGGTTTAAATCCGGGCCAGGTTTTATCTTGGGCGCGGTGCCCTGGGGCCGAGGGCCGAGCCCGGGGCCCAGACGGGGCCGGCGAGGCGAGGCGAGGCGACGCGAGGCGTGCTGCAGGACCGGCAGGACCCCGCGCGAGGACGGCCGGCTTCCATGCCGATTATCCTGTTAGCCCCTCCGCCGGCACGGTGTGGCACGGCACGGCGTGGCACGGCACGGCGTGACACGGCCCCCACCTCCACTACTCTCGGTCCAATTGCTTGACACCGAGAGGCTACCGACGCCGTGACGAACAACACGCCGGACCCCGCGCCGCGCGCCTGCAGCCACCGGGTAGGCAACCCGCCCGCACGGGTGCGCCTCGGTTGCATACCCGCACGGCGCTCCCGGCCAAGGGACATCAAGAGCGAACCGCTAGCCAACACGACCGACCTCGCGCAGTGTGTTGACGGGAGAGGGGAGCAGCTGTGACCTTGCTCGTCGTCTACTGCAGTGCTGCAGTCCCCAACAACAATGCCCCCTCCTCCTCCTCGGCTCGCGGTTCATCCTGCACTTCAGTGTTGTGATTCCGTCCCGCCAATAAGTGCTCGCCTTGCCGGCCCCGGCCCCAGCCGCTTGGGTAAATAATCCAAGGCCAAGCGCATCACGGGCCTCTCCCTCCGCCGGGGAAATCGAGATGGAATGACGAAGGAGGAGTGTAAGTGGGATGCGATGCGTGATCGCCGAGGGGGTGGTGCTGTGCAGGCACGCCCCGCCCCGCCCCGCCCCTACGCCGTGGCGTGGCTCGGAGGGCCCGACATAAGTTTGGCTCCGCGGCGGGGAAGACGGGAAGACGGGCCGCGGTCCATGACGCCCTTCCTGCCGCGCCCTTCCCCCTCCCCTCCCTCCTCGTAGTCGCGGCACTGGAGAGCCGCGGTAGGGAAGCTGAGGGCAGGGTAGGGATCGATACGGGGCGGGAGGGGAGGCGGGAAGGGAGTGAAGGGAGTGAAGGGAAGGCAAGCGTCCGCACCTCGCCCTTCGCCCTTACACTACCGGGAGCAGCATGCCGACGGCGAGCACGGCGAGGGCGCTGCGAGTGTAGGGCCTACACTGAGGGGCCTGTCGCTGACATGTGAGGAGACGGTAAGGCGGAAGGTTCGAGAAACCGAGATCTCACAAGGAGACTCTCGAATGGCGACGCGTGTTTCGGCGCGGACCGTAACGCTTACAGTGTGGTGGAAGCCGCAAGTGCCAGCAATGGAAGCCCGGGGTGTCCAAGTCCAAGACCCAATCCGGCGAACTATGGTCGACGTAAGTTAGACTCGAGGACACGCCCTCACTCTGTCCGTTCTGTCCGCAGCTTTGATGGGGTCACCCTGGGTCTCCCTAGGCCGCCGATGGCTCCTGCTGCTGCCCCTGGTGCTCCTGCTGGTGCTGCTGTGCTGCCTGGACCCGCGCGCGGTGCGGGGCCGCCTGGGTCTCGTGGGTCTCGGCCACGGCCGCGAGCTTGAGCCGCCGCCACACGCGCCGGCCGGCGCGCGCCGCGCCACCGCGGCCCCGGCTCGGCTCGGTGAGTACCGCTTGAGTCACTGTTGCTGTCTCACTCGCACCCCTGCGGTACGCCCCAGGAGTGCGACAGAGACAGAGTCAACTGTCCGTGTCCTGCAGCGCCGACGGTGCCGCCCGAGGTGTCCAGCGGCTTCCTCGTGGACACGCCGGGCTGCCGCATCCCGTTCCTGGCGCCGCTGGACGAGGCCGTGCGCCCCTTCGTGTTCCCCGTGAAGCGCGTGCGCTGCGCGGACGCCGGGCCCGCGCTGGTGGAGGCCGACCCCGACCCGCGCCGCGACGTGCTGCACCTGCGCCGCCACCGCGGCCACGCCTACAATGTCAGCGACCCTGCCAGGCTGGTGTGCTGCGGACGCGCCTTCTGGAGGCCGGCGCCGCCCCCGGCCGCCCTCGCCCTCACGCCACCGGGGGGCGGCAAGGACGCCACCACAACCCCCGCCCCCGTCGACTACCGCGGCCTGGACGACGCCGTCGAGTGAGTACCTAACTAACCTTAACTGCCTCACCGCCGCAGAATGAGATTGCAACTCGGATAGCGGCCTTCGGCCTTCGCTTTGGCAGGTTCGCCGACAACTGCACGGACTTGTTCTCCGGCGAGGACGAGGCCGTCGTGGCGGACGAGTTCATCCGCGTGGAGTGCTCCGAGGGCGACAACGTGGTGTACCGGGACGTCTTCGGCTTCACGCCCCCCAAGCCCCAGGCCGGGCCCGCGGCGGGGGCCGCGGAGGACAACGCCGTGGACGTGCTGGACCCGGACACGCCCAAGGTGTCCATCCTCATCGTGGGGGCGGACTCCGTGTCCAGGAGCAACCTGCTGAGGCAGATGCCGCAGACGGTGGAGATGCTCAAGGACATCGGCGCCATCGACATGCTGGGCTACAACAAGGTGAGGACCAGGGTGGCTCAGTCGGAGTTGGCGCACCACGCTAGAGCCGACTCTTTGAAGACGAGAAATGGGCACTCATTTCCAGGTGGAGGACAACACCTTCCCCAACCTGGTGGCCGTGCTGACGGGGCTGTCGGTGCCGGAGCTGCGCGCGCGCTGCTGGCCGTCGGTGGCGCACCCCTTCGACGACTGCCCGTTCCTGTGGCGGCGCTTCGAGGCGCTGGGCTTCAAGACGGCGTACGCGGAGGACGAGCCGTGGATGGGCATCTTCAACTACATCAAGAACGGCTTCGCGCGCCAGCCCGTGCACTACTACATGCGGCCCTACGCCCGCCTGCTGCTCAAAGAGGTAGCGAGATACTGCGCAGTGGGATAGAAGATCGGTGGAGGCGGCAAAAATTCTAGACGCGTTTTGAGTTCAGGAGAAGCTAAATGGAACTCGAACCGAACGTGTGACCCCACCAATGGATTGCTCTCCGAAGGAGGAATCCATTGGTGGGGTCACACGTTCGGTGCGAGCCCCATTTAGCGACTCTAGAGTTCAAAACGCGTCAAGAATTTTTGCTACCGTAGAGTGTGCTGTTTATTGAAAGGCGACGGTCGTGTGACGGTGCATCTTGCCCCCAGCTCGGCCACCACCAGGAGTTCAACTGCCACCTGTGCACCGGGGCGAGGTTCCAGCTGCAGGCTCTGCTGGACTACGCGGCGCGCTTCGCCCGGCTGCCCGACAAGCTGTTCGGCCTGTTCTGGGGCGTGAGCCTCACGCACGACCAGCTCAACAACCCCCAGCTGGCCGACCCGCTCTACTCCGGCTGGCTGCGCGCCGCCAGGGACGACGGCGTCCTGGACAAGAGCGTCGTCGTGTTCCTCAGCGACCACGGCATCCGCTGGGGCGACATCCGGGAGACGTACCAGGGCCGCCTGGAGGAGCGCCTGCCCTTCCTCATGGTGAGTTCGCTGAGGCTCTCAACCTTGTCTCGACCTATTGACGCGCGGGGTACTGACGGCGTTGTCCAACAGATATCGCTGCCGCGGTGGCTGCGCGAGCGCTACCCCTCGGCGGTGGCCAACCTGCGGAGGAATAGCCGGCGGCTGGTGACGCCGTACGACCTGCACGCCACCCTGGAGGACCTCATGGACCTGTCCCGGCTGGAGCAGCGCTCCGTCAAGGACCGCGCCGAGCTGCTGGCCAAGCTGGACTCCAGGGAGCACGGCAAGCACGCCACGCGGCGCCCCAAGCCCAGCAGCCTGCCGAGGGGCATCTCCATGTTCCTGATGGCGCCCGAGACGCGGTCCTGCGACGATGCGGGCATCGAGCCGCACTGGTAAGAGATTCGCCCCACAGTGGGCCAGAAGACCGGTGGAGTCGGTGCTCGCCAACCTGGCCCACGAGAGTGCTTTAACGCGGCCCTGGTCCTTCCCCCAGGTGCACGTGCTACGCGTCGACGCCGGTGCCGTCCAACCACACGACGGCGAGGCGCGCGGCGGCCTTCGTGGTGCGGCGCGTCAACGCCATGCTGTCGGGGTACCGGCAGTGCGAGCGGCTCAACCTGTCCGCCATCCTGGACGCCCGTCGCCAGGAGGGCCGGCCCGAGCTGGGCGCGGACGGCCGGGACGGCCGCTCGGCGTCCAGGGCCGCCAAGAAGGGGCTGCCGCGGGTGGCGGACTACTCTCTGCTGCTGCGGACGGAGCCGGGCGGCGCGCTCTTCGAGGCCACGGTACGAGTCCGGTCCGGGGTCGCCTTCTCCAAGCGCGGCGCCAAGAGGGACAGGGAGTTGCTGTCCATGGCCGGCACGGTCTCGCGGGTCAACCGATACGGGTCGCAGAGCAGCTGCGTGGCCGACTACCACATGAAGCTCTACTGCTTCTGCAGGGGTTTCAAGGGGTAGCGGTGGTCGGCCCGGGCTGACTGCAGAGGTGAAATGATAATAAGTTCTCGTGTAGTCAGTATTTCCCGTGCCTCGGGCGCGTGAAGTAAGAGGGAAATGCGAACCAACGTGTTTAAAACATTCCAGACTCTTTTGTCACGATGTCGTTTGGATGTCGTTAGTGTGTACCACGCTGTGCTTTGCTCTGGAGAGGGGCCACCAATTTAGTATCCGAGTTCACTTCGCGGCCTACGACTTTTACCTGAAAATGCAGGACAATTACTGGCGCCCATAAGTGTTACGTGTATTTTTATCTTACTTCCACGAAGACATGCCACCAATTAAAACAGACTGAGCATACATTCAAACTCACAAGTGCCAAAAATTGTTAACGTTGTGATTGTTCTTTAAAGATAGTGCTGGACACAACGGCCACTCTGTCTGCTTTGGCTTTCAAGTACGTGGCGCGGCATCGCCTACATTGTTGTACAGTTCATTTCTTCGCCTAGTCCTTAAACTGACGGTATTTTCAATATGCGCAGTGGATAAGCTGCATATTTTAATTTGTGACTAATGGCCACCAATACGCTTTCAAAATATTACCATACGGTGGAAAAATAAGTGCTGTGTTTAAGTAAGTAGGGAATTTTCAATAATTATTCTTAGAAATATTTTGTATAATACTGTTATCAGTAAAAAATGTATTTATTGACGATCTTGACTTATTTACAATCCCTTACACATTTAAATATAAATTAAAACAATCGGCAAAGCATTTATCCGAAGAACAGTGACACAACGTGCAGGATGCACAACGCACGTTGCAGAGCAAAGTGAAACTAAGTATCGCACCGCGTTCACGGCGTGGCGCGCGTCGTGGTGCGCGTCGTCGAGGCCTCGACGTCCAGGTCGTCGGCGCAGTAGCAGTAGAGCAGCAGGTGCCGCTCCGGCATGCACCAGCTCGAGTTGCCGTACTTGTTGAGGCGCGTCACCCTGCCGGCCAGCCTCATGACCCTCTCGGCCACCAGGTGGCGCACGGTGCCGGCCAGCAGCGCGCCGCCGGGCCGCGTCTCGAACGTCACCAGGAACTCCTGCTCGCGCACCCTGTCCGGCGGCTGCGTCTGGCCCACCAGCGAGGACGGCTCGCCGCGCCGCGCGTCCTTGACGGCGTGCAGGGACAGGCGCGCGCACTGCGGGTACGCCGCCAGGGCCTCGTTCACGTTGTCCACGAGGAGTCCGGCGGCCGCCAGCACCTGCAACGCGTTCGTGGTCAAGCGCGGGGGTGTGGCGAAGGCGAGGTACAGTGCGCGCCTTCGGCGCCTACCTGGGGGTCGTCCCTGGCCACTGGCGCGAGGTGCACGCAGGCGCAGAAGTGCGGCACGATGGCGGCGTGCTCGCAGGTCCGCGTGTCCGGCACGGGCAGGAAGAGGCTCATGGAGCGCGGCGGTCGGCCGGCCCTCGCCCGCCGCCGCACCTCCTCAGCGGCCGCCTCCAGCCGCGGCCGCTCCAGCTGGCGCAGGTCCAGGAGCTGCAGCACGGTGTCGTGGACGTCCATGACCGTGACCAGGCGGCGCGTGTTGTGCCGGAGGGTGGCGACGGCGTGGGGGTACCTGGACGCAACGCGGTTAAGTTCGCAACAATGCAGCCCGGAGGCTGGAGAAAAAGGCTTCTGCTCACTGTCGGTGGAACCAGGGCGGCAGGACGAAGCTGAGCACCGGCAGGCGGTCCTCGACGTGGCCCTGGTACGTGGTGACGATGCCGCCCACCCGGTTGCCGTGGTCGCTCAGGAAGACGAGGGCCGTGTTGTTCAGGACGCCAGACTCCATCAGTTCCTGGACAGAAACTCAAAGTCGCAGGCGGCGCAGACCAGCCAGGCCGTCTCTTCGTGCTTTGCCAGTCGAGCTTTGCCAGCCTACCACCATGAAGCGCTCGTACAGCGGGTCCGCGATCTGCGCCTGGTTCAGGAAGTCGTGCGTCACCGAGGTGCCCCACATGTAGTGGAAGAAGGGCGTCCCGGACTTGAGCATGGCCCTGATGAACCTGCAAGACACGCCCTTCAGTGCTGTGCTTCCCCGGGGCGTCCCCGCGTCCAACACACTCACTTCCTGCCCAGGTCGAACAGCCCCTCCACCTGGAAGCGCGGGCCGAGGCACACCGGCGACGTGTTGCCCGCCCTGGTCCTCGGCAGCTCGCGCTCCGCGGCCAGCAGCAGCGCGCGCGAGTCCACGTCCGTGGGCTGCCGCGCGAAGCCGGGGCTGTGGAAGTGGAAGAGCCCGAGGCGTGGCGTGTCCTCCATGATGGCCGTGCTGTAGCCCGCGCGCCGGAACTGCTTCCACACCCAGGGGCAGGGGTCGAAGAACACCGAGTTGGACAGCAGGCAGTACTTCTCCATCTCCGCGCTCGGCTGGCCGGCCAGCAGAGGGACCAGGTTGACGTACGAGTAGTCGTCGACCTGGAGCAGTGAGTGAGTTAAAAACCGCCCTTGAACGGGTTTCCGAGAACGCTGGCCGTGGTGCGTCCTCCCACCTTGTTGTAGCCGAGCATGGTGATGGCGCCCATGCGCTGCAGCAGCGCCGTCACCTTCGGCATGCTGCGCAGCATGTTGAGGCGCGACAGGTTGTCGGCGCCCAGGAGCAGCACGTTCAAGCCGCGGTGCGCGCCGCGGGGCCGACGGGCACGCGGCCGGCGGGGACGCACGAAGCCGTGGAAGTCTCGGTGCACCTCCTGGCCCTCGGACTGGCACTCGACGCGCACGAACTCGTGCGGCACTCTGGCGGAGTCTTCGAACGGCGTGCACTCGTCGGCGTACCTGTCCACGACGGCGACGGGTAAGCCTCGTGGTGGCTGTGGGCGCCACAGCGCAGTCGTTTCGTCGCTGTCTGTCGCCCAACACAGCGTTCCACACGGGCGCGAGAGAGAGCACTTACTCCACCACGTCGCCGAACTTGGCGTCCCCGCCGGAGGGCAGCCTGACCTTGGCCAGCTCGGCGTTGTTCGTGCCCTCCACCTCGGGGAGGGTGAAGTTGGCCTGCTGCAGCCACAGAGCGCGCGTGCAGCACCGCAGCGAGTCGGGTCGCACGCCGTAGAAGCGCGCGTTCTTCCTCACGAGGTACACGGCGTCGTCGTCGGAGCGAACCAGCGGCGGCGGGACGTCGCACGTCACGTCCGCGTAGTCGTAGATGAACTCGCGGATCTCGGGGCTCATCACCTGAACGCGGGCGCTTTGAATTAGCTATCGCAGTCAAGGGCCGACCTAGAGTCAGCCTGAGGGAGGGGTATAGTGCTGCTTTTAGAGACTACCTAAGTGAAAGTTGTTACCTAAGTGAAAGTTGTTACCTCCAGGTTCGGGATGTGGCAGCCCGGTGTGTCCACGAGGAAGGTGCTGTTGAGCTTCTCCAGCGAGACGTGCTCCAGCCGGGGACTAGTGCCTGCAGCAATCAAGACCCGCGTTGATGCACCCGTGTCAACGAGAAACAGAACGGTCTTGAAGACGAGACCGCGACCCTCGCGCGACACCTACTGAAACCGTACGGCCTCGTCCTGGCGCAGATCAGCACGGACGCCAAGAGGAACGTGGCCGCGAAGACCACCAGCATCGCGAACAGGGTCCGCGACGAGAGCCGCGCGCTGCCGACGTGGGCCTGGGCAGGGCCAAGCGGTCCGCCGGCTTCGCCCTTCTTCAAGGTTTCAGCCTGGTCAGCGACGAGGCACTCGTTCAATGTCCCACCCAGACCACCGACGAGTCCCTCTTCGCTCTGTCTCTCTCAAACTTATGCAGCATCTCGTAGGGGTGCGAGAGAGACAGAGTGACGAAACGCCTCTTCGGATCCAGGCTGGAGGGGAATGAATCCGGTCTTCACTTACCTGTTCTCTCCGGCTTCTCGCCCGGAAGGTGAGAACATCGGGGAAATTTGGGAGGATCCTAAATACATAAATGGTACGATTTTAAGTTGGCTAACAAACTGGCAGGGAATTGCACCTAACCCCGCGGAAACGTCATTTGTGGGCTATTTGGCTATGCACATTTCTTTAGCTGCACCTTTTGGTCCAGTGAAAGGAACCTACCTTATACTCATTGGCAATGCCAACTTCATCGCGCTGGGCTGAGTATCCAAGGGAGTTCCCAAAGTAAAAAGTTGAGTTCTGAGAAAACGAGACTAGGGATCGGCTGTCCTTCCCTCGCGCGGTCCAAAACAAACAGCGCAACAATCAAGGGAGTTGAGTATGAGAAATTGAAGCGATCCCGAAGATGAGAAAAGAAACTGACTCAGGCGGGACTTCCCTTGTTGTGGCTTTCACCCTCGCAGCAGCTGGTAGCAGGGCTGGGCATAATGCTTACCATTTTCCAGCATCTCAAGTTGAAGTTAGCGCCTGCGGGGTAGGCCACCGGCCCGGCACGACACACCGGTGTGGAGACGGTGGCCTACCTTGCCCCTGTGAAGGCGACAGGCGCAAGGTAGGCCACCGTCTCCACACCCGTGTCTTGCGGATCGAGCCAGAGGCATACCTCACAGGCGTTAAAGGTCTCAAGTAGTCCAAGCTACATACATGATCTCAGTTGTTTGTCCTTTAGAACTTAGGACGAAACCGAGAAGTGAATTCAAACGAACAGATTAGCTGTTTTTGTTTTCTTGCCCATCAGGAATTTTGTTTCTCCAAAGAATAGCCATAACGTGTATTTCTTCAAAATTTATTGTCAACAAAAATGAGTGATTAACATAGATGACAAATGACATAAAATAATGGGACCATAACATGGTACTTTTATTAATCCTTGTTCTAGTGAGAAATAAATGGTAACCTGTACTTCATAGCATCTTCCTTTGTGAGTGCTGCTGGAGCCCCAGACATTGGGTCCTTTCCCTCCAATGCTTTGGGGAAAGCAATAACTTCTCTGATAGACTTCACTCCACATATGATAGATACAAGGCGGTCTAGACCTGAAATATACACAAATGATTGAGAGCAAAAAGAAACCAATAAAAAAAATTGTAAATACATTTTGTTTTGATACACACATTCAGGAACAGAACAGTAAAGAACTTACCTAAAGCAATGCCACCATGAGGAGGGCAACCAAAAGAAAGTGCATCTATTAAATGTTGCAGGGCACTAGTGTCGACCTTTAATAAATCATGCAGAACATGCTTTTGAAGAACCGAATCAGAGATACGTATTGAACCACCACCAATCTCAGACCCATTCAGAACCAAGTCATAGTGCAGGCCTCGCACTTTGAGTGGTTCAGTATCCAACAAGTGCATATCATCAGGATGTGGTTGGGTGAAAGGATGGTGTGCAGATTGTAAAGATCCGTCATCACCTTTTTCAAATAATGGGAAGTCTACTACCCACAAAAATCTATGATGCTGTTCCCGCACAGAGAAACCATTAGCTTCTAAGGCATCAGCAATAAGGGTGCGAGTCATGCCAAGTACTTTCAGCTGAAAAGTTAAAAAAAAATAATTTCAGCTGTATATTGTAAACTAAAACAAACAAAATTAAAAGAATACACAGTTCAGCAACCTACCACTTCAGGATCAGGTCCTAAACACAGAACTAAGAGGTCTTTAGGCACCACATTATTTGCTTCCACAATATTATCAATTTCTTCGGATGACAATTCATTCCGAAAAGTAGACTTGAGATCCTTTATATTTTTAACTGGAACTAAGTGCAATCTTGCAGTATGCACACCACTTTCAACAAGCCTTTTAAGTTCATTCAGTTCATCCTTTTTGCACGCACCCTTAAGTAAAAATAAAAAGAATTGCTCATTACTCATAAGGACTCTATGTAAGCCATAATCTCAAGTTTAAAAAGCTAAAGGTAACAGCAGCTGTTTGACAGCTGTTTCTAGTATGGCAAATATATTGAGTTTACATACCGCTGCCCCACGGAACACCATGATCTTGGCTGACAAATTCTCTGATGAATCCTGTTTCACAAGGGAGCCTATAGTCTGTGGCTGCACCAGGTGAGTAACATTCTGAATCTGGACACAGAAATGAAAAAGAGGAATGAGTAAAAGATTTCATATTATGTAGTCATAAAAAAGAATCCAACAAAATTTAGCACCTTGACATCAAATCGAAGATCAGGCTTGTCAGAGCCATAGTTTTCCATGGCATCATGGAAGGTCATTCGAGGAATAGGAATTGATGGTCTTTCCCGCTCTGATGGCCAGCAAGTTTTAATAAGCTCTTCAATCAATGAAATAATACCCTCTCGATCAACAAAGGAGAGCTCAATATCAAGCTGAAAAATGAAACCATCTTTAACACAGCTGTCCTTTGGTCAAAACGATATCCACATAATTATACTGTAAAGCAAATTTTACTTGAGTAAACTCTGGCTGACGATCATAACGGACTGTTTCATCCCTGTAACACCGAGCAATTTGGAAGTAGCGGTCAAGGCCTCCAACCATTAATAATTGCTTGAACTGTTGAGGAGACTGGACCAAGGAATAAAACTGTCCTGGAATTTGAGTGGGCACAATAAACTCCTGAGCACCCTGGAACATTTTGTTTATCAAATTATGACATTGCCTGATTACTATAATAAAATAAATTTAAGAAGGAGAATGAATAGCACAACTGCTCATACCCCTGGTGTTTTCCGAAATAAAGTAGGTGTTTCGACATCCACAAAGTCTCTTTGGATGAGAAAGTCCCGCATGCCGTGTATGAGTTGTGAGCGTATCCTTAGAGTCTCCTGCATGTGAGGATAACGTAGGTACAAATACCTATATTTCATTCGTAGATGGTCAGAAGGCTAGAGAAATAGTCAGGGCATGAAAAATGTGTATTGAGTGGTTAAATACTCCAGCAGATCACAATTTAATTTGAAATTATGATAGAAGGAGGAGAAATAAAAATAGATCCTACCATTTTTCTTATATCTTTAACAGGAAATGGCATTTGCTGGGGGGCTGGCCCAAGGATTCCTAAATGGGTCGCTACAACTTCAATTTCTCCTGTTTTCATTTTCTGCAATGTTACAAGAAAGTTGGTTATGGACAGGTAAGAATTATGAAAAGGAAGGAGAAAAACCAATTTAAGAGAGTAGGAAATGATAAAAAATAAGAGGACAATGTGGTAAGATCGGCACTGAAAACACACTCTGTTTATTTGATTCTCTGGACGAAGTGAAACTATTCCTCTGATTTCGATAACACTCTCTAAAGTAAGAGAATCCAATGTGTTCTGAAAATTGGCTGGCTGAAAATAGACAGAAACAGAATTTGTCAATTGTAAATCCATATAGAGCAAATTATCAGAAATACAAGATGATTTAAAATCCTTCACACACCAGGTCCTCCAATAGAATTTGAGTAGTTCCGTAGGCATCTCTTAACAATAAAAATTTACTTCGGTTACTATGAAGCCAACCTTTAAGGCATACAGTGTTTCCAACGTGTTTGCGTGTAAGTTCTCCACAGGTATGCGAGCGGGTTGCATAACAACTCACTTCATCTAAGAAAAAAAGGAATGGTAAAAAAAGAGTTCTTAAAATCGTGAATAACGCAAATATTTATGATCTTGACGCCTTTTACCTGGAACTTGTGGCTTTTTAGACTCTGTAGAAGTGAGCGAGGCTGAGGTAGAATGACTGCAACACACTCTTCGGCATGTTTTGGCTAACCTCATTACTTTTCCTGGAGTGTCATTCCTACCTAACGATCCCTTGAACATAAGTAAATTGAAGAAATTGAGAAAAAGAAGAAAAATCACGAGTAAATCCATTCAAAAATCTATAAATCTTTTAATAACCGGTGGGACGACTAACCCCCACCTTCGTAAACAACCTCCTAAAAAAACAGCGTTTTACTTACAGCCCCCAATAAGAAAAGTTTTGAGCTTCGTCTGACAAAATTTAGAGCCATATTTGGTTAAGAACTAGCAAGACTGCTCAGGATAACGAATAAGTAAGGAAATGAGTAAGTAAGAATTTCAAATCGAAAACAAGCCTAGATTTTTCATAAATCACTGTGCCACCGCGGCGTCGTCTGCTCAACTGGAAATACTCCACGAGTATGACGATACTCCGCGCCGGTAGAGCGTCCACGAGGGCTCCACTGGCGGCAAATCCAAGCGAAATTCCGCACTCCAACCCAAAATAATGCAGTTTATGTGAGACTTGGTAAGTCTGGTATTGGGTGATATTGATATCAAGATAGTCCTTCAAACATCATCGAATGAAATGGAAAAGGAGAAAATGAAATACAAACAAACCAAAATTGTTTCCTATTTTTTTATTACAATAATAGACAGTTCGTTTGGCCTAGACAATAAAATACAAAACATTGTGTGAAACAAATATTAGTCTTAACTCATGTTCAAAAGAACTTGTCCAGTCCCAAAGGGAAACACAGGAAAGCCCTATGGAACAACAGAATTTAGTTATTTACTTCCAACAAGACAGCTGCTCAGAGAGCAAACTATGACAAAGTTTGTTGCTTTATTTCATTTCAGACAAATCTTCCAAAATCGCTTGTGTTCACCTGGCCAAGAAATAGGACTGAGGCCTGCCCCAGGAAAATGGCTCAAAACAAAATGAAGAAACATACAAGGTTTGATAGTACTAGGGCAAGCACATACAAGAATTGTAGACTAGGGTTAGGACAAAAGAAATGTGCAGAAAATGAATAAAATTGACATTAGCTTTCAGAACAAAGTTAGTCTGAACTGCTCACACATGCAGTTTCTTTCACACATTTCCAGCTTTGAAGATTCAAGACTCTTCAAAAGTCAAGCAAAGAAAAGCCTTTCCAAAATTCCTTTAAGTTTATAACAAGGCCAGGAAACTTAACAGCATAATAAAGTCAACCGTAATCAAATAATTAAAACTTACATCACAATGGCTGACAGCTAAATAAAAACACAATGAAAAGTACACAAGAGATGTACCATACTAAAAGAGGTTCATATTATCATTCATCACATTGGATTTAATTTGGGTACTTAAAACAAAAACAAAATTCAAAATTAGCAGAAAGACTACTAAAAAAAAAAAAGCCAAGAGTTAACTGTCCATGCAAAGTTTATCTTCAGTCACACATTTAATAAGCCTTTGCTGCAAGATCAAACCTCTCCCCACAACATAACAATTATGTGACAATCATGAGCACAAATATCAAAATGATTGAGCAGTCTCTTCAGGCTGAGTTGTGAATGTTGAGACGGAAGATGTCATGTGCACAGTAGAAGGAGCCTCCCAGGGGCTTCAGCACAAATGTTTGGGAGTAGGCATGTGGGGGGTCTTCGTCACACTGTAAACACACACAAGATTAATTAGAGAACTGGGCAAACCATTTTAAATACAGATTAAAAGATACAAAATTGTGTTTCAAAAGAAGTAAATGTGTTACAAATATGAAAAAAAAAATGTTAGTTAATAATTTTTTTTCAAAACCAGGAGATTAACAGATTTCTAGAAGAGTTACAGGAGAATCATGCAAAATCAAGCCCTGCTAAGAATATGTATTAATTTATCAAACTATGATAATTAGCAAACAGCAAGCACTCCTCCTCTCCCAAAACAAATAAAAATAAATGTATCAAATGTGATTAAACAAACTCCTGAATACTAGATTAACATTGCAACAGGACAGGCAGGTTGAGAGCAAGTTACAGAATTAGCACTGTGGTAAGCAAGGTACACAGCTTATGCATTAAAAATTCTGTCTAGCCTGCTACCTGTCTCCAGTTGTAGTGCTTTTATACACAGTCATGAAGTGCCAATCTGAACACATCATGCTGGACATAAAAGCTTGTACCAATAGGTTTCAGAACAAAAGTCTGGATATATGCATGAGCCGGATCTTCATCGGTCTGCAGAAAGTCACAAGAACCACAGGTCAAAAGTCTGACACTCAAACAAATGGTTCAACTTAAAATGAATGAGATAACAGAGAGCCATAGCACTGACAAAAGTTCAAACACAATAAAAAATATTTAAAAACTTACCTGCAATCTTCCCAAAACATTAATGAGAACACCGCCATCAAACATAGGTTGAGAGTCGACTGCTGTAATCATTCTGTTGATTTTTTGAAATGCTAGACTCTGCAAAAAAAAAAAAGAAAAAAAGAAGAAGAATTTTAAAAATTTATTTACACTAAACACACAGACAAAATTTAGATCAATTACAATTGGACCTTACATTCAATTTTTCCATAATGTTCTTAGCTCCTTGTAGCTGAATGCCCTCGAACGTCATGAAAGAGGTTTCTGCCTGTAACAAACGAAAATAGATGGATGAGTAACAGGACTTTCCATTCGATTATTGCACAATTTTGGACAGACATCCAAACGATACTGTAACAAAACTGCTAACTAGTCAAAGCAAGAGGACAAAACATCTTGAAAATTAATTTCGTCAAAATTGGATCTGCAATAAATAAGTTAAAACTCCTTGCGCTTGAGCACATGGAAATGCCGTCTTCCACAACTTTGAAGGCTCTGTAGTGAGAACATCAAGAGCCGCAACAGTAAAACTTAAAAAGGCCAACTAGGAATGGCGAACAAAACACGAGCAGACATTGCTGCAAAGGAAGGACAGAACGACAAATAAAGATAGGCGATAGAGTAAACCGAAGTTTCTTTTGGCTCAAAGAGGGAAACATAACCTCTCCCAAAATGTCAAGACAGAGGGATAAACATCACCCACGGGAATGACCGCACGGCTTTCACAAAACCAAGACGGCAAACCGACACCACCGCAGCGAATTAGCGCAACCAAAGGCTGAAATACGCCAAAATAGGAGCATAAGGGCGCAAGAGTGGACACCCGCAGTGCCGGGACCACAACACTGTAGTCAGTAAACAATGACAGGTGCCGCCATGGAGAGAGAGGGATGAAAAATAGACACCCTAGGAATTGAAATTGGTTGTAAATAGTCTGGGAAATTATCAGATAGTGAAAAGCAGCGAAGCCAATACTCACATTGTACATGTTGGCGAGGTTCGGTCGTTGATTCGGATCGTCAAACAGGGCATAATACTGCTGTACGAATCCTTTTCCTATTGCTTCGTAGGCTGGATTTAGGGCCATGGTTCAAATAAAAAGAAAGTTTTAAAGGCAGCCGAGGAGAAGAATAATGAACACCTGTTTTGTGTACAAGAGAGACTTATTTGTCGAGCTTGAAGCTGACCCTTGAAGAGTCTCAGACCCAACGGCGGGTTGCGCTAGGGGAGGGGAGGGCAGGGGAGGGGCGGGGGAGGAAAGGGAGGGGGAGGGAGGGGGGACAGCGATAGGTCGAAACATCGTAAAAATCTCCTTTAAGTATTTAACATTCTTCGTACTCTATTTGGAACTGTCTTTGAGTCTTTGTAAATTTTATGATCCAAATAATCTTGAAAGACGATTGACTTGCGTCAAAAATAGATAAATCGTGGTGTTCTCGAAGCTTCTGCAGAGTAATCGAAGTGCTTCGATTGTAGCACCCTGGTTTGGTTCGAAGCTAAACATTGCAACGTGTTATGGCCTTCAATTAGTTATAACTTAGTTTCAACGTCTTTTATCTAAGAGAATGGCAGTTACGCTGGCAAAAGTATTGGAAACTGCTCAGGGCAGCGTGAATGAAACTTTAAAGGAGCTGACAGAAGGTAAAATTGTGACTAATGGGAGGTTATGCCACAGGCCTAACTGAGGCCAAACCTGTTTGCACTCAATGTGCGCACTTTGTAACACTCTTTATCAGAGGCCCTACTGTGTGTCATTCCTTTATTCTTATCTGGCTGGCTGGAAGACCCACCTCAGGATGTATCTTAGAACCTCATTTGGCAGTCAACATCTTACTTCAATTGCTCTATTGTCACTATCATATGAAAGAACTTTGTATGTGTGTGAGATGTTTGTTTCTGACAGCCTACTCAAATCTTCACACCATTAAAATCTTGGCTCTCTTTCGGAATTCTTCTGGAAAATACAAGTTTTAGAACCAATGATTGATTGCATGGTCGTTTCCCTTTGAGTTCATTCATTTTCTGATCTCAAGTTATTCTGGAGACAGCTTTCATTCATTTTCCATAACATCATTCAACTTTTGTTTTGCATCTTTTGCAGCTCCACTTGAAGAAGAAGATGAAGGTTTAGCTACCCCTGAAAACTTCTGGCAAGAGTTAGGTATGCTTTGAGATTGATTTTATAGGCAAAGAACTTGTTAAGATTTTCTTGACAATCTAAGTCGAACTGTGCAAATCAGGCATGAAGCAGTTTTCCTCATGCCCACCTGTTGAGTTTATCTTCAGATTTATTTATCTTCACATTTATCCTTCTATCTCAGGAAATGCTACTCAAAAAATCGCTAGTGAAGTTGCAAAGTTGACGCTTGTGCTAACTCAGCCTCCCAAGCCAACTGTCAGTATTGCTCAAAATATAGTCAATGGTGTTGAGGCTGCCTGGACAACTTTATTGTCGTCCTCTCGCAGATCTCCTCCCAAAGGAGCACTTCTTCGCAAGGAGTTGCGAAATGCTGTGCTGCGCATTGGAGAAGCACTGGCAACCCTTCTGAAGGCTCTTAAAGAGTGAGTATTGAGTATATGTCGATAAAATGCACCAAAAAGTAAAATTTAATTTATTTTAAAAAGCTCTGTTTTAAAAAGCTGTATATGTTTCTGTTGAAAACTGAACAAAACTTTGATCTATTTCAGAGCTGAAAATGGATCTGAACTTCAAATGACAGGACGTGTATGGGAAGCATGCACAGCTATGGAAAAGGTACCAAGAGATAACTTAGCTGCTACACGTTCTCTCCTAGCTAAAGAAGAATTACTACTTACAGATGCACTTCAAGAAATTGAGGAAGTAAGCCAAATAATTTTATTATAGAACTAAAGTGGTCCTTTTATAACAAACATTTAAAATGCAATAACTTTTTTTTTTCTCAGGAGCTTAAGTGTTCACGGCTTTCTGAGAATGATGATGTAGATAATTCAGCCAACTGGACTAATCAAGAAAAAGAGCTTTTAAATCCTTGCGTTGGCCTTGTACGCACAGCTCGAGCATCAATTAAGAAGGTTTGTATTTCTGAATAGATATGCATCTGTTTGGCTTGTTTCTTCCTGGTTAAATTTACGTATGTTAATTTTGTAGGTTGGAGAAGCAGTTCGTCTGAAAGGCCATTGTAGGGACTCTACTGGAGCGGAGCAACTTGATAGATTGGCTGTTGCTGCAGAAAAATTGAGCCCAGCTGTGGACACTTTTGTAGCTTCCATCTATCCTCCCATGAACAAATGTTCTGTCAGCTCAACTGTAAGCTGTGGATTTATATTGTCATTGTTTCCATGTCTTGTCTTTCTCTATTTCATAACCATAATCTTCATAATTTTGTCCTCTTTTTTTCAGGCACTAGCAGTTGTTACAGTTGTGCGAGAGTTCTTGGAGCTGGCTCGACAATGTGATGTTACTGGGGAGAGCGACAGTGAGTGGCTCAGTTTTCTCTTACGAGCAGTTGATCACAACAATAACAAAGTTCAACCTCTTCTGTCTCCTGACTGATTTATCATGTTAAATTAAGTCCATAAGTTAAATTGTTGCCATGTTGTCTTCCAGTTAGCTTCTGAATTGAATGTTATTTTCTAATGTATGTGTTGGGCTGGCCTCTAGTTAGGTTTTTCATTGCATTTTGTTATTGAAGAAGAAGTTAATACAATTTGTTTCAATTCCTTCTCTAGTTTTTATTGTAATTATTATACTTAATATGGTCAATTCAAGACTTAACTAATCACATTTCAGGACGGACTCGTTCGTAAACAAAAAATACTTGCTATACAAAGTATGGGTATTGTTTTTGCAAACAACTTAAAAATGGCAGTTGTCACTTGAAATGTGACATTGATGTGAACTATATACAAATTAAAATTGTTGCAAATGATATCAGCTTGTGTTTCTTAAGAAATAGTACATGTGTTCAAATATTTCCCTTAAAATAAATATGTACAATCAACAATAAACAAAACAACAATTTGATCATATTTTGATGAAAACCATTAAAAAAAGGCGGCACATCAATTATAAAGCTCATTTGAATATATATAAGTGTGAACTGCCTATGACTTCGCATCAGGCAAAGGTATTTCAAGCTTTGATATTATTGCTCAATACACCCAATTTACTGGAACCCATTGGTGTTCAGAGCTAAGTGTTTCCAGTTGCTGTACCACTTTGCGGAAAGTTTCATCATGATCCTCATTCACAATAACATAGTCAATGTACTTTTCATAGGTACGCTGCAGGCAAGCACTTTCTTCTACCATACGCAAAAGATCCTCCTCCTGAAAAATCATTTCAGAATTGGTCAATGGTTGTTTCGATCTATGAGTTAACACTAACTTCTAGTAACATAGTGAGTATGCTGTACCTCAAACATGGTTTGGAGAGACTGCAAAGTCCGAGCTCGCTGGGAGCTGAATCTGATGGAGCTCTGACGATCAAACTGTTAAAAGCAAGACATTATTAATCATTGATGAAGTGAGAAATTTTTTATAATTGGAGAAAATTGAACTTTAAAGACAATTATTAATTACCATCATGCTTCTGCTGCCTCTGCCATAATTATGGAGTGTTTTCAGCTGCTCCATTCCGGGAGCAGCAATGAAAATGACGTATGGCATGAACTCTGATGAATTGTGCAGAACTTTGAGAGCCTGTTTGCAGGGAGAGCAAAATGAAAAAATTACAATCCTGAAACTATTATTGAAAATCCAAGAGCAGAAAAGAGGTGAAGAGGAAAACAAACACAGGCTTACCGCTGGACTACAGTCTAGAACACACATTTTGCCATCATTGATTACTTCTCTAATTGAGTCTAGAGTGGTTCCATAGATGTGCCCTTTGTGCTCTCCATATTCAAAAAACTTGTGGTTCCGAATATCATTCTCCATAGTTTCTCTGTCCACAAACCAATAGCATTTTCCATTATCTTCATAATCTCGCTGGGGTCGTGATGTGTCTAAAAAGAGAGGAAAATATGTTACTTTAATGCTTTACTCAGGTACAGCATGTAATTTAAAGATAAGCTAAAACCCTGTGTTATCTTACATGGTATAACAGTTCCAAATTTGTCTACATTGCTGTTGATCAGTCGGTTTTTCAAAGTACGCCTTCCCACACCTTGAGACCCAACTAAAGCAAGGGTTCTTCGCTTGAAAGGGGGCATACGAGTGACTTCCTCATACAGCATCAACTCAGCTTTGTCATAATCATTGTTGGCTTTTGACTGGTATTTTATTTTCTTCTTTTTCTTTGAAATCTGGAAGAACAAAAAAATTAAAATTATACAAAACTTGTCTTCCATATTTAATCAGTCCAAGATCCATTTAGTTTATCGAACAGACTCACCCTTGTCCCACAAATTCCAATTTTGTGTACATAATCAGCGTCTGGTGCAACAAAAGCCTTCCTCCGCTCTTCCAACTCTTGAGAGGGGATGAGGCCAGCTGGACCATTCCATCCAACTCTTATGGCTTGCCACCAATTTGGATCATTTTGGTTTACAATCTAAAAAATAATTTAAAAAATAAAATAATTCAACTGACAAGAATATGAGAGGTCAAAAATTAGGGGTTTTATGGATTATTACTTACTTCAAGTACATCTCCATGCTGAAATTCCAAACCAATTTCTTTGCAAGGAAGCAAAGTATCCTCCATTGGGTTGTAATTAAAAAGAGCCCTCATATAACACTAAAATAAAATTTTAGATCAGTAAATGTTTTGGTAATAATTCATAATTTATAGCAGATGGGCTAAAGGCTTAATTTACTTACCACAGATTTGACGCCATTTTGTTTTGCTACATTTGTTGCATATTCATGAGATTCCTGGATATTATCTTCCTTGGCTGGGGCAACTTTGAAAGTAATGGATTCTTTGGAATAAGCAATACGCTCCTGCAACATCTCAGGCGATCCTACAGGGTAGCCGTTGACTTCCAGTATGACATCACCAACATGCAGAGTCCCTTGTTCTGCGATGAGGCCTCCTGTGAGGATACGTGCTACCAGTAGATTCCCATTGTCATCTACTTGTACTGTCATGCCCTAAAGCACACAAGAGTTGCAAATCAAAAATATGAACCACCAGGCATGTGAGAGCTATTTTTATAAAATTGTACGTACAAGAGGCTCATTAGGGTTTCTCCTCAAACCCACCAAACGGATCTCCTCGTTATTAATCATATTTATTATTTCTGGTTGCTGGAACTCCCACAATACATCAGGTTCCTCAGACCGTCCAGTTACCACATCATGTGATCCCAACACACCCTGTAAACAAAAAATATAAATTATTTATACAAAAATTAACAATGCTACTGAGTAAAACAAATTGACTGCTGTCATTTCTAAGACCAAACCTTTAAGTGCGGCTTGCGCAGCAGGTCTGCAAGCTCCCAAGCGTCTTTATTTTGAACTCTCTCGCAATCTTCACTGAGCTGCACAGCCAGACTTAACTTTGCTGGATTTGAGAATCTCTCTGGATTCTGCAACACACACAAGAAAGAATGATTAGTCGTCAAGTTTCACTGCCGCATTATCACTGTGGGGTGACTTCCCCCTCAGTCACTGGCACTACAACACTGGTCACGCCGCGGGGTGGGGGGAGGGGGGTGGGGCGCGGCGCGGCGCGGTTCCTCTCCACCAACTTTCTCCGTGCTGGGAACTCAAAACAATCGCTCAAATCACGTGCAGCGTCGGGTCGGCCGGCGGTTGCGGTGGCAAAATCGGCTCATAGAGCGATCGGGCGGGTGAGTCGAGTCGTCACCTGGACAAGGACAACGTCAGCACCGCGGGGCCGCGTAGCGCATGGCAGCGCAGCGTAGGCAGGGCGCCATGGAGAACGCCCCCTCCCACTGCAACGCGGCAACGCACCGCAGTGCCGTGGACATCGCCCGCAGCCCGCCGCGGGAATCGCCATGGGAATGGGACGCCCGCAGCGCCCGCAGCTTGGCACAGCAAGGTGCACCGTTCGCGCTGGACAACGCCGTGCAGCAGGCCAAGCAGGCCGCGTCGAAGGCAGCAAGGCGCGACGCCCTCGGCCGCGGCTGCGTGCGAACGCGGCGCACACAGGTGCGTGCCGTGGCCGGGCCGCCAGCGTGCACGGGAGCGACGCAGAGGGAAGGCAGCCGCCGCGGACGCAGCCCGAGGTAGCTGCTGGCGGCCGCGGGCTGGGCTGGGCTGGGCTGGGCTGGGCGGGGCCCTACACCGCGAGTTCTGACGCGACGGCCGCGGCGCTGGACACCATCTGCAGCTGCAGGTGCGGCGGGCAGCTTCAAACGCCAACGGACGGGGAATTTAAATCCAGGTGGGGTGGGCTTAGCTTCGGCAGCCGCGCTCACCTGACGGAATGCAGAACGGACAACGGACGCGAACGGGTCGGGTATGAACGTGGCTCCGTTCCGTTCCAGAGGTACTCCTTCCTCCAGGCCTCTGGTCGGTGGTACTGGTTGGCTGGCGGCTGGTTCGCTGGCTGGCCGCGCCGCGCCGCGCTGGCGTGCTGCCTCGCTGCCCGCCCGTCGGACGGCGGGGTGGGGCGCGGGCGGCGGGGCGCGGTGCGGCAGCGCTCGCTACACCTCTACACCTCTACCCTACCTCCGCCGCACCGCCGCTGTGCCCATGGCTCCGCTCTGCCCGGCTCTGCCCCACCGCCACCGCCGTGGCATTCCTGTTGCCCCGCGCTACGCCCCGCCACACCGCGCACCGCGCCATGACAGTGCCATGGCTATGGCGTCAGCGGCATGGGACCAGGAGAACCAGGGGGCAGACGCTGGCAGACGCCAGACGTAGCCATGGGGCCTGCCTGCCTGTCCCGCGGCCGGCCCGCCAGCCCGCCAGCCAGGAGAGGGGCGTCTGCAGGGCAGGACAAGGCAGGGCAGAGCAGGGCCCGTCCGGCAACGAGGTGCTCCGTGAGTCACCGGGGCGTCGGGGGCGAGGCTCATTCCGAGCAGAAAGACCCGTCGCTCTGTCTCTCTCGCGCCCATACGGGACGCGCCATGAGCGCAAGAGAGAGAGAGACCTCCCACTCGGACTCCGCCCGCTGGGCGTCGCGGCCGTTGACACGACCCACTGCCGTGGGGGCCATGAATGCCATGAATGGGCCAGTGGTGCGCTAGGCGGCGCTTGGCGGCGCTAGGCGTGGAGGCGAGGGTGTGTCCATGGAGTGGCCGCCGCACGCGCCGAATGCGAGCATGCGGGGCAGCCGTTTCGTTGCTCTGTCTCTCTCGCACTCACGGGGCTCTCCGTACGGGTGTGAGAGAGACAGCGACAAACCGCTCCACTGATTCGCTCGGCAGGCCGTCAACGAGGATAGCGGCCGCCGATGAGCATTGGGGGCTCAATCTATCCACGCCCACGCCGTCGTCGGGAATCGGGAGCCACGCGACTGACAGTCGTTCTGCCACCGCTACACTGTAGCGCCTACTAGCGCCTACTAGTAGGCGCCTGCCGGGGCCGGGGTAGGCAGCCCGCCGCACGCCGCCGCGCTCAACCGGACGGGTTGCCTAGCGCGCGCCTGCAGCCCGTCGCTCTGTCTCTCTCGCACCTGTGTTACGGGACGGAGGACGGCGCGCACACGGGAACGGATTTATTTATTTTCGTGTAGCCCCACCCCCGCGCTGTTTGGACTGGATGGATTGGCGGCGTAGTCCTGGAGGGTGCGCCGAGTCTCTCTACCCCTAAGGGAGGGGAGGGGAGGGCTGTAATGGCGCCCTGTCACGTGACAGCCCCGCGTCCGAGCGGCCTGCCTGCGCGGCCCAGGGCGCCAAGGGGTGGTCTACCTGGTCCGACCTGGTCGAAGCCAAGGCGATCGTTGACGGTTCTACGTCGATTCTCCCTCCAGAGGCACAGGCGGGCGCGCCCGGTTGTTTTTGTCCGGGACTGTCGCGCATTGTCAGCACAAAGCGAAGATGATTTTCCTATGCCGCTATGCGCGTCGCGCGTTTACCGTACAGTACACTCCGGCACAAAGAAGAATTTCGGAGGCTTGCTATGCTGAGCTATAAAAGGGTGCGGGACAGTAGGAGCGCTTAGGGGAAGGGGGAGGGAAGGGGAACACTCTTCGACCGCTTTCTTTGTTTCTATGCATCTGCAAGATCGGAGCCTACCAATGGCCTTCCAGAGGTTCGCGGATCCCTCACAGTCAGTGCACCTACCCGCGGCGGTCGGGACAGCTGCAGCTGCACGCCCACGTTCGACGGCGTCCTCGCCCTCACGTCGACGTTCACCTCGACGGCGCAGCGAGCGGGCCGCAGCGCGGGGGCCGCGGGCGCGACGCCGTGGCGCGTGAGTCCACGGTGACGGGCAGCGACGGGCAGCCGGCTGTCCGGGACTTGGAAGTGCGCGCGCCGCGAGCCGCGTCCGCGTTCCATGGCTGGAGGGCGGCGACGGCGACGGCGAGGCGACGGGGGCGGCTCGACGACGCGTACTGGTGAGGGCTGTCCGCGCTGCCGAGGCGGTACCGTACCAGGCCGCGCCGCGCCGCCCCCGGCAACCCCAGGCCCACAAGGCCCAAGGCCCACCCCATCCGTCGCTCCCGCCACTCGTCACCATCAGATAGCAAGGGCCTTCCCCCACCAGCACCCGCGCACCCCAACCCTCAGACCCCGTCGTCGTACGGTACGCATCGCGTCGGCCCCGGTGCGCCGCGGTGGCCGGCAGTACCAACCTCTCTCCGCGCGATGCTCTCCAGGAAGATGAGGTCCGTGTCCGTGGAATGGGAGTCCCTGGCGCTGAGGCCGCCGACCGGAGCGGGCGTCGGCAACTCGATCCCCAGGGCGTCGACGGAGTCCAAGTAGCCGGCTGGAACAAAGAGGGGACACTTTAGACGCTGGGGCCTTTGTTGGCGGGGCGTAGAGGAGCCAGGGGACCCGCAGCCCGAACAATGACGACGACAATGACGGCCGGAAGGTTCAGATTGCCGTTCCGGTGTTCCGGCCGCGAGGCGCGTCGCGCGCGGAGACGCTGTCGACAAGCCACACATCAGCAGGCTCGAGCTGTCACTCTCGCACCCCTACGAAACGCCTTTGAGTGCAAGAGAGACAGCGCCCAAAACGCATCAGCTACCAGGCTCACGCTGTGCTGGAGGTGGGGGCGGGGGCGGCACTGGGGGCACGGCCGTCACTTTGCCGAATGTGACGCGCCCTTTGGCGGCCGGGGGCGGCGCGGGGGGCGGTGAGGCGAAGGCCGGGGGCGGCAGCAGCACGGTGGGCGTGGCCAGCACCCGGACGACGGGGTCTAGCGGCGGCGGCGGCGGCGGCGGTGGCGGTAGGGACGGCGGCGCTCGAGGCGTTGGCGCCAGCAGTGGCGACGCCTCGCCATCGTCGTCATCATCCGAGTCGTCGCGGACGTCCAGCGCGCGGACAAGGGCCTCCTCCAGGGCCTCGGACACGGCAGTCTGCGCCGGGCCAGGCGAGGCGGGGGCGGCGGGCGGTGTTGGGGGCGGCGTGGGCAGGGGCGATGAGGGCGGGAACGCAGTGGGCTTCTTGGCGCGGCCTTGCGGAAGCTGCAGCACGAAGATGGGGGCCGAAGTGCGTCGCGACGGGTTGGTGGCGGTGAGCGTGGACTCCGAGGGCGGCATGGACTGGTGGCCGCGGCGGACGACCCCCGGAGACCGACGCAGCACCGGCGGGTCGTCCGAGTCCCAGGCCGGGACCTCCGGAGGCGTGGGCAGCGTCGACGGCGACCAGAACGGCACATAGTGCGGCGTGGTGGGGCTCGGGGGCGTGCCGGGGGCGGGCGCCGACGGGGGGCGGTGGCGGCTGTGGTGACGCGGCCACCAGCTCCAGGAAGTGGCGGCGAGCGGCGGCGGCCCGGAGGCGGATCGGAACAGGCCGGAAGCGGACACGGTCGAGTTGAGGGCGGGCGGGGGGCGTGGCGGCGGCAGCGCGGGAGGGAGCGGCGGCGCCGCCGTGGCTGCCGCCCCCGGGGGCGGCGTGGGCGTGGGCGTCGCGGCCAACAGGTTGGCGAGGTGTGCCATCGCGGCGACGGACTCCGACTGCACTGTCGGCGAGGCCGAGGCAGGCCTGGTTCTTGGCAGGTGCGAAGATTGCGCGCGCACGGCGCCCAGCTCGCACCTACACCTTCGTCACCACGTCACACTGCCGCCGTTGTCGCATTGTCGCGCCAAGCTGCCCCGCTGTTGTCGTTTGGAAATTAATTTTTTCAAGGGCTCCTCGCGCCTGGCATGGCGCCTGGCTTGCCCGCTGGGCTGGGCGGCGCCAGGCTGCTTGGCACGGGCCGTCTGGAATTAGGCCACGCTAGGGAGCGCGAGAACAGCGTCATCTGCCCCGGCAGGGCAGGGCAGGGCCAGGCCGTCGCACCGAGGGCCGAGGGCAGGCCGAGGACGGCCAGCAACGCGCGCGTCGCGTCGCGGCGTGGCGCAGCGCCTGCAGTGCTGCGTGGGCGGGTCGGCGAGTCTGCGAAGCTAGTAATAGGAGGCTAACAGGCATTAACTGTTACTGCCTGCCGCGTCCGGGCCGGGCCGGCCGTCCAGACAAGTTGGTCTTATCAAGCGACGACCACGGCCAGCCCTTTGTTACATTCATCCTGATTCGTCGGGCGCGCGTCTCGGCCCTAGAAGTGCAGTCCACGGACCAGAGGCCGCCGGGGTTTGGGTTTACCGACTAACTGTCCACAGGGAAAGCAGGCGAGTGCAGCACGGCGCCGGACTGCGCAGCAGGTGCCCGCCTCCGCCTCGCCTCGACGGCGTCCTGGGAAATCCCGGGCTAGGCAGGCCGAGGGCCGAGGGTGTGGGAAGGTCCGTCATTCAAGCAAGGCCCGTCCTTCCGTCCCGCATTCACGGCCACCTCGGCCACCCCACTGCCATTCAGCACGCTTCCCATGTCCGTTCCAATTTTTTGAATCGTCGCAGTGCAGTGACCGCGCGGCGTGATTCGGGGCGCGTGCGCGGGTCGCGGGTTCAACGCCCGCCGCCGGGGCCCTTTTATCTGGCGTCGGCAAACACGGGCGCTCCTCTTTCCGGGCGGGGAGCACAGGGCCTCCTTCTTGTCGCCGGGGAGCGGAGCGCGGAGCACAGCGCGGCATGGAGGCAGCGGCGGGGCGGCCGGCTGGTTTCAATTCCCGGTCGGACGGGCTGGACAGGCTGGCCAGGGTCTCGGTCTTGATGAGCACGTGGGAAATGTGTGCACAGCGATCCTGCCATCCTCGTGTTCGTAAATAATCAAGCGGCTCGTGCGGCCGCCGCCGCGGACACGCGGCCAGCAGCCTGGTTTCAAGCGTCGCTCCGTCTCTCTCGCACCCTTACGGAACGCGCCATGAGTGCGAGAGAGACAGAGCGGCGGTCCGCGAAACGGCCGCCGGCGCCACCGGAACCCGATGGCCAGATCCACGGCGTGGACGTCCTTGCTCGGCGTGACGTGACGCCTCGCCGCCACGCGTCACACGTCACGCGGCGTGCGACGGTGACAGTGTGACAGCCTGGCCGAAAACGACGTGACCCCCAAACGAGTCCGACGAGTCCGACGGCCGCGTCCTCCGTTTCTCCTTTTTTGTGGCTGTTGTTCGGAATTAACCTCCTGCCTTCACTGCCACTCCGTGTCTACTCCCACGCCGAGTCGCGTGCTCGCTTCTTGCCTGCGCCCTTGCCAAAGCTCGCCCAAAACATTTCGCACACACGTCGCTTCCCTGTGAAAACGCCATTCTCGTTCGCATCTGGTTCCTTTTTGGCTGTGTGGGCAGCGGTCAGTGCACGGCCTACGGTCGTCGTGGCGGTCATCGGTTTATTTTGTCAATGTCTGGCGGACGGGGCGGCGCGGCGCGGGGGTGGGCGGAGGGGGCGGGGCGGCGGACTGGACCGCGCAGGTAGACGTATTATTGTAGGCTCCCCTTACCTGGGAAGCCAGTGCGATCCTGCCCCTCCCCCTGCCACGACGCGCCACGGCGTGCCACGACAGCAGCTCAGCTCGGCGAAGAGCGAAAAGCGAAGAGGCGAAGAGCGAGCGAAGGCGAGCTTTGGGGGTTTCTTTCCTTCTGTTACTGCGTCTCTGCGGTGCCTCTGCTGCGGAGCGCCCTGGCATTCAGGACGGCTCGAGTCACAGAATATTTTCCGCCGAAAACAAGACAGCGGCTTTCGGTATTCGAACCCGGGAACCTCAGGAGTAACCTGAAACCGGGGCGCCACCGCGACTACGTGCCCCGTCCGCCGGGTCGGGTGAAATCCGTTGTTGACAAACAGGACTCGCCGGACAAAGTCTGGCCGGCGCCTGCCACGCCCCGCGACGGTGGAGGGGCCTGGACTCGGCGGACAGGCAGGACTACGCGGCGCGAGAACACGTACTGCCTCGTACTGCACACGTAGCGTGACAGCGCGCCGCGCGATGCGGTAACCGAAATCCATTTTCCTCACTTGCTCTGCTTCGTTCTTCGTCTGCAACGCGAATCGCGTCCGCCGTGCTTTCTCCGACCTGCAGACCCGGACGAGAATTCCGGCGTTCAGACACTGCAAGGCTGCAACCCCAAACTTGGCAGCGTGCCTGCCTGCCTGCCTGGCTCACTGGGCCGGCGACGGCTCCGTTTCCAACGTTTCCACCGTGCCCTCGTTTGCTTCTCGGGACGGACCCACGGACCCCGTCATTTCGCTACCCGCCGCGCGCCGCGCCTGGGGGCCGTCCCGTCCGTGCTTTACCCTTTTACAAAGCGCTCAGCCGCTCCAGCCTCCAGCCTCCAGCCTCCAGGTCTCCGGGCGTCTCCGGGCGTTGCAAAGCGTAATCCGGGATCCCGCTCTCCTGGGGCTCAATGGTCCTGTGGCACGTCGCAAACACAGACAGACAGACAGACAGACAGACAGACGTCGAAGGGTGCCCTTCCCGCCACTGCTTGACGTGGAGCCCAGGTGGTGCAGGTGCATCCCTGATTAGCGGTACCGCGCTGCGCAGCCCTGCTGCGCAGCCCTGCGTTGGATGCACTGATTCCGAGAGTCGTTTCCGTCGCTCTGTCTCCCTCGCGCTCACGGAACGTCCCGTCAAGGTGTGAGAGAGAGTGACTGACACTTCGCCGCTGCACTGTTCAGGTGCACCGCGGCGCCGACTTACCAATGCTAATCGGGCGCGGTGCAGGCGGTGCAGGCGCCGCAGCACGCCGCCGTCGCCGCCGCCGCCACCACGCCGCGAGCCACGACATTACACTAGGATTGTCTGCGGGGTTTCCTCTCGGGCTTCGCCGGCTTCGCCTTGGCCGTCCTTGGAGGCCGCGGCAGCAGGCCGCGCGGGCCGCGGCAGCAGGCCGCGCGGGCCGCGGCATCGTCGGGGTGGTCCGGTCGCGCGGCCACTCGCCCTGCGCCCCGCCGTCCGCGCCCTGGCTAGCAGTGTGACTGTGTGACCCGCGGCGGGGCGCAGGGCGCGGGGCACGGCGTGCGGGCAATCGATGCCGCCCTGGCCGCCCTGGCTGTGATACTACTGACCCGACCAACACGGCCTTGCGTCCTTGCCTCGCGGATCCAGTCCACCCCAAGGCCGCGCAGCGAGTCGGCGCGACGCTTTTAAAACCTCTGGTTTTTAAACCAGCCAACCCCTTGCAGGCAAGGACTGCGACTCACCGTTGACACCGGCAGCCTGGCGGTTGTTATCCTGGTGCACTGCATCCTGGCTGGCCAGCAGCTCCCGGACGTCGTTGCGGGCCTTACGCCCAAAGCGCACCATGTCGACGATCTGTGTCGCACTGTCACACACACTGGCACACACACGCGCGTACACGCGCACGCACACACGCTCTCGCGACGCGGCTTGGGCGACGACGGGAACGCCGACCGGGACCTGTACTCGCGCGGAGTGGAGTGAGTGGAGTGAAGCAGTACGGCGGCATGGACGGCGAGGCGACTAGCGTGCCTGTCTGGCTGGCTGCCCTGCCTGGCCGGCTCGGGCCGCGCTGCCGCGCCGTGGCGGTCAGGGACAGTCGAGGCTGGCAGCCACTCACGCCGTGGCCTGGAGCAGGTTGAGCCGAAGCCCCTGCTCGCTGCCCTGCTGCCTGCTGCCCCCCGCGCGGCCATCCATCCCAGTCCCAAAAAACCATGGAGCACATGGGGTCCCATGGATGACTTCCCACGAGACGATGATCTTTCGCCATGGAAATTTAGGAAAACACCACGAGCACTCTTACACCACGGCATGGGGCGACAAATAATTCCGTGGTGAAAGAACCACCATGGTGTCTATCGTCATGGTGAAGCATGGCTTCCCCATGGTGGCGCTCGCACCATCGTAACGTGCTCTTGCCCGTGCGTTGAAGTCTCCAGAGATTATTCAGAATCCCTCTGCAACTTGAAAACTACTAGAGATAGAGTGACGGCGACCGCTCCATCGTGTTCAGCATCGAATTTTTACGTGGGTGAAGAGAACAGATGAACGCCTCGTGTCTCTTCGCTTGACTTTATGACAAGGCACTTGGCACGCCATGTGTACGAGGGATGTCATGGGACCAGTACACCATGCAAACCAGACACCATGGAATTTTCTCATGGTAAAAGGGGCCAAAAATGAGGGGTGTTTTGGACACCATGGGATTTTGCTTCCCATGCAATCCCATGATGTCCCATGCACCATGGGACCCTCCATGGTTTTTTAGGACTGGGCAAGCCATCCCTCCCTACCCGAAACGCAGCCGAGGTACCCGCCGAGGGGAGGGAGGTTGTGGGGTGTGTCCGGCAGGCCGAGCTGGCAGCCAGCATGCAGCCAGGCAGCCAGGCAGGCAGCCAGCCGGGCGGACAGACGGACACGACCGTCCCCTCACCTCAGGGAATGCGGTGGGGCGTGGCGCGGCGCGGCGGTTGGGTTGGGTTGGGAGAGCCGTATGACTGGAGAGACTGGAGAATGAGGAGGGGAGAGGGGAGGGGGAGCGAGGAGAGGCACAAGGACGACGGCTGCATCGCAGCACTGCGCTCCGCCACGCCGCGATGCAGCTCAGGTTGGCTCAGGTAGCCCGCGTGAATGCCGCCCCCTTCCCCCACTCCTACACCCACACCTGTGCAGCCTAGCAGTGCAGCCCCTCGTAAGCTCCTGCTAAGCTCCCCCCTCCCCTCCCCAACCCCCGCTCCCTCCACCCTTCTGCCGTGGCGCGCGCACACTGCACACACTGCACACACACTCACAGACATGCAAAGGATGCTGACGGCGTGCCCTTGGCTTTCCGGTACCCTTCCTGGTCGCCAGGCATTCGATAGGGAAGTCCCTGCGCGCGGCCGCACGCTTGGCGCTGCTGCCTCGGTGGCCCGGACTCCAGAAAGCCCGAAAGTGTCGTCACCGCGACCGCGACTCGCTCTCGCTTTCTTGTTCTGGCCGACTAAAACGGTGTCCACGCTCTCCTGACGCGTTGGTTTGCACGCTACTCGTACCTGCTGGAGGTCGTGCAGTGGAGGCGATGTGGCGGCGCAGCGCTGGCGAGGCCTCTCGTCGATGCACTGGACGTGAGGTCTAGCGGTCTAGCGACGCGTACAAGCGCAGGAGGCTCTTGATGGGGCGGGGGGACCATTCGGTGAGTCACCTATTGTGCGCCTCATTTTGAATGACTCACGCTCGTGGCGCCACTATTTGCCCGCTCGATTTCTCATGCTGCCGCGGTGCACGTCTGAAGCGTTATGGCCGATTTCTCATACTTCAACTGCCCTCAGTGCGACAACAACATCGTGTGGTGTGTGGTTTTGATCGGGGTTTGTCGTGAATTCGATGTAAATCCCTCGATCCGAGCCCCATGACAGCGGTAGGGGACGGGGCGCCCGGTCCCGGGCAAGGTGGAGACAACGGTCCTGTCGGCAGCTGTTCGAGTGGCGGCAGTTTGCGGCCTCGAAATGGGACTGGCGGTGCAGCAGACGGCCCCCATGAGGTTAAACCTGTTAAAGCTACTTCGGACCGATTGAACTACTCAGGGAAGACCATCCTCGCCCCCATGGTGCGTGTTGGCACCCTCCCGATGCGTCTGCTGGCTTTGGAGTTTGGCGCTGACATTGTGTACTCAGAGGAACTCATCGACTGGAAGTTGTTGCGCTCCTTCAGGAGGGTCAATGGTGAGAGCGCTCTCTTCTTTTCGCTGCATTTAAGCTCGATTTTTCTTTGCATTACTGTATTTTGAACTTTGGAATTTTTTGGCACTATCTTTGTGATAATGTCACCTTTTTGTTGTGCAGATGTATTGGGGACGATAGACTTTGTTGACGAAACTGATGGGACTATTGTGTTCAGGACTTGCGCTCGTGAGCGCAATAATGTAGTTCTTCAAATTGGAACATCGGACCCAGAGAGAGCTCTCAAAGTAGGCAAAATAGTGTAAGTATTAAGCTATTGTTTTGGTTCAAAGTCTTCCATTTTGGGTGGCCCTTGTCTGATCATTCAAATTTCTTGCAGAGAAAATGATGTGGCTGGTATAGACATCAATATGGGATGTCCCAAGGAATTCTCTGTGAAAGGCGGCATGGGAGTCGCCCTCATGGCAGACCTGGAGAAGGCTAAAAGTGTTTTACATACTCTGGCAAGTGGTGTCAGTTGTCCTGTTACTTGCAAAGTACGAGTGCTTCCTGACGTTGAGGCCACTGTAGAAGTGTGCAAGGCTTTAGCTGAAACTGGTATTGCGGCTATTGGTGTCCATGGTCGAACAAGAGATGAGAGACCACAGCATGGCAATCGCAACCACTACATTCGAGCTGTTGCAGAAGCCTTAAGCATACCTGTTATTGCAAAGTATGTGATCTCATTAATCTCATATTGTTTTTAGTTTATTTATTTATTTTTCAGTAATTTGATTTTCTTTTCTTCTCTAGTGGTGGATCTAAAGAAATTTTATGCTTTGAGGACATTGAAAAGTTTAGAACTGATACTGGTTGTTCAAGTGTCATGGTGGCCAGAGCAGCTGAATGGAATGTTTCAATATTCAGGAAAGAAGGATTACTTCCTCTAGATGATGTTATCAAGAAATATTTAACTCTTTCTGTAGACTATGACAACAATGGTTCAAACTCAAAATATTGTGTCCAAAATATGCTTCGTGAGCTCCAGGAAACACCTCGAGGCAAAGTTTTTTTGGAGGCTCAAACTCTTGAGCAAATTTGGTCAGTACTGTTTCTGTCAGCCTTAAGTTATTTTATTTTTGGTGCTAAAATGTGCAATAATTATTTTTGTCCTTTTCAGTGCTGTGTGGGATTTAGCTGATTACTGCCGAAAAAGACAACTGGAATTCAAAGCAGCAGGTTTACTAGGAAGAAGAGAAATCTGTCCTCAAATACTGCGGCAAGAATCAGCTGACAATGGCACTCCTACTAAAAAAATTAAACTTCAGGAAACCAATGTATGCATTTTGAATGTCAGTCATTAGCATCAATGACCCTACCTAAGTTCACTGATGTATCTTACCATGTACATTTTTTTCCAGGATGGAATTATTACAATGAAAATTGCCTATATCCGTAGCCTTTATCCCACAGACAATGATCTTCCAAAAACACGGTTGTTGGGATGGGTGCGAACTCAAAGGATAGGCATGCCATCTTACAAAACTATTCAAGAGGGAAAACTTTTTCAGTCTGTGTTAACTGTGAATGGTGTCCAGTATACATCATCTATGTGGTAAAAGTTCACTTAATTTGAAAAACAGGTAAAATTGTTCTAGCTAATCTCAGATTAATTAATTCGAGTTGTCTGATTTGTTTACAGGGAAAAGAACAAGCGCTGGGCAGAACAGGGTGCAGCTTTGGTTTGCCTTTGCTCATTGGGCCAAGTGGACTCTGCAACCTTGAAAGCTGATGGAAGCATCTTATGACATGTGAGTGACAGGCTGGCATAACGAGTAACTTAACACCCAGTTTTTATAGTAAAATATTTTTTATTTTTTTTTTGCTTTGTTCCCTAGAATGACAAGGAATCGACATCTAAGTGCGTACCTTACTTATAAAAGATTTAAAGGGGCTGTGACTTAATGCAAAAAATAATCACTTTACAAATATGTTACATAATAAAATACTCACTGAAAACACATCTAGAGTTCATTTTCTTCCTGCGCAAACAAAATAATCTCGGGTCAGACGAAAAGAGGGAAGTCTTTCGCGGGTGAAAATACAGTGCATGGGGAGTAAAGTCTCAGCCAGCACGGCTGCGGGCCTTGGGCTACGCGGACTGGGTGGGCTGGGTGGCGCCGGGCGCAGCCGTGCCCGTCCTGCTGACGGTGCTGGTGCGGCGCCCGGACTCGGGCAGCAGGACGTTGGCCAGCCCCCGGCGCGACGTGAGGGCGGCGGACAGCGGCGCCGTCAGCACCACGGCCAGCAGCACGAAGAGCATGACGTCACGCGAGTTGCCCACGATGTCGCCTTTGTCGCCGCGGTAGCGCGCCTGGTCCAGCGCCAGCGGGCACAGCGCCGCCTGCCGCACGCAAACCACAAAACCCTGTAAAACTGTGAAACTAGTGGGTTGGCCGATGGTGGAGCACGGCGCGACGACGCGTACCTGGACGCCGGCCTTTGGCACCCAGGCCAGGGTGACGTAGAGCCGCTCCTTGATGCTGAGGTCCGTGTAGGCCGTCACCGCCATTGACACGGCGATGCGAACCTGCAACACGCCGAGCAGAGCGGAGCAGAGCGTAGCAACGCGCTAATGCCTCCGTCACAGCATCGGCACGTGGGTCTGGGCCGTGGACTGGGCCGTGTCCTCTGGCAGGGCGGGGCGCGCGCGGCTGGGCGGCCGCGTACCGGCAAGGCAGTTTGCACTTGGCCGACAAACGGCAACGCCGAAAACAAAGGTCGCGCCATGCCGCGCCCCGAGGCAAAGAGAAGGAAGCACAGCGCAGTGGCATCGCATCCCCCTCGGCCAGAGGCCAGAGGCCCCGGAGCGCCCGATGAGTCGAGGGTAGGCCCGCCCGCAGCGCACGAGCGTGCCGCCTGGCGGCCTAGCCTCGACTCGTCGGGCGCTCCGCCTGCGTCCACTCCGAACGGCGGTTTCGTCGTCCTGTCTCTCTCGCACTCATTCGGCGTCCCGTATGGGTGCGAGAGAGACAGAACGGAGTAGGCGCTCACCAGCCAGGTGCACAGCAGGACGACGATGGTGAGCAGCAGCTTGTCCGTGTCGAAGCTGCTGCTGAGCTCCACGTCGGCGCCCATCAGGCAGAACATGACGGGCTGCATGACCCGCCACATGACGTCGAACACGGTGGCCACCGGGTTCTGCGGGGACAGAAAGAACGGGTCTGTTGGCAGCGGACCTGGAAAACACTGGGGAAAGCGGCCTGCCTGGCCAGAGGGCCGAAAGCCTTACCCCTCGGTAGTCCGTGCCCCAGCCCTGCTTCCGCCAGCCCCAGCTGGACGACCAGGCCGCCACGATGCACGCCGCCGGGCCGCCGCCGAAGAAGCCGATGCGCGCGAAGCCCAGCATGGAGAACAGCCCCACGGACCCAATCAGCACCGACCGCAGCGACACCACCTGGGGCTGTGAGCAATCCATTGGTGGGGTCACACGTTCTGTTCGAGTCCCATTTAGCGACTCTGGAGCTCAAAACGCGCCAAGAGTTTTGGCCGGGCCGGGCCGGGCCCGCGACACTCACGTCGTAGCGGTCCGGGATGACGCGCAGGAAGAGCCCGGACACGACGCCGAGGAGCACGCCGCAGCCCACGCCCATCAGGCGGTGCAGGAACACGTAGGGGAGGGTGTCGCCTGCACGCAAAGGGGCGCCAAGGAAGTTGAGCCACTGGCAGACGGGAATGACAAACAGCACCGGCAAAACAAAGGCTTTTGCCTACGCCCTTAAGGTCATAGCATTCTTTGATGCTCTTTAAGGGCGTAATAAGTTAATGCCTTAATGTTTTACCAGTGAGATTGCTCGGGGCGTGCGGGGCGTGTGGCTGACCGGAGAAGGAGAAGGTGATGGCCACGGCCACGCCGAAGGCCACGATGACGATGAGGTCGTTGAGGCACGCGGCGGACATGAGCCTGGCCTGCACGCCGCGGCCCGCGCCCATCATGGAGAAGCAGGGCCCCAGGATGGAGGGGCAGGCCGCGGCCATGATGATGCCGGCCATGAGCGCGAAGGACGTCGGCATGCCCAACACGAACACGGCCATGACCGTGACGCACGCGAACTCCAGCAGCCCGGGCAGGATGGACAGCACCACCATGAGCGGCGACAGGCTGCGCATGCCCGACGTGTCCAGGTGGAAGCCCGTGCGCACCATGAGCACCACCAGCGCCCACGACCTAAGGACAGCGTTCGCAGCGCTCGCGTCAGGGCTGGGGGTAGCAAGGCCGCGCACGGAGAGCCGGGCAGGCGGCACGCACAGTACCTGGCGATGTAGATGAGGGCCTCGTGCTGCAGGCTGAAGTACTCGATGTAGCCCAGCTGGCGGACCAGCACCCCCACGAGCAGCATGCCGAGCAGCGGCGGCAGGGAGGTCGCCTTGTGCAGCAAGATGCCCACCACCTGCACCAGACAAACTGTCAGCCCGGGCCTAGAGAGCGCTTTGCCGAGGCGCCTGGATCGGAAGCACTGGCCTGCGCGAGCAGCACGGCGGCGACGATCTGGGACCAGCCGCTGCCGCCCACCAGGAGGATGGCGTTGCCGAGGAAGAGGAAGCCGATGATGGTCATGGAGAGCAGGCGGGTGATCCAGGTGCTGCTGGGGCACAGGGGGTGCGCCAGCATGCGCTGCGTGGACGCCGACAGGCAGCGGCCCCATTTCCTGCCAAAGGAAACGGACAGGCTGTTGGGTGTGCGCCGCTTTAATTCGGTCACTGCACTTCCACGGTGGGGGCACTCACGCCAGTAGAATCGGGACGCAGCACTTGTCGGCGTTGTCGTCCTCGGGGAAGGACGTCGCCGCCGAGCCCGGCAGGGCGGCCGGGTGCACGGACCCCCGCCGCGTCTGCTTGGCGGCGTGGCCGTCGGCGGAGGCGGGGCCGCCGTTCGGCAGCGCGTCGACGGGGTGCTCCGCTTGAGCGCGGTGGTGCCCCGCCTGCGCCTCGGGCTGCTCGACGTGCTCGACGCCGTGCTCGGCCTGCCCCATGCTTCCCTCCGCCTGCCTCGCCGGGCTGGGCTCAGGCCGCGGGCTGAGCCACTGGGCTGCCTCGAGGGTGGCCGACGCCAAGGGGGGCGGCAACACTCCTGCCCAAAAACAACCGCAAACTTCCCAAATCCCTTCCTCATTTTGCTTTCACAGGTGCCCGCCCCCGCCGCCGAGCTCACCGTGGCCGTCGTCTTCGTACTTTATGACGAGGAAGCGCTTCACCGTGTAGGCCTCGGCGTTGGGGCTCTCTCCGCCAGCCGAGAGCGGACGAGGCACTGGGGCAACATTTCACCATTTTCCAAGTGAGAGTGGTCAGAGCGTGCATTCGAATACCGGATGCGCGCAGATTTTCACCCTACCTGGCGACGCTCCGCCGGCTCCGCCACGCTGGTGGACGGAGGGTGGCGGGGCGGACTGCGGCCAGGTGGGGTGCGGACTGCGTTGGCTGCGTTGCTGTCGCTGCAGTCGGTGCCGCTGCTGCCGCAGGTGCAGTTGTTGCTGCTGGTGTATCAGGTCCGTGGGGAGCTTGAGCTCCTCCAGGCTCGACTTCCGCGAGCGAAGCCGCCGCTCCCTCAAAGACTTGCCAGAATGGTCCTGCTTCTTGTCCACCACTCCGGCAGTCATGACTTCTGCGAGGAGAAGCGGAGAAACCCACCGGATCAAACCGCACCTGCACTAGAACGCAATCCAAGCAGTGTCACTTGCCTTCGAGGGGCCGTTGCGAAGCAGCATTCGTGTTGGCGGTCCGTCGCTTGGGTCCGCTCAGCACCTTCTGAGGTGGCACGCGCTGCTGTACCGGGACAGCAGACAGACAGACGGGCAGACAGACCGACACACTGGGAATGGCACCTATTAGAAGCCTCGTCTCGCGGACTCTTTCTAATCTGAACACTGCAGCCACTCAAAGGAATAAGTGCAATTGCTCAGTGTGTATTGTCAATAGTGCGTGTTCAATTATAGTTGGGTGAAACAGAAAAGTCAAAAACTCTTGGTAAATCCAGGTTGTTTATTTCCATTTTTGAAAAAGGCAACATGTATGCATCAAGGTGACAGATAGCACATGGGTATCAAATCAAATCAATTTTGGAGCATGGCTTCTTCATTGTTTTCATTTGTGATTTCTAGCAAATCATAAATGCAGTAAATTGTTTTAGAACATATAAGAAATTTGGAACAGATATCTCTGACAGGAGACACTGACAGTGAGCAGTTTTGTTTTTGAAAATTAGTTCAAACTTCAGATGAGAACAATGAGACTGAATTAGAATGAATGCATAAATGAGATCTTTCAATTAACAAAATTCGGGAAGCCCTGATAGTGATAAAAAAACTGGTCTATCTACATGCAAAACATTTTAAAGAGTGGGCAGTTTTGGTATTATATCCTTTTACCCTTAAAGAAGGATCAAATATTTCCAATATTTTAAGAGTGAAATTTATCACAAAAGCAAAAATAACTCATCACTTCACTTTTCAACAGTATGGTTCCAAGTTTGTAGGCCTACCATTTACAAGGTAACATTCCCTTACAACAAGATTTCTTAACTCCAGCTAAATGACTAATTCAGAATTTCTTTAGAAACAAAATTACAATTAACAACAATAATTGTCAAGAGCACACACCACAATTTATTACTTGGCTCAATCAAAATAAAGGAGCCTTTCACTCTACATTTTATTTACATTGGACAAATTCTATTAAAATGTTGTCTCCTGATGTGAGTCAGTCAAATCAAACACAAATTGGTTAACATATCAGATCAAATTTACATAAATATTTACATATACATACATAGATACACATACATAGCAGATCACAGTACGGTGTTTAAAATAAAACTCATGCTACCATTACAACAGGTGTAGGACAGTAAATAGATCAAAAATTCGTACAACAGAATTCTAGAGGCTCAAAAATATTTTCAAAGGTGATAAAAGATTAATACTTGACTACAGTAGAGTAAGTGTGCAAGAAAAGCTTTTAGCTATTTGTTCCACCGGTCTGTAAGACTGTTGATAACTCAGACCAGCATGCTTGCATGTTAGAAAACACTCTGCAACTACAGTTTCCTACAATAGAAACAAAAGGTACAATCTTTGGAGGATTTCCAGTTTCTAGTTTTCTAGTATGAGATAAAAGACAGAACACCCTGATATTTTGAAAACAACTACACAATCTATAAATTAACAATTTTATTTTTAAATCTAAAATCTGCATGATGGGCACAGAATTTTACATTAGGATATTTACAGCTTTTCACGGTTGAAACACAGTACCCTTGAAACGGTCTTAAATTCCATTTTTTATAAAGGGAGGCAACAGGTTGCAGATTTTTAGTTATCAACCTCAGACAAAACAACAGAAATCTGAATGATTACCCTCACAATTTCAATGAACCCTAACTATTAAAGGCTGATAGTTGAACAGAACACCCTCAAAGGAAAATTCACAAAGGTACTCAGAAAGACGGAAGAGTAACTATAACATTTTGTGATGTAGACACTGACATAAACAGCACTTCTCAATCTAATACATCAGAAGCAATAACCGGAAAACTGATCCCACAGAGTTGATAACACCTTGGCACATAACTTTTACATTATTTAGTTTCTCATGTGGATGAGTTTCACTTATTTGTCATACTTCCAAGAAATCTTTGAGTAAGGTTGTTCGCCTCTTTTCAGCAATATCCATTTGATTTTCAAGATCGCCCCTGTCTGTTGTTTCAGCTCGTTCCACCTTCCAGGATAAGTTCTCAATTTCTGCTTCAAGCTGTGCTTGCTGATATTCAAACTGCAAGAAAGACGGAAAAACAAACGAAGATATTGATGATTATTGTAAACTATGAAGTTAAGAAGTATTATCTAAATAATTACTAACCAATTCTTTTCTGGAGCTTGGCTCCATGTAATAAGCGTAGGGGTAGGTGTATTGCAAAGAATAACGGCACTTTGCAAGAAGCATGGCTGCTTCAAGAAGGTACTGCCAATCGATCCATGTTCCAGATGCATCCATGACCTTTTGATTTATTCTTGATTTGATGGTCTGCAGGGTCTGCTCCTCCAATTTCAAGCTCTTAGAATGGTTTTCCCACTGTAATAGAGGCAATGATGAACAATGAAGCTGTGGGATTGTTTAAATTACTCAAAAAGAATGAATGGAGTTAAATTACCCTTTCATAATAATGGAGATATTTTTTGAGTGCTTCTCTTGCTTGTGCATGAACGCTCTCATGTGCGATATTTGGATTCTCTTTATAGCGAGAACATTCATAGTACTCTGAACCATGAGCCTTCCAATCTCCCAAACACATCCAGCAGAATTCATGTTTGCAGCTATAGCACTGCATGTGGTTGCAACCCCCATTCTTTTCGATACAGATATGGCAGCGAGGACACTGTTCAACATAAAAAGAGAAACAGTTAGAAGGGAAACTTTTGTAAAACAATAGTTTGGTAGGGAACCTGCCCAGTGCTACTTACATCTTTGGTGTGAGCACTAATGTAGTTGGCTGTTTCACTATCATCTGCACACTTTGTGAGCCACTTCTTGATAGTGGAGCAGTCAGTGGGTGCATGGTAATCCATTCCGCACTTAAAGCTAAATTTGAAAAAATAATTACAAGATGAACAATTGATTCTTTTGTATTTTTCAAACTAGCATAAGGTAAGGTTAACATGCCAATAACTCACCAAAATGACGACTTGCACTTGGAGCATACTGATCTTTTTGCCTTAGGTTCCTTGGCATATATTACTACTGGACAATTGGGACCCGGGCAGAAACGAAGTTGTGGATGAGATTTGACATAATCATGGAAAGCAAACTGTTGATACTTGTCTCTCAAGGATGGTTTGGATAAGAGTGTTAAGACAAAATCTTCAGGTGCATATATATCACACTGCTGTGCCATACAGCAAATTCCTGAAGAGAAGAAAGTAAAGAAAAACAATTTATTAAATGACCAAACAATAAATAACGACCATACTGTAATAAATTATTCAAGCAAAATAACCGAACGTACCAGTTGAGATACCCTGGATGATTTGTACCTCAAAATGCATTGACCAACAATCTTTGCAGAACTTATGGCCACAAGCTAAACCACTGAACACTTCTGCATTTGATGCAGTGATACAAACTGGGCAATTTGACTGATTCTCATCGTCTTCTAGACCATCCTTGGATACTAATGAACTCTGTGAACCACAGGCACTAGAAGTGGTTGTATGAGACGGAGGGTGAGGTGGTTTTATTCGAGACTGCACCAATAACAAGGATGCATCTAACTGATACTTAGATATCACATCTTGCACAGCCCAGCCATGTGTATGCAGAAGAACTTTTGCGAGGGAAGGTGTTATCTGGCAAGGTATTAAAAAAGGTTATAGCACAACAATAGATAGCACTTTACTTCAGGTGACGAGATTGAATAACAACCACACAAACCTGCAAATTGCTACTAAGCGTCTCTACGTTTTCGTTGAGTAAGCGTTCGACATCTTCAACCAAGAGACATTCGAATAAAAAGTACTCTGGGTCACTTTTACTGGGGTCTACTTGATCTATGTCACAATCATCAACAGTGTTGTAATAGTCAGCATAACCACAGTCATCATCTGAATACTCCATGTCAGAATCACCTTCGTCACTTGACATCTGTAAAACCACACACAAAGAGTAGAGTCAGCCAAATAAATTTCATGACACAGAGAAGCTGCACACCTAGTGGATTACAAAAATAGATAGGGGAAATGTTGGATAAAAGTAGGTGAAGGAATAAAATAATAATGCAGAACAAAATACACACGATAATGTTAATTATTTTTTAAAGGGATGGATCAGTTAAATGTGGAGGAGAGAGATAGTAGAGAGCTCAAACTTTTATGACTGGCATACGAACACACAGATAATTAAAACGATCACAGAAAATTGAAGGTATTTTTTAAAGAAAGGAAAAGATGAGATACATGAAAATATCTAAATCTGTCTGGGAGGGCTCCATTGTGACACTACGGTGGGGTCCTCCTGGCACAACAGACCTTGAAATTTTCTAGAGTAAGCGCTGGCGGTCGGGATTGTAGGCACTGTAAAGCTCGAAAACCAGTTTAAACAGGCAATAATTTAGGGCGAGAAGTCAAATGTTATTGTGAAATGACTGAATGGCAATTTCGACAAGCGCCATATTGAAGTGAGTCAAAACAACAAAACAAATGAGTGCGGTGCCGCGCATGCGCACGACCCCGCCTCGAAGGTCGGATGAGAAGTTGCGCGTTCGGAAGACGGCGCGAGCGACCGCTGGTTTTCAAGTGCGTCTGCGGAGTGTACTGTGTCCGGCGCCAGTGAGTGCACGTGTACCGAGCCGAACGCCGCCCACCTTGTGTTTGGGACGACCTAGTACCCGATTGCTTCTGGAGTTGCTTTGACGACGCACCCGCCGTGCTGTTAGAGGTTGATCCAGCGTGGTCAGCAGCAGCCGGCCGAATCCCAGAGGGAATCTAGCATCTAGGCGGCATCAGCCGGCGGCTATCATTGACGGCCAAGGTCGGCAGCCGGGCCAACGGGGGAGGGGGAGGGGAGAGGTGCTTGGCGGGCGACGGCCGAGCCGCTCACTTAAGCCCGGTCTAGGCACGCGAGAGGTTCGGAGAGGTTCGGAGACGGAGGCTCGCGGCGGCGGCAGAAGCAGGTGGCTGAAGACGCTCACGACGGACGACACGATGGCGGCCAAGAAGCACGAGACGGAGGTGGAGGGCGGCGGCCGGTTCGACGCCGTGCTCGAGCACATCCTCATCCACTACCGCTGGGTGTTCGTGCTGCTGCTGCTGCCCCTGTCCCTCGTGTACGACGCGCTGCTGTACGTGCGGACCTGGGTCGTGTTCCAGCTGAGCTCGGCGCCCGGCAAGCACGCCCTCAAGGTGCAGCGCGTCGCCGACCAGGTCAGTGGCCCTTGGCCCGGGAGTGGGCTTCCCGGCCCGTCTCTCTGGCCGCGTCAAGTAGTCGTTGATAGGGGCCGTGACGCCACTCTCGTTGAATCGAGCACAGCGCACCGCGTCGTTTTGGAGGTCCCTGGCCCCTCCCCTCCACGTTCAAAACCACCCCAATGCATTTGCATCGCTTTATGGCACGGCTGAAACGAGTCCGGCTTTGCAGGTGAAGCAATGGAAGGCGGAGGGCGGCAGGGTGCCGATGTGCACGGCCAGGCCGACCTGGCAGACCATGTCGTTCCGTCACTCCAACTACAAGAAGACCTTCTTCACCGTCAACTTGAACCTGGTGGACATCCTGGAGCTGAGCGCGGAGAAGCGCACGGTGCGCGTCGAGCCCCTGGTCACCATGGGGCAGCTGACGGCCACCCTGGACCCGCTGGGCTGGACGCTGCCCTTCGTGCCCGAGCTGGACGACCTGACCGTTGGTGAGTCTCTCCCAGGGAGCGGGACGCGGAGCCAAAAAAAATTGACTCGGAGTCAGCGAACTTTACATGACTGTTGGTTGCAGGGGGACTGGTGATGGGCACTGGCGTGGAGACCAGCTCCCACAAGTACGGCCTGTTCCAGCACATCTGCGTCGCGTACGAGCTCGTCCTGGCGGACGGCAGCACCGTCCAGGTCACCAAGGTAAGCTCACGACATGGGCCTCGCGCCATTGCGCGACAGCTCAGCCTCAAGTACTAACAAAGTTCCGGTTTAGGAGAGCGATCCCGATCTCTTCTACGCCGTCCCCTGGTCCTACGGCACCCTGGGCCTCCTCACCGCCGTTGAAATTCAAATCGTCCCCGCGCTGAGGTGAGTCCTGCTTGTCTTGAGGGCTGGGCCAGTGTTGCCACGTATGCCTAAGTAGGCAAAAACTCTCGAGAGGTTGCTCGGCACGGGGGGGGGGGGGGGGGGAGAGACCATGAACAAACACTGGGGGATTTGGAAGATTTTTGCCTGCCTCCTGCGGTGAACAGCGTGTCATTTTGTCCGTCTTGGCCGTCGCCAGGTTCGTCAAGCTCCAGTACGACCCCGTGCACTCCCTCGACGAGGCGGTCGCGGCCATCAACCGGCTGCTGGCGCTGCAGGACAACAACGAGTTCGTGGAGGCGCTCATGTTCTCCAAGGACGAGGGAGTCGTCATGACGGGCAACATGGTTTCGTGCGCCGACTGGGGAAAGGTGGGTGCGGCAAGAAAAAAAAACAAAGAAAAACTCTTTTCGGTTTCCAACCCCGTCCGCTGTGGTCCGCAGTCGTCGGCGCGCCGAGGAATAACTTTGAATTAATTTTTGTGCGCCTTCCTCTTCCTCCCCCTCTCGCTCCTCCAGCTGAATGAAATCGGGCGCTGCTACAAGCCGTGGTTCTTCGAGCACGTCCGCACCTTCCTCAAGACCGGCCCCGCCGTCGAGTACATCCCCCTGCGCGACTATCAGCACCGCCACTCTCGATCCCTCTTCTGGGAAATCAAGGCTAGTGTTATCGCCTTGGCGAAAATTAGACACGGACTGACGGGGTTTGAACCTGCAACTTTCCGTTCCGCTTGCAGGAGATCATCCCGTTCGGCAACAACGTCCTCTTCCGCTACCTGTTCGGCTGGATGACGCCCCCCAAGGTGTCGCTGCTCAAGCTGACGCAGACGCAGGCCGTCAAGAAGCTGTACGAGAACAACCACATCATCCAGGACATGTTGGTGCCCATCGAGACGCTCAAGGACGCCGTCCTCTTCTTCGATAAGGAAGTCGAGGTAAAGGAATAGATTGTCCCATTTCGGACCTAGGGCGCTGCACAGTGGGCCAGGAGACCGGTGGAGGCGGTCAAAGTCCCGGCCGAATTTTAAGCTCCAGAGTCGCTGAATGGAACTTGAACCGAACGTGTGACCCCACCAATGAATTGCTCTCCGAACGAGGAATCCATTGGTGGGGTCACACATTCGGTTTGACTCGGGGCTCAAAACGCGTCTAGAGTTTTGGCCGCCTCAACCTGTCTTCTGCCCACCTGTGCGCTATTTTTTCACCCTTCATGCCGTGAATCGTGTCTATCCACGCGCTTAGGTTGTTGCTGGCCGCACAATGAGGCGTCTATCTAATCTGAACGGCGCGTGAATGGGCTACCTGAAGTCACTAGCCGCGCAGCCGCGCCCTTTGCTCAAAGCAAGACCTGAATGAATCAGAACCACTCGTTCCCGAGACGACGATCGAGATTTGTCGATGCCCGTCACGTCAAAGGCCTCTCTCTCCAGCAGACGCCAATTTTTATTTTATTTTCCAGGTGTACCCGCTGTGGCTGTGCCCCTTCCGCCTGCCGAGCGAGCCCGGCATGCTGCAGGTGCCCAAGGACAGCATGTACGTGGACATCGGCGTGTACGGTGTCCCCGGCAAGCAGGGCTTCCAGCCCAAGGAGACGACGCGCCGCATCGAGGCCTTCGTGGCCAAGGCCAAGGGGTGGGTGGCGGCGCCGAGCTCGCGGATCGAACTCTCCTTTCCGCCATTTTATTGATTTTTATTTTCACTGTTTCTCTGTTTCTCCGTTCCAGCTTCCAAATGCTGTACGCCGACACCTACACCACCAGGGAGGAGTTCCGGAAAATGTTCAACCACTCGCTGTACGACAAGGTCCGAGCGCGCCTCAAGTGCGAGAAGGCCTTCCCCGAGGTGTACGACAAAGTGTGCCGCAAGGCGCGTGACTGAGCCCTGCCTGACAGAGATTTGGCGTTTGTAAATAGTAATTCACATTTTTTATAAAAAATAACAATTATTTTTTTCCGTTTGTGCGTGTTGTGAACCTGCACCGAGAGGTGCCAAGGGCGCCCCGTCCCAAAGCAATCGAGTGGAATGATAGCGCGGGGCCTCTGTGGACACGAGCACCGGTTGGGTGCGATTTGCGAACTCGCGAACCGGGCCAACCGAGTGCACCGCACGAGTCAAGTACAACATGTTCACTATCAGCGACAAAAAAGAGTGGACGTCGACCCCGAGACCGCGGCCAGGGTGGCGACGGGACGATTAGTAACGGCACCGAATCTTCACAAGAGATTTATTGAGAGCACAACCGCGAGCAACAGCGAAACAGTGTAGGCGGCGGGGGCGGGGCTTCCCGAGGCTGAGGCGCCGGGCGTCGCCGGCAGGTGATCGCCGTCCTCCGCGGGGGCGGGGCGGGCGGGGTCGACGCCGGGCCCGGCGGGGGCGGCCGGGGGCGGCTCGGTGAGGGCGGCGAGCGTCGTCGTGAAGGCCAGCGCCTCCTGGTGAGGCAGCCCGTACGACGGGCAGGGGCTGCCGCCGCTGCCGCCGCCGCCGTTGCCGCACTCGCTGGCCGAGAAGTAGGCGGCCAGCATCTCGTTGATGACGTCCACCGGGGCGGCCTGCAACACGAGCCCTCGACACTCTATCTCTGTCGCGCTCCCGTAGGGCTGTGACGCCCTGTGAGTTGGAGGGAGGGAGACTGTACCTGCAGGCAGGAGCGCATGGGGTCGGCGAGCACGGGGGCCGGGTTCAGGGTGGCGGCGGTGGCGCCGCAGGTGGACAGGCGCAGCATGGCGAGGTGGCACTGCTGCCGGGAGTCCGCCGCCCGGAGCTGCTCGCCGGCCGCGAGGTCACCGTGGCCGTCGTGGCCGTCGTGGCCGTGGTGCGGCGTCAGCAGGTCGGCGAGGTCCACGACGTGCTGCAGCCGGTCTACAGTGTGCTGGACGCAGCGCGTGAACCGCAGCACGTCCCAGCACTCCGCGTACGCCACGACGGCTGCAACGTGCAAAACGGGCGTCGGGTGACACTGTCAGCCCCCCACCCCACCATGCAGTCTGCAACTCACTGGCCATCTGCCCCTCGAAGCAGAGCTTGGTGTTGACGGCCTCCAGCCCGCGAATCCAGAAGTCGAAGTTCTCCCTCCCGGAGCGCAGCACGCAGCCGTTCTCCGCCACGTCCGTGGAGCAGCGCAGCGCGTCCTCCAGCACCCTGCAGCAGAGGGCGCGTTGAGTCCCACTTCGGCGGAGACGAAAGTAAAGACAGCGCGCCGAATTCCGACACGCACTTGCAGAGCTCGGTGTGATTGAGTCGCTGGCACACGTGGGTGCGGGTGCTGCGGGGGTTGAGCAGGCAGTCCACGTGGCCGACCACGTCCGACCAGCACTTCTCGGCCAGCTGGGGCTTGCAGGGCACGTCCTCGGCGTCCTCCGTGGCGCCAGGGTGCTCTGTCAAACCGTTTTCAAAAAGTAGACGTTGGAAAGGGTTTCACAAATCGGGTGCGATATCTGGGATGAGGTCGGCCCGGTCCAGACAGCCTCCAGCGGCGGATATGAGGCTCTGGCACACGAGCCGGCCGGAAACGGGGAACACAGATAAGCGGAGCGCTGGTTTTAGTTTAAACGCACCGATAGCAAAGCGACGCTCCGCCAAAACGCAATCAGCAGTGCCATTCCGCGCACTCAGTCTCTCTTGCACTCACGGCGCGCGTGCCAGGTAGTGCCAGGGGCCCAAGGGTGCGAGAGAGACAGAGCGACGCGGAGCGCTGCTCGGCATCGGCCTGCTGGACGGCTGGGGCGCCGGACACCACTCCCTCATTCACTCACCCTGTGCGGCCGCGCCGGCGAGGGTCGCGAGGACGAGGACGACGACGACCCTCATGGCGGCCGAGGAGGACGAGGCGAGGGCGTGGTGCAGGGAGGAGGGGGAGCACGCGGCGGGGGAGAACAGCTCCAAGGCGCCAGGAGGACCACCTTCGCGCCAAAGGGCTCGCGAAGTCGAGTGGAGTTTCCTTCGGTCCTTTCCACCAGGACTCCAGAGGCAAAGGCTTCGCGGCCAGCAGCAGCCAGGGGGTCTCGTGCGGCGCAGGCTGCAGCGCGGCTGGCAGGGGACTGAGGCTCTTGGGGGAGTGCAGGCAGGGCGGCGTGCAGGCGGAGCGGAGGGCCCGAGCGAGCGCAGCAAGTCGAAGGGTTCGGCCGGCAGCTGGAGGGAAAGGAAAAGAAGGCCGTATCGCGCACACAGCTCGGCCACTTGCCGGGCCGACGGGCCTTGGGGCCGCAGCTGGAAGTTGGAAGGACTCGGGCTATTTCCAGCGTTGCACTGCATTGCACTCAGGGACAGCAGCTGCCGATCGGATCTCAAAGTCCTCGGACCAACATTTTCCACCACCGCCAATCTTCGTACAACGTCGAGAAACTAGGACCTCGAGTGAATTTCTGAAGAATCCCTGCCGCGGCTTCCAGGTTCCCCAGGATTTCTCGACTCGCCCCGGACACAGGATGGAGCACGCGGCGCGGGGCGTGCGGATTCCAGGGCAGTGCACTGCTCTATCGCGAGGGGAAACGCAAGGGGGGCGATGATAGGATGCGCTGTCACTCAGCGGAGGGAAGGACGCTATGCGTTATGTCACCGCATGTAACAAAACTAGGCTATCCGGCACAATTTTTTCCCGCCAAGGCCATAGGCCATGGCGGTGCGCATGAAGTGGGTCATGTTTGCGAAGATCGGCGGCCACTGATGGGCATCGGCACTGTAGCTCCCACGCAACGCCATGCTGGCCATGCTCATGCTGCTCGTCTCGGGAAAAAAGTTTGGCCGAACCACGTGCGCCACTGTGAATGCGCTCACGCACACAAGCGCGCACTCACCAACACAACCTGGACGTCCGTGACAGGCCGCAGTGACACCAGTGACACCTGCCCCGGACCGGAAGTGGCTCCGATCTTCACGCACCGCTTCCGCTGGCGCTCCGCTTGCTCTGCTGCAACACAAAACTCGGGCATCAGCCACACCCTTTTTGATCCATCTCTGCGGCCTCGCCTTGCCTCGCCCGGGCGGCGCGCGGCGCGCCCGCAGGCAGGCAACCCAACTGACGTCTCGCGCGGAGCGCCTGAAGACGGACCTCTAGGCAACCCATTCTACTCGAACCCCGGAGCGTCTCGCCTCGTGGCGTGAGCTTGGATGAGACGATTTTCCTACGTTTTGAATGTCAGGTTTCAACAGCCTTCGTGGCGACTAGGTAAGTACTCAGTTCCCCAAGCGGAGACCTACTCGCTCCCTACAGTCGACCTGGCCGTGCCCCTCGAGGTCCACGGGGTTGTCGGAGCCCGTGTGTTCGCTCCGCACTCTAGTTGATTGCTAACTTCACATTATCCTCGGCGAAACCTGTTTCTCGCGAACTGAGGCCGAGCAAAGGTGATATGACTTGGAGTGAGGGGAGTTGGGGGGAGTGGTAGATGTGTTTACACTCAAGCGGCTCGGCACCAAAGTAAAATTTTATTAAATAAAAAAGAAGCAATACAACACAATTGTCAGTTTGGCCACACGCGACGTGTGTTTAGGGCAGTACAAAAAATCGCCACGTAAAAATACATCTAATATCACACAGGCTGGAAAAGTAATTGCAGTAATTGCATTAAAATGGCTGGTGTCTACCTACGCCGCGATGGGCGTGTGCGTGACGAACTTGGTGATGAGGTCCAGGGCCCACTTGGGCTGGTCGGCGGGGACCATGTGCCCGGCGGCGCGTACCAGCACCTCGGTGAGCCGGCCGGCCGTCTTGGCGAAGCCGGCGAGCTCGCCGTCCACGGTCCACAGCCGCCGGGGCGCCGTCTTGTACTCCTCGGCGGCGGGCCAGCGGAGGCGCTTGATGAAGTTGACCATGAGCGGGTAGGGGTCCGCGATGTCGAGCTGGCCGTTGTAGAACAGGACGTCGTAGTGCTGCAGCAGCGCCTCGTACCACGGGCGCGCCGACTGCATCACGTCGGGCCGCATGCGCTCGGCCACGGAGCTGCGGTTGTGGTAGGTCAGGTTGCCGACGTGCAGCAGCGCGCGCACGCTGTCCGTCTGCACGTACTGCTTGTAGGCGCGCGACAGGTAGTCCGTGTCGTGGAGGTAGTTGAACCGGAAGCGGAAGCCCGTCAGCTCGCGGAACAGCGTGGCGTTGTCGGTGGCCTCGTTGGCCGTCTTGCCGATGAGTGCGTCGCGCTCGCGCCAGGCGTCGGTCCAGCGTCGCTGCTGCAGCAGGTCCCGGATGACGGCCTCGCGCTGCTGGAAGCGCTGCCGGCCGTGGTCGTCCAGCAGCCCGAGCTGGTACAGGTAGTCGCCGTACTCCAGCATGGCCTCCGGCTCGGCCAGCGGGTTGCCCACGGCCAGGCCCTTCAGGTTGATCTTGGCGTCGGCGCCGGCCTTGGCGTTGCTCTCGTGGATGGCCATGGCGAGCGCGGGGGCGTACTTGCCGGCGTAGGACTCACCGGCGATGAAGAACTCGTTGTTCTTGAGCTGGGGGAACAGGGTGTAGAACTGGCGCAGCGCGGCCAGCAGGTCGCGGCCGGCCTCCTCGGAGCTGGTGGCCAGCCCGTCGGGCGTGCTGGCGAAGCTGAAGCCGGTGCCGGCCGGGCTGTCGATGTACAGCATGGAGGCGGCGCGCGTCCAAGAGTGGCGGCGGTGCTTGAGGCGCCGGCCGCGCTTCAGGCGCACGGGGCCGTTCTCCAGGAACACGCCCAGCATGGAGGAGGAGCCGGGCCCGCCCTGCAGCCACAGCACGAGCGGCGCCGCGTCCGCGCCCTTGTCGGCGGGGAAGAACCAGAAGTACAGGTTGGCGCCGCGGGCCTGGTCCACCGTCAGGAAGCCCGAGTAGCTCTCCACGTCGCCGAGCACGGGCGGGTCGACGCGCGACGCGTTCTGCGCCTCGCGGTACTGCCCCGCGTCCAACAGCGGCGTCAGGAACACCGGCGCGCCGACGTCCACCGGCATCGTGGAGGCGTCGTTGCGGTCCGAGGGGCGGCGCCGGCGGCAGGACGCGGAGTCCAACGCCACCGCGAGCACGACGAGCAGCGCCAGGACGCGCATCGCGGGGGCTGGGCAGGACATGGCTGGAGCGGCGCGTCTACGCGGTTCGGAGGCTGGACCCCCACTGGAGCACGAGCACGGTGACGGCGCGAAGCGCGAAGCCACGGCACGGGGCCGCTTGGGGCGGGGCACCACGGGGCACCAGGGGGCACGGGCTGGACGGTGAGCGGCGTGAGCGGAGCGGCCGTCGCACCGGGCCAAGCCTGACCAGGCCTCTCTGGCCAGGCCTTCGCCGGGCCGCGGAGGAGAGCCTTTCGCAGCGCGGACCGCGGCCCCGACCACGGCGTTGATGAGTGCGTGGCGGTGGTGGGGGCTCCGGGTCGGCGATAGAGTGCAGGTACGCGGAGGCACCGACGGGTACGGATCACTCGTCACGTGGAAGCACGAATAAAAATGTGCTCTCCACCTGGGGTTAGTGCTCTTTCATCTTGCTCTCCATCTGGTCTTGAGAGCATCCCAGTCTAAATCCAAGACTCCACAGGCTCCTTTTCCCTACGGCACACGCGTCGCTTGGTCGTTCCCCCGTCCCGGCCGTGGCCGTCCCGCGTGGCGTGGCGCGCGGCTTTAGGCGTAGATTCGAGATGCGAGGCCGTTGCCTCCCGGAGGAACAGTTACTTGCTGCCCCAGGGCCCGGTCCTTGTGCAGCCTCCACTCGCCAAAACGCGCTCCCAAATCGGCGAACCCGCAGCGGGCCTCCGCCGCGGAGCGTAAGTCCAGAGAGAGAGGCTCGGGGGGCCAGAGTTGTTGTCCAGCTCGGCCCCAGTGGCCCCAGCACGCGCCGTTGGGTACCGGTGCTGGAGATAGGAGCCACTGCCTTTGGCCTCGGGCCGGGCGTTGTTCCATCCAGTGACCAGAATGACAAGAGGCACCGTTTACCTGCTGGAGTTCATCTCGCGTCTGTTGTCGCTTTTTGAAGCGCCGGCGAGTGGAAGGAGGAGGAGATTGGCCGGGCAGTGGGGTGGAAGAGTTGGACTCCTGCTGCTTGAGCTACTCTACGGTTTACCCTGCTAAAAATGTGCGTCCTCCTTAGAGTAAGAGTCATCCTTAGAGTAAGGACACTGGCCCATCGTTCCTCGTAGAGGCTAGGCCTCTAGTTCCTCGTAGAGGCTAGGCCTCTAGTTCCTCGGCGCCGGCACGCTTCAAACTGCTTCGAACGGCCGCGGTGGCCGGCGGGGAGTACCACTACCAACCAAAACCAATGCGAAAGCACTGTTCCGATCGTCGAAACCAGCAGCACCTGCACGGCGAGTGTTTTTCGATTCAACTAAGCTTTTATCGAACGCGAGACATTTGCTTCTCCACGCCGTCGGGGTTCGCAGGCGTCGTTCCGAACAGCTCGCGCGTGGCGGTGTCTCACTGCGCGGTGTGGTGGCTGCCCTGGCGGAGCGTCGTGACGTGTGACGTTTGTTGCAGACGTGGAGCGAAGACGACGACGCAAGCAGCCACTGAACTTAGCCGCTGGGGCTCAAATCTGTCTGCGTTTTCTTTCGCACTTGTTCTCCGTTCTGTGACACGAAAGCAGTCCTCGTCTCGAGCACGATGGTAAGTAATGCACGCCTGCCGGCCATTTCCTCGCCCAGCCATCGGCCTCACTTTTATTTCAAGTTCCTTCGTTTTAAAAGCGGCTTTTCTCCAAGTTGGAGGTTAAAATTCGGGGTTGTGGCTTTTTCTAACGGGGTGGGTTTTGACACTTCGGACGTGGCTTTGTTGTTTATGCCTTATGGCTATGACCATTGTCGTCGTGATGGTGTTAGTGTTGTTTATTTGAAAGGCTTAATCCCTCTTAAATTCTCAATGGTTCCTCCCTATGGAAGCATCCATATGTACCAGTTTTCTGAGATTTATGCCTTGGGTACCTTATGCTTGGTGTGCTCTATGATGTTCCACTTACAGCCAGCTGCAAAGACAACCCATTTAATGTGTAGTAATTTTGAAAAGTTGCTTCCTATTACGTTAATCGTATCTGGTATCACTAATTCTTGAATGGTTCTGATTGTCATCATTTCTACTTGTTTGCAGCCTGCTCCCGCAAGCTCAACGTCTGTCGGTGCAGGAGGCCGTTCACCATCCAAGGCTATTGCCTCCCGCCCCTCTGGTGGTGGCACCGTTAGGCAGAGGTTTGTGGACGAAGCTTTGCTGTTGTTTCGGGAAATTGGCATTTGCCTGCAACATATCAGTATCGCCCTGTGCAGTCACACTTAAAGAGGATTGTTGTTTCTTATCTTGCAGGAAGACTACTACAACTGCCCCCAGAAGTCGGGCCACAGGTGCCAGCAGTGGTGGTATGTGGAGGTTCTACACTGATGACTCCCCCGGCATCAAAGTGTGAGTGTAGTGTTTTCTATGATGGTTAGTCCAACATTATCTTGCATCTTTAGCTAAATAAGGGCTATTATGTTTCCAGTGGACCTGTCCCTGTGCTGGTGATGTCACTTCTGTTCATCGCATCAGTGTTCATGCTCCACATCTGGGGCAAATACACTCGCTCTTGAACACCTCATTCCACCTAAGTGTACCAAACGCTTTATTGATTTCCTTATCATTCCGTGAATGAATGGAAGACATGTCCAGGGTATTGGCATTCTTATCCTGATAAAAAAAGTATCTATTTTGAGTGTGTACAGTTTATTTGGAAGATCTCATCCAAAACTTGTGCTTTATATTGCACCTATTTCTGCAATATGAAAATATTGTGCTGGATTTTGACATGTGTTTTTGTTGTCATTACTTTTATTTATTGAAAGAAGTAAGAATCATTACAATTAATGTATTTTATATGTTATTCTGTGGTATATTATTTGTTATCCCTAATCATCATGACACTTCATAAGTAGGAAGAAAAATTAAGGCAGGACAACAAGTGTTTTTAGAACTTTATTCAGACCTAGCATAATCTGGACACCAAGATCGAGAAAATAGAAGCCTAATTTCCAAGTTCTATTATTATGGCAAGCAGGCTTCCTAAGGAACAAATACTCCTACAAAAGTCACTTGAGTCTCCCAAAATTAAATTGACACTTTGGTTGAGATAAAATCAAAACTGATTTGAAAGACTTAAGTAAAAGAGTAAAAATAGTGCATGATCTACTTCAAAAGGTACCACATGATTCAAAGCTGACTTTATAAAAATATTTTAATCGAAAAGAAAATTAAAAGAGTATTAAAAAGATGAAATATCACAGACATACACAAGCTTATGACTCGTTCAGTTATAACTAGTTTGAACACATTACATAAATTAGTATGTAATGAGGATAACATTTGGCCTCTGTTAATGAACATAAATATTTGTACACAAATATATGAACAGTTTACATAATTCTTAACAGCATGCAAAGATTGGACGGGTTTCACAAATAAAATCCACTAGACTTTACAGTCTACTGAGGTAGAACAGTGATTCATTACGCCTGGATATAATGCTCTTGTAAGTTTTATAAAATAGAGAAAAAGAAATCAATGAGATACAAAAGAAATGAGGCTTCAAAAACAGGAAGACCTATAAAATGTATGTCTAAAATTTTTGTACCAAGAAAAGGAAGCAAGTTATGCTTCAAATTGCAATGCAGCAACACATAAAAGGCATTAACCAATTAATTTGTCAACAAAACAAATTTCACATCTTTGGTTACTACGACATTCCCAAAAACAATTTGATTTGTTTAAGAGTCATTTTAAACCTGTTTAAAATAAGTATATGTACATGTACAATAAATAGTAAAATAGTATAAATTACAGGATCACATTGTGCGAACACTTAAAACACCGAAATCTCGTACCAAAATTCATTCAAAATCGTTGGAAGCTTGGAAATAGGAACTTGAAACATGCCAAACAAGGCAGTTTCCTACAACAAAGCTTGCTGCAGAATACTTATCTGAGCCAAGCACAATATTCAGAAGTTGAGTTTTCTTGGTCTTAAGCAATACCCAGCATTCTTAGCATCCTCCGATGAGCTTGAGGAAGAATCAGATGCAGAATCCAGATCTCCAAAACTGTCAGAAATGTTTTCCAACTTCAGTGAAGATACACTAGGTATTCCCTCACTACCAAAGGTACTTTCTGCCACAATAGAATCTAGGCAGGAGTCAGTGCTATCTAGATGCATATGCATTGGTCCAGATAACTCAGAACAGTCAATATTATCAGTTTGATCTAAGCACTGAAAGTCACTAGAATCCTTGACAGGTTGGGGAACCTCAGGCCCAGAACCATTATTAGTAGGCACAGCCAAAGAGTCCCCAAAGTCGCGCCCTGAATCAGGTTCAGGACGCGGAAGACACACTCAGCTATCCAATAAAGGGCTATTAACAGCATCTGCAACAGCACTGTCAGACTGATCGGGTTCCGGATTGATGATGATTCTCATGTCTTCATCTCCAGAGGAGCCACTTTCTTCACCATCAGACCCATCATCTTCATCTTCTGATCCTGACTGAGTGGAAGTTGCCAGTTCTTGTTCCTACAAGAAATAATCCGTCAGTACAAAACACTACATTTTAATGGTCAACAGCTGCTAAGTCAAACACAGTTAAAGACTTACAGAGGCATCAGATGGCCCAACAGGTCCCACAGGAAGACCCTCCCTGCGTTGTTTAGCATGAATACGCATGTGCTTGCTGAGATGGTCACTCCTCATAAATTTCTTGTCACAGTCTTGACAAGCAAACCTCTTCTCGCCTGTGTGTGTTCTTCTGTGCCTCTGTGAAATGAAAGTAACCCAAATGATGAGAATGACAGTGTTAGACTATAAATTTATTTGGGTTCCATGTTAAGTGTGAGCAAAAAATGTACCTGCAGCTCATCTGAGCGAGTGAATCTCTTTCCACAGTAAGCCCATCCACATATAAATGGCCTTTCCCCTGAATGCCACCGTAAATGAGCTCTCAGATGGGAAGTTTTTCCATAGACTTTATTACACCCAGGAATATGGCAAATATGAATTTTCCTTCTTTCACCCCCTCTGAAAAGCAATGAATAAGAAGCTTTAGAATTATTTCGGAAGCAAACAACATTTTTTTACAACCGTCAATGAGATGTTACCTCTCGCGAGAATCATTGCAGTTGGGACAAGTACATGCAACTCGTCTTTGTCGTCTGCCTTCTCTTCGGTTGGAAGAGGTACTGACAGCAGGGACAGCTGGGACAGGCGTTGGTGTTGAATTGACTACTTGCCATTGAACTGACGCCTCCCCATTATCAGCAGGGACTGGCTGAGGTTGAGGTGCAGCTGTAGAAATCAATAAACAAGATTAGAAAACCGCATGTGATTAAGGGATTTTCCACGAATTGAGGAAAAAGGCCAAGCATTGCATTTTACTCAGCGCAGCCATAAGCCTAAAAGCAACGTACATGACTCTAACTCACTCATTAATTGTAGTCCACCTGGAAGAGAGACTACTGTATTGGCTTGAGGTTGCAACTGTTGCACTTGAGGCTGTTGTGGCTGTTGAATCTGTGGTGCTTGAACTTGGACTTGTGCCTGCACAGTCTGTTGGGTCTGCTGCCCCAGTTGGTGGGCTAGCTGAAGAGCACTAGCAGGTATAAGTTGAACATTGCCCAATCCAGGAATGTTCTGGATGGGGAATGACTGGAGACTTGACAAATTTGCGACATTTGAGAGATTTTGTATCTGGATGGTGAAAAAAACATGGTTGAAAGCACTTAAAAAGTTGGGGAAAATATGAAAAACAAAAATAAATACATGTTTATAAAGGCAGTTCTTTTTTCTTACTTGGAAAACATTTGGCCTAACTTGAGTTAAGTTCCCCAGATTTGTCATATTTTGACTAGGCTGAATCACAGTGACTTGCTGACCATTTGCTGTAATTTAAAAAAAACAAATAATGAACAAACTGCATTTTAACACATCTACTAGGTTTGAATAAATTTCTTACGCAAAGTTATTTGTTGCTGTTGAGGTTGTTGCTGGAGCACCACTTGACCCCCAGCAAATGATATTTGCTGCTGTCCAGATGCATCAATCATGGTTGGAGCGCTCACCGTCTGGGGAATGAAGATAATAATAATGAAAACAACTACTATAGATATTTCCGTTAGAGGTGTGAGACAGAACAGGAGACAGAAGTCAGCATACCTGAACAGAAACGGTGGGAGAGGTCACAGTAGAGGTGCTCCATGTGCTTGAGGTAACTGTATTACTACCAGTCGGTTGAGCTGATTGCTGCATTTGTTGCTGTTGTTGTGGTTGAGCAAGTTGCAGCTGGTGGTTCAATCCGCCAAGTTGAGCTAAAGACGTTAACTGGACTTGTTGAATCTGACCATTTGGTGTGACTATTTGAGCCATCTGGGGAGCCTGGACCTGTCAACAGGCAATAAGTCAAAATTAAAGATTGGATTCTTTTTTTTCTCCTTGTTTAAATTGAACGAGGGGAATTTAAATTGAGCGGGGAGAATATTTTACCTGACCAAGCTGCATGTGGGGAATCATTTGAGGGATTTGCTGAACATTTTGCATTGATTGAACAGGTAAATGAACAGTCTGATATATAGTGCCATTTGAAGTACTGATAGGAACCTGCACTGGTATTGTTTGAGTGGTTACTGCAGGTAAATGTACTAATTGTTGCAAACCACCTCCAGCTTGTCGCACTGCCATATTTCCTATAATGACAAAAATAATGATGATTTTTTATTGGGGAATGCAAATATGATCTAATATTGAAGGTGAAAAAAATTAAGTTTAAAGGTATACCTCCAGGAAATTGGACAGTTTGTCCTGCAATATTTTGCAAAATCCCAGCTTGTAGACCAGCAGGTAAATTTCCATTGGGTATGACATTATGGCCTCGAAGCATAGATGGCGTAAGAACTGTGTGACCGCCTGGCAGCTGTAGGTGTTGGATCTGCTGGGCCCCTCCTGGAGCAGCGTTTAGGAGAACAGTTCCCTGTTCATCTACAGTCACAGTTTGCATTGGCTGCACAACATTGTAGGTGACATTTTGACCAGCTGATGTCACAAGAGGCTGATGCTGGAAAGAATCAAAATAATTCAATAAAATTTAACACATGAAACTAATGAACGCTTGCACAATTGAAAACGATTAAATAGTGCCTATCAAAATATAGTACCTGAATAAATTGGCCTGGTATGTTTTGCAGGGACACCAAGGATGGCTTGATATCCCTTGAGACCTGTTGAGTTCCATCTGGAACTGAAGCCTGTGATGTGGTGGCATTTGTCAGTTGCATGTGTTGTGGTAAAAATGACTGAAGCTGTTGCAGCGTAACTAATTGGGTCTGCGCATTAGCACTCGTCTGCGGAGATGCAGGGGGTGAGCAGGGCTCACGTTTTGGATTTACCGCTACCATTGCATTAGATTCTACTATTTGCTGTTGTTGCATTTGCTGAAGTGGCTGCACAGATTGTTGCAAAGCCTGTTGCTGTTGTTGGAAGGCATGCTGTTGCGCAGCTTGAAGTTGTTGAAGCAAATTGGACGAGTTGACAATTCGGATTTGTTGCCCTGAGGGCAATGTAAATTGCTGTTCCTGGGAAGCAGCCAGGTTACCCTCCTGCGCCTCCTCTTGTGGAAGTGCTTGTGGCTGCTGCATTGGAGCGGGAGTGCTGCCTATCTTGCTGCACGTAGCAGCAAGTAACGCAAGCGGAGAGGGTGGAGTTTCCTGTAACAATGCAAACAACAAGATGAAATTATCATACAAACATTTGACAAAATGAAATAATTTGGAAAACAATTTGAAGACGCCACAGTATGAAGTTAACTAGGAAATAGAATTCATGTGAGCCACTACCAATGTTTGTATACAAAGAAGAGGCTCCTAACCTAAGAAGCGAAAAGCAAACATTGGTAAACATAACCCCAACGTAGAATGCTCACAGCATCCAACGGCTGCTACAAACAGTCCCCCCAGCACCCCGCACCATCAAAACAGAATCCGGCCGTCGAGGCCTCCGTTAAATGACTCTGGGAGGCAGCGAAGCCTGCGGCCCAACAACAGGGCCCCCAGCAAACAACGCCAAGCCCCAAGCCATGAATGAACCAGCACTCCCGACAAGTCCAGTCGGAGCCGGAGCGCTGGGCAGCATTTTTCAACACGGCCACGGCCGCCTAACCTCGGGCATAGTAGATCCGACATGGAACTGGAACTGCAACGGCGACGCGCGGGACGTAAAAACGTAAACACAAACTCGCGAGGGAGGACGGGATGCACATGCACCGCTGCAGGGCGACCTTTGCGCCAAATCCAAAGAGGCGGGAGCAGCACCGGCAAGCCGTACCGCGGTGAGCCGAGCGGTGCTGCGCGCTGCGGAAGCACAACAAGAGGGAGGCGACTGTGGCAGCTTAGGACCGCCCCCTGTGGGCTGGCCTCTCGGCTTGCCTGGACCCTGCCTGGCGCGAGGCGAGGCGCGAGGCGCTTACCTGGGCGCCAAAGCCGCGCGGTGGTGGTCGAGGCCCTTATCCAGCACGCTCCAGGGCGGCGATCACGCCCCAAGGGGACCGTCTTGTTGTCGAGTAGCGCCCATGGCTGGGGCGCCTGGAAAAAGTGGAGGAAAAACGCGGAGGGCGAAGGACGGCCGCGCGACTTAGGCTCCAGCGAGCACCAAGCTGCCCGGACAGTATCCCTCCGCGCGCAGGATCCCGCCGAACATTTCCAGGTTGACGGCCGGGTTGGGCCCCGGGGACGGGTCGCGGGGGCGTTCCTCGCCGGGGTCCTTCTAGTCGCACCGGGCGTCGACGGCGACGTGCCTCGGGGGAGTTCGTCGGCCACCTTTCGCCGCGGCGGACTACTTCGGGCGTGTTCGGCGGAGGCACACGCGGTGCTGCGGCGCGCGGCAGTGGCGGGGCGGCGGCCAGCGCTTGGCTCCGACCAAAATAGCTGATTGGCAGACGCGCGGCGTACAATGCCTGCGGGCCGCCTACAGGCCCCTCCACCACCCCGCTTCCCGCTCGGCTCCTCCCCCAGCCCCAGCCCCCGGCCCCTCCCGGCAGTCCCGGCTACCGGCGGGGTCGCCACCCTCCTGCACCCTCCGCGGCTCGCGTGGAGTGCTCGCGCGGCCGCGGCCCGCGGGCTTGGAGGGTGTGCGTGGTGTGAGGGGGTGGCCGCCCTCGTCGCCGCCTCGCAGGCCTCGCAGGCCTGGCCTCCCAGCATGGAGACGAGGGCAGCCCGCCGTGCGCGCCGTGCGCGCCGTGCGCAAGGGAAGGCCCCGGCGAGCGCGGCCACGCCCGCCCCGCCGCCCCGCCCCACTGCTCCACGAGAAGGCCGTCGCCGCCTTGGGGCCCAGCGGACCTACAGGCCCTGCAGGCCGAGGCGCCAAGGGGAGGGGCCACTGTAGCGGCACGGCCACGGCAGGCCCGCCGACCAGGATGAATCAACTCTACGTTACGTGCATAGTACACGCTGGCACTACCTCATGGATTTGAGGACTCACACATGCTAATGTCGCGGGTGAACCACCCAGCAGAGAGCGAATTTCCCGCTGACAGGTCGCAGATCGCTTAGCCCGGCCGGCCCGGCCGCGGCCCGGCCCGGCGACAGGTTTGAAACCGGACGGGGGATTCCTGCGCCGGGCTGCCATTGAGTGCAGGCCGTACATGACTCAGAAAGAGTACAGTAGTTTCAGCAAGTTCAAAGAAAGGGGACTACGTACTGGCCCTGCAGAAGGCCTTCCCGGATGGGCCGGCGATTCTCCCCGAGTTACTTTCACTGGTCCATGCGTCGCGTGCCTACGCACGCACACGCACGCACACGCACGCACACGCACGCACACGCACACGTGGCCGTCGTGAATGCACGAGAGGCGGGTCCGACGCCGCCGTGCCCGCCGCCCCACTCCCCCGATCCGGCCCGCCCCCCGCGGCTCTCTAGACGCGAGTAGGGGGAGGGGGGGCGGGGCCAGGGCGGGGCTTGGCGGGGTGCTGCGGGCGGGGCGTAAGTGCTGGCACGCCGGGGTGCAACGCTGCAACGCACAGGGCACGACGACCACAGTCTATAAGCATCTGTCATTTTGCACACCTGGTCACCAGCCGTTGCTGCCGCCACGCGGTTTATGTTGTTCTACATAAGCACCCCTTCTCCGTTTATGTATGTACCCCGTTTATGTGAACTAAGTACTACTAAGTACCACACCGGCTTCACCGGCGGCGCACCGGCCGCGAAGAGGGATGAGCCGCCATAGGTCGTATTTCATGTTTGTTGTTGTTGCTGCCCCCCCCCCCCCGATTTTTGTTCTTGTTGGTCAAGAACGATTCCTTGCCCCCTCCTTATTTTATTCCGTTAGTACACTACGTAGCCGCACCGGCCGCGAAGAGGGGGGGGCACCATATGAGTCAAGTTTCAAGTTTGTTGTTGTTGCTCCCCCCACATGGCTTTTGTCTTTGTTGGTTGGGAGCGATTCTTCTCGGATTCTTCTTCCGTTAGTACACTACCGGCCGCTGCCCCCCCACGTGGCTCTTGTTCTTGTTGTGTCGAGCCTAAGTCGAGTGTTGTTGTTGTGCCGAGTCTAGTCGAGGTCATGTCCCCGGTACCGGCACATGCACCGGCGGCGGTTGCCCATTGCAGCATTGCATCTCAGAGCGAGGAGTGCCATTTTCCGTGGAACTGAAGATCAATAGGCGTGCAAGATGGTCCAGCCCGACGCTATGGAGAGCACCGGCAGCGCCGGAGAGACCGGGACGAGCAGAGGGAGCACCGGGACGAGCAGAGGGAGCACCGGGACGAGCAGAGGGAGCGCCGGGACGAGCAGAGGGACGTCCCGTAGAGGTGCGAGAGAGAGCGGGGAGTCACTCCGCTGGCTGAGGGAGGAGCGCCGCAGATACGACGAGTACTACAAGCAACGGGAGGAATGACCGTGGTGAGTACTTGATTCGGAGAGCTGGATTCCAGCTGCTGGAACAAAGTTGCGGTCAGGGTGAACGGAGATAATTCCGTGAGCAAGCATTTAGGTGGACTAGATGCCCGCTATGCATATGCCCTTTCGGCCCTGGCACCTGTTTGAATCCGAGTCCGCTGCTGGGCATAGAGGGACTTGGCCCAGCTTGGATTTCGAAATGTCAAGACAATCCTAATCCTCTGTCATATTGACATAATGCTTGAAATTCTCACTAAACATGGGCCCTTTCTTTGCAGGATATTGAACCAATCGTCATCGATGGAAAGACGCACTTGAACGCCCTGATGCTGATACACGAAGATTTCGGAGGAATGACATCAACCTTGCCTCGTCTCAACAAATCTTGCATGCGCGCGGACCGTTTGTGATATGTTTGCCATGTCTCGTTGTAAATAAATGTCCATTGACTGATTTTTTTATTTTGAAGCCGTTCTTCTTGATTATCCACACAAAAATAAAAGTCTACCCTCGGTAGAATAAAGAAAAACGAGTAACAGAGCCACTGCGAAGTTCACCCTCCACAAACAGGAACGAGGTGGAGGGTGCACACTGCGTTATCAGGAGGGGCTTCCCTACCCCTTCCACGCGGGGCGAACGGGGCGGTGTAGGCGGTGCCGCCCTCGGGAACGGGCGGAGCAGGGCGGAGTAGGGATTGAAGCCCGCAGCCTGCCCGCAGCCGCCGGCCTGTGCCACGCCCCTCCCCTCCCCTCCCCTCCCCATCGGGGTACTTCCCCCGCGCCTTGCCGCGCCTACACTTCCTCTGGCAACCCAGTAAACCCCTAGTTACGCCCTGCCTGACCCTGCCCACCGGGGGCCGTTTCATCCCGTCCTGAGCGGTGTCAGTATTTTATTGATACTCAATTCGGACACAAAAGTAAAAAAAAAACACGTAAAAGTATTTCTTTTTCGAAAATATTTTATCGGGGAGTTTCCTCGAGGGAGAAAACCACAAAGAACATCATAATGATCTATGGACGTCTGTTTCATACGCCCCACGAAGTTTTCATTCATTCATCGAATTTATCGAATCAACTCAACAACAACACATTCTACATCGGTAAATTTGTCATAACAGGGACAAGAAGTCTGACTGTATAGTTTCTCATACTGAGACAACGGCGGCATTTGTGCAAGGCCGCGGATGAAACCGCGCGCTTTCGTGAGGTAAACAAAACAAGCCACCTAAGTTGTCTTTGTTCGAAATTTTGTAGGTTCAGAATTGTTATTAACAATTTCTAAATCATTATCACTTGAATAGAATAATTCAACGTACTGGTGGCAGCAATTGACAGAACTGTTGAGCTTTGAAATCAGCCAAAATGGTGACGCAGAATACTGCTACAGCGTCGACCTCAGCCGAACCAATGGATGTAGACCAGTCAACAAGCAAGACAAATGCTCCTGTGGACAATCGACCATGGTGAGTTATCAATTATGACATTTCTAATTTTTCAATAATTCAAGAATCCAACTCTGGACAATGTTATATACAATAGAGCTCCTTAGGTGTTCTGTAGGTGTTAGGTTACATTGGTCCCGCAGAAGATTTGATTTACTTTTTTTAACCACAGATTACTACAGTCATGTCGCTCTATCTTGGAGATAATTATGCTAAACATTATTCTTTTCTAGGATTGAGCGGTACCGCCCCATGTACTTCTCTGACATTGTGGGTAATGACGAAATTATCAAGAGGTTGAAGGAGTTTGCAGATGTCGGCAATGTCCCAAACATCATCATGGCTGTATGCAAATTAAAATTATATGTTCTTACTACTTTAAGGTGATGTGCATCTTTCCCTGTTCTGGAGTTTTTTACTTCACGTGTAACTTTCCAGGGTCCACCTGGAGTTGGCAAGACAACCACAATTCTTTGCCTTGCTCGTCAACTTTTGGGAGCGTCTATGAAAGATGCTGTCTTAGAGCTCAATGCTTCCAGTGATCGAGGCATTGATGTTGTGAGAAACAAAATCAAGATGTTTGCACAACAGAAAGTGACTCTGGCTCCTGGACGGCATAAGATCATCATCCTTGATGAGGCTGACAGGTTTGTGCATTGAATAATTTTTCTTTATTCTGCAAAGTGAACACTTGAACAAGATGATGTACATCTGAAAATTTACAGTATGACTGAAGGTGCCCAGCAAGCTCTGAGAAGAACAATGGAATTGTACAGCAGTACAACCCGCTTTGCATTAGCCTGCAACAACAGTGAGAAAATTATTGAAGCAATTCAATCTAGATGTGCCATGCTTCGCTGTGCCAAATTGACTGATGCACAGGTTTTGGCCAAAATTCTGGAAGTTTGTGAAAAAGAGCAGGTAAGTGTTTTTGTTGTGATCATGTCAAATGTATATTCACATGCTTTATTAACACATTTTTAAAAATCATTCAGGTTTCACATTCAGAAGATGGCTTGGAAGCTATTGTATTTACAGCTCAAGGTGACATGCGTCAAGCCTTGAATAATCTCCAATCTACATTCAATGGTTTTGGCCATGTTAATAGTGAAAATGTCTTTAAGGTGTGTGATGAGCCACACCCTATTCTTGTAAAAGATATGCTGAATCAATGTATTGCTGGAGAAATAGCCAAGGCCTACAAGGTATCCTATTTTCTTCTCCATAGTATTTTCATTCTTACGCTCTCCAATTAATTTAATTTGCATGTGTTTCAGATTATGGCTCACCTTTGGAAGTTGGGCTATGCTGCTGAAGACATCATTAGTAATATTTTCAGGGTGTGTAAAGGACACCAAATGGATAAAATGCTCCAGTTAGATTTTGTTCAGGTAAGTACTACCTAGCGATAGTCACTAAATTGTTTGATGCATGTATTTTGAATTGGATTCTTATGTCTTTGTGATAATTTTTTAGGAAATTGGAAAGACACACATGTCTATTGTTCAAGGTACTAATTCGCTTCTTCAAATGTCTGGACTTCTGGCCCGATTGTGTGAGAAAGCTAAGTCCTACCAAAAATAATCAAGACTCTCAAATGTTATATTGGCCTCAAACTAGATACCCTCTGTAATATTTTTTTAAGGCATTGTTAAACAAAGCAAAAATTTAGTGCACAAAATTTACTGTCTTTATTGTGTTCTTATAGATCTCTTTTGGCTACAAATTGTCCTCAAAAATACGTATTTACATGTTATCTAATAAATTATTAAAATACAAGCATTATGTATGTTCATTTTTATATAGGTATCACAAATTTCAATAGAACATAAACTCTGATTCAATTCACTTAAAACAAATAAACTGAGAGCAAAATAAGACAACTGACTATACGATTTCTAATGGCTATGGACAACCAACAACCACTAAAATTTAGCCTAAATTTTCACATCCTCATGGTACTTGAACAAAATTCATTCCTCACTCTTAAAATGTTGTTTCCTCCAAAAACTTGTGTTGTATTGTTCAAGTTCTCAGCAATAAAAACACTACTACAATTAAAACCAACAAACTCTATTACATGGAATCTTATTGCACATGGCCTATTCTCTAAAATTAATTGACTGGTTCTTCAAAATACTGAACGAGGAATCCTGGTAATGTACCGAGCAGTAGCATTATTTAATTCAGTCAGGGCTGCAGGCATGTAAACTTGAGTTCTCATGAATTTTCCACCGAACCTGCCCACCGTTCGGCGATAAACGCTTCACGCCTGCAGTCCTGACTGACAGAAAATTAACGGGTATAGAGGTGCCCATACATTGTGCCGGTGTGGTCTCCACGCACACTTCGTAATTTCTTTTCTCATTTGGGCGGGGAGGGGAGGCGGTGTCTCAAACTAGCACCACTTCTCCCCCCCAATGGTGGCCCCGTTGGCCGTCAGGTTGCCGCTGCTGCGGTAGACGTGGTGCTGGCTGTGCTGGCTGGGCGAGGACGACGTCCACCTCAGGGCCGACTGGAAGGGGTGCGGGTGCGGCGCGTCGGAGGGCAGTGCTGGCTGCGCCCCCGGCCCGGCCCCGGGCGGGACGGGGGCCTCGCCCTTGTGGTTGCGCTTGGGGGCCTTCTTGTCGCCGGGCGTGAGCGCGGACGCGGCGGCCGTGCCCGGCGGCGCGGACTCGACGGACTGCAGGGAGGCGGCGCGGTGCAGGGACAGGCGCAGCGGCTTCCGCGGGGGCACGGGCCTGGTCGTGGAGGACGACGACGCCGGCCTCGTGTTGCCGCCCTCGCCGCCCGAGCTGCAGTACTCGTGGTGCTTCCTGTAGTGCCTGCCCGAGCTCAAGCCGTCGCCGTGGCTGCTGTGGCTGGCGGGCGCCTCGGACTTGCGCCGCGGCCGCCGGATGTCCGAGTCAGAGGCCAGGCCGTCGGGCTGGCTGGGCTGGAAAGAGAGGCGAACAACGGTCAAGTCACAGGAGGCAGGGGGACGTTTAGCGGGTTACCCAATGACGGCCTAGGCCTCTTTACTGACTGACAGCCCGCGGACCCTCGGGTAGGCAGCCCGACGTACTGACGTACACGTACCGACTGGCGGATGCGGATGTGCTGCACGGGCCCCCTCGGGGACTCGGCGCTGAACACGTCCAGGGCGTTGGTGCTGCGGGCCAGCGGCGTGTGCGGGCTTGGGGACAGCGTGAGGTTGCTGCTGGAGTGCGACTGCCTCTTGGCCCGCTCCAGCCGCTGCTCCAGCCTGTCCAGGCGCTCCAGCCGCTGGGGGTCCTCGCGGTCGCGGTCGCGCTCCAGGCGCTTGCTGCGCAGACTCGCCTCCAGCCGGGGGAGGTTGGACACCAGCTGCACCTGTCGAGTCAGAGCACGGTTAGGAAAGCCTGGCGCCTTGCCGCGGGACGTGCGTGCTGTGCTTTGTGATTGTGTGGAAGGCCTACAGACCGTCTGGGTGCGGATCGAGCAAACCGTGCAGACTACGCTAAAAACTACGCCAACTTGAACAGGATGGAGAAGGATCAGCGGGGGGCTTGCCCAGCCCTAACTACCAACTTTCTTCAAATTCAAATTCGAAATGACTGGGCAAGCTGCCGCCACTGTCACGCGCAGAAACAGTGCTAGGCTACGTGAGGTGCTCTGGGAGTCTGGGGTCGTCACGGTGGGTCACCAACAGCGTGGCCCACGACCCCGGAGTGCAGACATGCCGGTGGGGGTGCCAACCCAGCGAAAAACAAAATGGCTGGACATACGAGTCTGCGATGGGACTGGTGGTTGCTGTGTTGGCTGTGGTGGTTGCTGTGGCTGACCTGCGACCCCTTCTGGTACAGCTGCACGTCGCTGGGCGAGGGCGTGGGGCCGGGCGAGGACGCCGTCACGATGACGGTGGACACGTTGGCGCTGGCGGAGCGCTGCGGCCCCGCCGTCGACCCGTGCGCCGCGCTGCTGGACAGCAGCTCGGAGACCTGGTCCTCGAGGTAGGAGATGCGGTGTGACAGGCGCACGCCGTCCGCGCGCAGACTGTCCGCCGTCCGCTCGGCCTGCAGCGCGCGCTCGCGCTCCGCGGCCAGCTGCGCCGACAGGGCCGTCAGGTCCTGCTCGGGGGCGGCGCGGAGCACCACCAGCTGCGCGGGGTCCGGGGACACGGCCAGCAGGCGGTGCATGTCGTCGCGCGTCTTGCAGAGCACCTGCTTGCCGTTCACCTCCAGCACCCTGCGAGCAACACGTCGTGGAGGATTACGTCGATGCCATTCACTGCAGGCTGTCTGGACGATACTCCACGCTCCGCGCCAGCGCGCCTGCGCGCGAGGTATCGCCGTGCTGCCGGCTGCAGGCCGCAAGACTGACCTGTCGCCTTTCGCCATGCCGCTGGTGTCGGTGGCCCAGTGGACGTACAGCCCCGGGGCGTCGTCGCGCGGCCCGGCGCCGAACTGGGGGCTCTTGGGGTCGTACTGCACCTGCACGGACACCACCACGGCCCTGCCCGACGAACCCACGCAGCTGCGGACACATCACAACACAACAGGTCAGGACGCATTATCTTCAACGAGCAAAACTAGACGGCTAGACGCGGTAAAGGACAGTCCTTGGCAAAATCAGCGGCAAGTACACTACACACCAGTACAGGGTGTTGGCGGCCTGGCTGCTTCGGGCCCGCTCCGCCTCCTCCAGCATCGCCGCCACGTTCCTGGTCTCCTCCAGCAAGGACAGCAGGTTGAGCTCCTCGCGGCCGAGCTGGTACTCGAGCTCGGCCTGCTGGATGCGGACGTCGATGTTGCTGCGGACAGAGAAGGCGTCGTTAGCTGCAGCGCCACGCGGACAGTGCGGACAGTGCAGCAGCGAGGGGATGTCGTACTCGGTGATGTCGAGCCTCTCCAGGGCCATCTTGAGGTTCTTGATGGCGAGCCGCTTGTTGTCCACGTCGAGCCGCAGCTTGCTGAGCCTCTCCTCCGCCGCCCGCCGCTCCTTCTCGCTGGGGGGCGGCCGCTGCTGCACGTGCGGCCAGGCGGGGGTGGCGGGGGCGGCGGGGGCCGCGGGGGCGGGCGTCGGGGGCGGCGCGCCGTTCATCAGCTGCCCCCGAAGGCTGCAACAAACGGGGCGTGAGTCTCAGCCTCTGCGGTCACCAACCGTGCGATCCCAAAGATCCGTTTCGTCACTGTCTCTCTCGCACCAACTTCCTGCGCGTGTGAGAGAGACAGCGCGATGAAACGTCGCCTCGGAACCAGCCTGCTTCGCCACTGTACCCTTTCCTCACCTCTGGATCAGGTTCTCCTTGTCCCTGAGCGCGTTCCGCAGGGCGTCCAGCTCGCGGCCGAAGTCTCGGCCGGGGGCGGGGCTGGGGGCGGCGTTGCCGGGGGCGGCGTGCCCGGGGGCGGCGTGCCCGGGGGCGGGGCTGGGCGCGAGCGACAGCGACAGGCTGGGGCGGTAGGGCGAGTTGTTGGCGGCCACCCCGTTGACGCCGTTCCCCCCGTTGGTCTGCGCCGCCGCGGTCACCCCCGCGGCCGACCCGATGGACCCGTTCTTCTTCCTGCGCGGCGTGGTGGACAGCGACACCTCGATGCTGGCCATCTGCGGGCGGGACAAGGACAGCGTCATGTTCGTCATCTCTCTCTGCCTCGCGGTCGCGGCTCTCGCGGCGAGGACCAAAGTCGCCAGAGCGCCGCGCGTCCCGCTCGGGTTTTCCCGCTCTTTGCGGCGCGCCGGCGCGGCTCCTCTGTTTTCCCCCACTCGGCGGCGGCGCGGGCCGCGACTCCGCATGCGCCGCGGGCAGCTCCCCCTCCAACTCGTCAGGTTGGCCGAGTGGTCTAAGGCGTCAGATTTAAGCTCTGATCCCCTCATGGGGTCGTGGGTTCGAACCCCACACCTGACATGAATTTTCTTCCGCAAATTTTCATGGTTTTCTCGCGAGAGAAATAAATAAAAGAGAAATAAATGACGTTATAATTGTAAAGGCACACCGAGCTTGTTTCTGCCCATGACGAACTCAATGCTTTCTTCAAAGTTTCGCCTACCTTGGCTTCAAGGGTCTCGAGCTGCGCCATCCTGGGCTCCAGGTCCGGGTCGCCGTTGGTGCACACGCTTCCCGGAGAGGCTGGAGAGGTGACCATGTTGACGGGCACGGCGGCGGACGGGCTGAGAGTCGTCTGCAACAACGCAAAGGCCGTCTTCAGCTTGGGCGTCACAGGCTTCACGGAAACGACGCCAAATAACACACATCTCCCCGCTGCCCTCCTCCGCCGAGGCCCTGGCCGCCCCGGCCGCTGCCCTGCCCTGGAAGTGCCCCGCGGCAGCCCGCGGCCGTGCGTTGTTTCCTGCGAGGGAGGCTCCTGCCGCCATCGGCCGCCATCGGCCTGCAGGCCGCCGCAGGCCACGGGCACGGCGGGGCGGCGGGGCCCTGGATGGGCATGGGGCCCTTGATGGCCGGGTGGCCGACGCGGCGCGCCGGCGTGCCGTACCCAAACCAGTACTTCCCGCCCTCGGGGCCTACACCGCGTCCTTCATGTTCGTCCGTCCATCTGCCGCGCCATGTCTGTCCGTCTGTCTATCTGTCTGTGAGGCCTGTGAGGGCGTGGCCGGCGTGGCCGTTCCCACAGGCGGACCAGGACGAGGAAGGCATCTCCTTCCAGGAGGACTCGAACCAGGACAACCTGCTGGCAGTGCAGCAGCGCGCGTCCCCCACAAAAGAGACCGCGCTGTGCGTTGCGCGCTGCGCGTTGCGCGGCGTCCAGCGTGTCCAGCCTCCAGCAGCCAGCACTAGTTGTCCAGTTCTCACGACTGGAGGCTCCAGCCGCGCCAGCTCGGAACGAGACGTGAGAAACACGGAGTGGACTGCGTGCCGCGAGGCGTGCCGGACGGGGAGGCGGGGGAGACGTAGCGGGCGGTGGCAGTGTGGCACCACACCGTCGGAGAGGAGGCTGGACGAGGAAACTTTATGGAAATGCGACGGCTGCTCTTCGCTGACCGTTGCCCGAGCGCCTCTCTAACGGAGACACCAGTCCGAGCGGCTGGCTGGAGATTGGGTGCCTGGGGAAACCAATCCAAACGTCCCTCTCTCTTTCTCTCCAACTCACTGGCGCAGCGATTGGCCGCTGAGCGCCTCTCCAGTGAAGACATCAGTGCGATTCCAAAGCGCGCTTCGCTTGGCTTCGCTCCACTCAGACGGACCGCGGGCCGACTGGACGGCCGACGGAGGAGCAGAGATATGGGGAAACAATGGGGTCGCCCTCGCTGCCCTCGCGGCGCGAGTATGCAAAGTGTTTCCGGCCGACAAGCAGGCTCATGCCCCGTCTCTCTCGCACTCACGGGGCGTCCCGCAGGCCGCAGGGGGTGCGAGAGAGACAGAGCAGGTGAGAGTGCCGGCGTATTACGCGTGTGTCCCATCCGCGCGGCTGCTATCGGCGCACGGGCCGACCGGACCTCGGGCCAATCAGCGAGCGGGAAAAAACTGGGGCCGTGTGGCGGCGGCAGCGCGGCGTTTTGTGAAATTACGATGATTGCTGTAACCAGCTGGACGCGGCGAGGTTCTCAAAACAGCGAAGCCGACTCGAGTGCCGCCACACTGGACGGCGCGGCGCCCTGGCCGAGTCCCGGGCGAGTTCTAGTGCGTACACTGTACTGGCCGCAGCCGCGCCGCCGCGCCGCCGCAGGGCGTGCCGAGGCTGAGGCGGGGCTGTGTGTCCGCGTCTGCAATTAGGCACTCTTAAGAGGACGAAATGGCCGACATTATGCTGCGCATGCTGCGGGACTGGGACTGGTCGCGCGGCTCCGACCGGCCGCGTGCAAGTACGAGCAAAGAGCGCGCGGAGATGAGAGGAAAAAGAAAGGGGAGGACCACCGCGTCGTTATGCTCGGAAACGAGAGATTAACTTTGTCGCAACAGATTTCTCGAAAGTCGATTCCGCTTCGGGACTCGGACGGCTGCGTCGCGAGGGTTGTGCGTCGACGACCACACGCTCCGCTCCGCGTGGACGCGACGCGGAGGAGGAGGCCCGGCAGTTTCTTGGCACGCCACACCGACGTCCGACTCATTGTGCTGCACTTTGACACGAGCCGCGCAAGTGAAGGCGGGGCGGGGCGACAAATGTGTGTCACCGGGACGGGCAGGTGGACAGGAAATCCTCCCCGGTGCGCAAAAAAAAAATAACAAAAAAACAGCACCAGGACATGAAATAAAAATGTTTCCTTTTAAACCTACCAGGGACACGGATCGCTGGGGGCCGATGTCGCGTCCGTCGTACAGGTCGTACAGCAGGGAGCTCTTCTGGGACGCCCTGCGACCGAAACACAAGTCGCAATGTTAGAAATGCGAGAATTTTAACAATAAAAAGCGGCACAAGAAGATTGTCAAAGTTGTACTGTACCTCGACGCGGCTCCGCCACAGCGCCGCAGGTTGGTCTCGCTGGTGCGGTGCGACAGGCCCTGCAGGGCCGACAGTGGCGTGCCCAGCGGCGAGTACGGCGGCGCCATCCCCATGCCGGGGCCCATGCCGGGGCTCTTGACCTCCCTCATGGTGCGGCGAGGGTCGGGTCACGCTCCTGTGGAGGAGGAAAGGAAATCACTGTTTACACTTTCTCCCTGGCCGGCCGATCTGCCAACGACCTGCCGATCACGCGGAAGGATGCGGTCTGCCGGCTGGCTAGCTGGGCTAGCTGGGCAGGCTCGTCGGGGAAATGGAGGGGAACGCCCCAGGAACGCCCCAGGAACGCCCCAGGAACGCCCCAGGAACGCCCCAGGAACGCCCCAGGAACGCCCCAGGAACGGCGCGGTGGAATTTGGCGAGCAAACTGGCCGTCTTGGCCGAGCGAGCACAGTGCCGCCGGAAGGGCCGCGGCGGGCCGGGCCCCTGGTCTGGCCCTTAATGGTAATGGTAATGCGGGTAGGCAGCCCAACGGCAGCCGTGCGCTGCGGTGGCCTACCCGGGACTCGTCAGGGGCCCCAGCCCAGCGCGCTCGGCACTCATCCGAGTCATTTCAACGCGTCGTTCCGACGGTCTTTCTCTCTCGCACCCCCACGGACCACCACCGCCACAGAGACAGAGAAGTGACTCTCCGGGATCGGTGTGCAGGACCGCCGGGCCGGGCGCGCCGGGCGAGACTTCTGAGAAGCAATTGCGGGCCGCAGTTAGCCGCGACACGTCTGTGGCAAATGACACAGCACGCCGACGTACCCGTACTCGTACACCAGACTCACTCCGTCGCCCTGTCTCTCTCGCACCCCTCCGGACTCCGGAACGCGCCACGAGTGCGAGGGAGACGAGGCGGTGGGTCCGCGTCGTCCGCGTCCACGGCATGCGTCAGCCTGTCAGGGCACTGCAAGGCGAGCAAGGCAAGGCCGCCATTCTGCCTTTTCTCACGCAATTTGCCTGTTCCTGCCTCTCACCTTACGGGCCTTTCGTGTTCCGGGGTCCGCGCAAGCCGCGCAAGCTGAGCCGGCGCCCGCGCTACAAAAAGCGGGAAAATGAAAAAAGGACGCCGTTGCGAAGTCCGGTACACTCGGCACACTCGGCATTGGCCCAGTGGCACGGAACCGTTCCATGCTAATGCAGCATGCCACGGAGCGTGCAGCGCAATGCGAGGTGCAGTGGGATGCACCGGGAGGTGCAACACCGCCGCCACGCCACGCCACGCACGCGTGTCCGGCGTGTCCAAAACAGCGCGGGCCTCCGCCGGGCTTGGCTGGGCTCTGAAGGGTGTCTCTGTCGCACTCCGAGGCCCTTCCGTTCGGGCGCGAGAGAGACAGAGCGGTGAAGCGAGCCGGCCGGCCGAGCCCGCTCGGTGGTCCACGCTGACGCAACGCCGACCGCCGGCGATCATGTCCATTTGGGTGTTCGGATCGGTGCGTGAGGAGAAGAGAGGCCCCGCCCCGGCCGGCGCCGCGTTCTCCTGCTGGCCCCGGAGAGGAGCGCGTCGACGTGACATAACCCCGCACCAGCGCGCGTGGGTGCGCGCGTGCGGAGGAATTTAAAATCCGGGCAAGGAACCCTCGAGCACCGCACCCACCGAGAAGCACGGGCCAGTCGATACATCGATACGTTATCACACGAGACAGAGAGAGAGAGAGAGAGACAGAGGACGACGATCCTCACAATGCGTGTTGCACTCATTGTGTTGCGCGCCCCGCCCCGCCCCGCCACGCCCCGCGCACTTGGCCAAGGATTTTCCCGCGTCGGTTGCATGGACCGTAGAGATACCGCAGCGACCAGGCAACGACCACCGCAAGGCGAGGGGTGTCGCAATAACGAACGGACACTAGCGCACACACACACGCACACACAGACACGTGGGCCTTTTGGCCGCACCGGTGCCCGTGTACGGATGCACTCATGCGCACGCCGCCGCAGCAGCGGTCTCTAGAGAGATAAATTATCGGTGCGGTCTGATCCCTGCAAGCGGATTCGCTCGCTGTCTCTCTCGCACCTCGGACGCGGCACGCCCCTTGAGTGCGAGAGAGGCAGGCGGAGCGACGAAGAAAGCACAGTTCGGAACGAGCCTGCTGATAGGGAGGGTTCGTGGGGGCCGGTTGGAAGTTTGTGGGACTTTCTCGTTCTTGGGTGCGGGCAAGGTCGTGTTCATTCTCGATGCCTCGCGACGCGACGCACCGCGACGCACCCCGCAGGCGTAACGTGGGTCAACACGAGGCCGCTGGGGCCCCACCCCACCCCGCTGGACGTGCTGAATTCCACACCTCCTCGCGGAGGGCTTCCTTTGGCTTCTCCTCGACCAGGAACACCAGCAGCCAGATTCCGACCGCGTCTGTCTCTCTCGCACCCCTACGGGCCGCCCCGCGAGTGCGAGAGAGACAGACTGCTCCGCACGCGCCGACTAGACGCCGGCGTCGGCCACGCTGAGGAAAAGAGTGGGTATTGAAAAGAGAGGACAATTGAATGAGGGTGGACAGTGGGGCTTTTGTCCGGGCTGCACGCGTGGGCGGCGGAGGGCCTTGGCGGCGCGGCGGGGCGGGGCGGGGCGGGCCTTCGAACCACCTGTGATGGAGGACTCGTGATAGCACGGACACCACGCGTGCGTGCCGCTGCGTGCGCCCAGCGGTTTGTAGCGGCCGCCCTATCAAGCCTGTCTGTCCGACTGTCTGCCCGTCCGACTGTCCCGCCTGCCTCTCCGTCCTGCCGACTCGTCCTGGAGCGACTCCGATGCAACACGACAGTCCGCGCGGCGTATAAACGAGGGGAGAAAGTAGTGAAGCCGCGAAGCCGCGCGAGGCAAAGCTAGTGGAGCCACACTACGCACGGCATGACTGGACCACGACGATGAGCTCGGATGGGAAACATGGCGCGCGCACACAGACACACCGTCTCTCTCTTTCTCTCTCACACACACGTCAATCAAACGACGCGTTTCTCATCACGGCGCCGCGCCACTCCCACGTCGGCCATGACGGATGCCTCCATGTTCGGGGGAATCGGCGTGGCGGCCGGCGTCTCTGTCTCTCTCGCGCTGTGGGACGTTCCGCTCGGGTGCGAGAGAGACAGAGCGGGCGCCACCGCGGGGTGGCTATGCTCGCCGCTCGGCGCGAGGCTCGGCGCCGCTCCGATCGAAATGAAATGCCCCGAAAGGGGAAACAGCGCTCGCTCCGCAAAAACTGCAAACGGCCGGCAAAAGCCGCGGCTCCGCTGACTTTCCATGACAGGAATGCCCGGAGTGCGGAGTGCAGTCCTCGCGTGCCGCGGCAGTGCCGTGCCAGTGTAGCGGCAGCAGGGCCGTGCCGTGCCGCGCCGTGCCAGGCGAAGCAGCACGTCGAGCAGCACGTCGACCAGTGCGTCGGCCAGTACCGATTGCCGCGGCGTCGCGCCGCAGAGTGCCCCAGCAGTGCATGCCCGGCCCAAGGCCCGGCCCGCCTTGCCGCCTCGCCTCTCGTCCCATGCATCCGGCACGCGCTGCTTCGCGGAGAATGTCGCTCTGTCTCTGTCGCACTCATGGGGCGTCCCCCATAGCGCACAGGAGTGCGAGAGAGACAGAGCAGCGCCCTGCCGGCACAGCGGCACGAGTCCGGCACACGTCGGGCGACAGGAACGGGAACACCCCTCGCTCTACAATAATAATACAGTCCCCAAAGGTGCGATCGACTGGCCCGCACACGCACACACGCTTACACATATCGAACCGATAACACACACAGACACATTGACACACACACACGCACACACACACACGCACACACACACGACGCGCGGTGCGTTCCTTCCGCTCTCCTCCTTGCAGGCCATCCGTAATTACGGAACAATTGGAGTGGCCGAAAAAAAAAGGGGGGGAAGTGGTGGTAGTTGAACCGTGTCGCGCCGTGCCTGGGCGGTCCCTCGCGCACCCCGCGCCTCACCCCGCGCCGCTCGACGAGGCTTCCGGAGAAGAGGAAAAATGGCGACGCCGTGAAAGCAGAAAAAGGCGAACGCGTATTCTACTGGTGCGTCTGCAAGGACGTTCGATTTTGGCCTTTTTTTTCCTCTCTTGGATGCCGCGTTGCCAGGGAAAAGTGGCAAAAGCGGCAACGGCCTTCCCACACAGCTGTGCTTGTCCGTGGCGTTGCGTTATCACGGCGATTATGCGCTTGTCTCTCCCCCCCCCCCTCCTTCTCCCCCCCTCCGAGTCCACCGTCCAGGTGTACGTCGTCGGAGGGGTGCGACACCGTCTGTGCGTCGCGACGCGGTGCAGGGAGACGCGTGGCGCGAAGGGAGGTCCGTGGTGTGTGTGTGTGTGTGTGGGGGGGGGGGGGCAGGTGGTGTCGCGACCTCACCCCTTCTATTCACCTCCTCACGCGCGGCGCGGTCCGTCCGTCCGGGTGCAACAGTTGTGTGCGTGCGTGTGCAACAGTGTGTGTCGGATAATAAAATCCGAGACGTTGGCTTTGACTTGGCAGAGGCAAAGCCGGGCCGGGCAAAGCCGTAGTAGTACTGCTGTGTGGGAATGAAAAGGACGAGGAAAGGCTAATGGCGGTGCGTCGCTCTGTCTCTGTCGCACGCATGGGGCGTTCCGTGGGAGTGCGAGAGAGACGGCGTGCAAGCAACGGCAGCAGGGGGCGCGGGATGGTTTTGGCAGAATCTGGCCGTTCGCCGCCGCGCCGCCGATACTCGATCTCGACCCTTTCTTCCTCACTTCCCCTACCTCCTCCACTGGCGGGCCTCCCTCGCTGGGCGCAGCCGGAGAGCGGAGAGGGGAAGGGAAGGGGCGTCGTGGAGGATGCGGCCGAGGGCCCCGTCGTGGTGCCCCGCCGTGCCCCGCCGTGCCCCGGTCGGCCGACTGGAGTGCAGCCAAGCGAGAACTCCCGCCGCGCCGTCGGCGGACACCTCGTGCGGCCGACAGTCGTCGCTCCGTCTCTCTCGCACCCATGACGGGACGCCCCGAGAGTGCGAGAGAGACGGAGAGGAAATTACTTTTTCGGAGTCAGTTTGCTGTACACGCTGTGGCCTGTACACTCCTTGCAGTGCCCCACGCGTAGGTCGCCGTTGGCCGCTGCTGGGAGTCTTTTGCGCCTATGGTGACTGCGTTCTCCAGCCCACGGTGGGCCAGTTCTGGCACACTGTGCA